GCAATAGTTTAGAATTGCTTGAATCACATATAAGGGTGTTGGAAAGATATTTGCAAAATGTCTTGGAAAATAATGTTGTTATGAGAGTTTGTTCCAGTAAAAGGAAATGTGATTTTCCCTATATGGTCGGAAAAATTTTAATTATGAATTACAGATAAAAAGTGAAGTTATCAGAGACATCAGCCGTTGGATACAGTGACATTGTCTAACAGGTGAAAACTGAAAAAATCTGAAAGGTGTTAGCTTAAATATTTAAATAAATTGTACAGTAGCAAAGAACATGTAACTTTAATAGGATTAAGTCAGTACCAGACGCTGAAAAGTTTGATAAAAATGTTCTCATATTCAAAATAGTTTCGAAAACAAGAGGCTCAAGGGGCCTACACTGCTCATCTGGTATACAATGTCCATCAAAAACACGATCGATGTTCACCACAAGTATACTGACACCTACACTGTTTTCATTCAAAGTGGGCACATCCTGTCAATTTTGACAAATTTCCACAACAAACTTAAGCTCCTAACACTCAGCACTAAAATGTGACAGATTTGACCTTGATTATAGGTAAAAGCCATTTCCTTTTCTCTCCCTCTCAAAATTTGCTAAGCTTTGCCATAGAATTTACCTTTCAACGAGATATCCTGCTTTTCCGACTTTTGGTTTGCCAGAAGGTTTACAACTTGTAACAACTATGATCCTTTGACTTTGAATTTGGTCAAGTTCATTTCTTTTTGTAAACATTATCAGCCTCATCCCAGAATCCACCAGCCAAATATCATGCTTCTCTGTCTTATGGTAATCAGAAGTTGTGCTAATGTTTTAACAAATTCCATCCTGTGACCTTAATTATAGATCAAGATAATTTCTTTTTGCAAATTTTGTCAGGATTCATGCTAGGAACCTATTAGTTAAATATCATGCTTCTGCACCTTTTGGTTAATAAAGTCGTTTTGTTTGACCCCTGTAGCCTTGAATAAGGGTCAAGGTAATTTCTTTTCACATTATTTATCAGGCTACAACCCAGCAACTCACCAGTTATCATGATTTTTGACCTGTTGGTTATTGAGAAGAAGTTGTTTAAACAAAAAAGTTTTTGCTGGACGGACAACGGATGTCAGAGGAATAATGGATGCCGGACTTCTGCTAAGGTTAAACTATCCTGAAATCAAGTGAGCTAAAGATAGGAAACTCAAAACACCAAACAAACAATCATGAAATTTAGTAACAGGTACAGAATGAAAGTTTTGGAAGTTTAAGTTGAACAATTTTATGAGAGAAAATTATCACAACAGCAAGAGCTTATTAAGTACTAGGTACATTTTCATTTCTCATGATCCTGTTTGGATGCATAGCAAATTCTAAATGTTGAGTATAGGAATGTTGAAATTTAAGAATGCTGAATTCACGAAGCAGTTAGATTTAATAAAGATCTTTTATGGAATGGCAGGTATTTCTGTCATGAAGACTTGCACAGCACAATGTTCACCTTTAAAATTGTTCTAAATCCTATGATACACCTACATTTAAGATGTAAAGTCATTCTCTTCAAACATGGTAAATAATTATACATAAGTATGAACAAAACTCTAACAAAATATACATCTATTAGTTTACCATTAACAACTTCCCAGCAACTCATTCATCAGCGAATCACAATTTGATACATTGATTGTTCTTCTTAGTCTCTACTGTGTAAGTGACCCTCTATAAGCATCCAGAATGTCCCACAGTAATGACTAGACTAGGTATCATGTGATATCCCAACAGACTATAGATTTCATTTATCTCATGTACAATGTGGCACATTCTCTTTACATGCATGTCGTTTTAAAATAATTTTAAGCATTCTCATTGTTAACCACAAAATCAAAACCTTTTCCCTAACAACACACTGGAATAAATGAGCAAATGTAATTAACTTACTATCCTTTAAATCCTAAAAACTCATTCAAACAGGAAATTTTGTTCACAAGATTAAGTGATTTATAACATTTGTCTCCAAGCCAAAATTATAGAAGCTTTTAAAATTAAATAAAACATATATTTTAACTTAAAGATAATAATAAGTTGCTCTACCTGTCTCTCAAGCTATTACATGTATCACTGTTGTTAAACATTTGCCATCAGATGTAACATATTCCTTGTTTTATCAATCTAGGTCTTCCATTTTTGATTGTTTGTGTACTAAGGGTGGGCTTTTAGCAAACATGAATTAGTTTAAAGTTGTGCATGTACATCTCTTACATAATAGCTCTCTTTATCTTCATCTACTGTTAAACACTGTTTATAACATCATAAAATTTTATGTAGGGATGGGAACTGTTCCTGTTCATACTGATGACTTTTGTATAGGAGCAAATAGCCTTCTTACGAAAATTATATCTATCAAATATTGTCAGGGTTATTTTCAAAACTAAAACAAAAACTTACTGATTGACATATAACAAACATTACATTAATTCAAATCTCCCCAGATATTTTAAATTAATAACAGGATCATGATTATAATCGATGTCGTTTCAGATATAGTAAATCTGTTTTTAATATTTCAGTCAACACAGACTGTGGTCATGTGATGTGTTGGTTTACTTGATCATGTGACCACATTTTGTGGGACCAAAACTGAGTGAGGAGTCTGGTTTGTCAAACTGTTTCAAATCTGTATCACAGAAATATTATTTTTGCAAACCCTCTTGAACAAACTGATTGAAATAGAGATCTTAATTTATCACTCCAATATTTACTGCTTATTTCATGAAATTAATTGGAGAAGTAAATTAAGATCTATATTTCTATCAGATTGCATCCTGGGCATCTAAATACTGGCAACACATCAATGATGACGGCAAAAACTGGATCACTCCCCCTCGAACCCCCCCCCCCCCCCCCAAAAAAAAAAAGACAAGGTACACTGACATTTACAAATATTTATAACTCAATATCACAATATTGAAACTATAAACAACATTTCTTACCCACTTCAACCATACTTGCTATCAATCAGGTAAGATTTCATCAAACTTAACCACTTTAACCCTCCTAGCTATCAATCAGATTTGATTTCATCGAACTTAACCACTTTAACCCTCCTAGCTATCAATCAGATTTGATTTCATCAAACTATCATTGCCATGTAATAAAGAAGCCTTACACGTTGGATGAGTTTAATAAAAGTTTCATCTAGAGCCACAGGTAAACATAAATACACTTAGAATACTTCTGGTTTTTTTTTAGTTAAATGACAGGGAAACTTAGATGAAATATTACAGAAATATGTTTTAGTAAACTTAAATTTGAACAAAGTTAAATAAAGAGATTATTTTTTCATGGTAAAAAAAAGCATAATTCATTAAATAGTTTCTTTTATGGAGAGGTTGTTTAATACAAAAACAAAAAAACGAAAAAATATGTATGTAATCACATTCAAACCCTGGCATAGATCAGACCTGATCTAAACACAATACCATACACACCACAATTAGAATCCATGATCAACAACATTCTACAAGTATAAAATTGTATACAGATTCTTCCAAAGGCTTCATTCTTTCATGATTAAATATATTTTCAGTAAAAGACATCCCAAGAAAATCTCTACTCCATGAACAATCACCTGACAACAATAACAATATCTAGTGTTGTGCTGTTCTTTATAATCGCATCCCTTCATTACCTGACTCTTGTGTTCATTAAATCATTCTTTTTTTCAATCTAAGACCCTGAAAAAATAGATATATTGTTTATTTGTCATTTTGACGGAGCCAATATTTTTCTCATTAAAATAAATTTTACCACAGTCCTTAATGATGACTGATTCATGCTTGAAAAAGAAAATGAAAGAAAAAAAATAATGAAAAGTTTTGTCACAGACAACAAGTATGATGCTTTCTACTTTGACACTGTGTTGTTTATTTTCTCTTAAGATGAAGATTAAGTGAAATTTGAATATGTTATCACTTTTCCATATACACCAAGATTCCTATGTATTTACCAGGTATTGCTATTCAATGAACAATTTGAAAGCAAATCCTGATTGAAAATAACAGACCATTGTTAAATTATGACCCACTATTAATGATGTGTAGTGTTACAATGTACTGTCAAGTACAACTTTGCAGGCCAATGACATTTATCACTATTCCATAATCCTTGATACAGAATTCACTTCACAAGCATGACAGAATGGCCCTGACAGAATGTTCTTTTCACTCAGTCAGACAGTTACTATAGTTACCATATCGCCCCCTTCCCTTATAGGATGATGAAATAAACTGTTTTCAACACTCAAGACAACAATTATGTGCACTATTTGCCTTAAAAATACATTTTCGAAAGCTATCACTGTAAGATTAATCAATGTTCACGTTTGAAAATGATCAAAAATTATTCTAACAAAACTAGTATTTCATATCCTGCTCAGTATCTACATATTGCATTTGCAAAATTCATGTGAAATTTCAAATTTTCATTTTTACTTTTTCAAGGCATCTTAATTTTTCTACAACAAAAATTCTCATTGATGATAAGAATCTTATCTGTGAACTAAATGATTTCAATAGGCACAATTAAATAAGATTTGCTTTCATGCTTTAAAACACTGTTGATAATTATTAACATAACCACCAAGAAAGAAATTTCACATCCTTGGAAATGAAGAGCACAAATTTGCACACTTCATTTGGTAAATACATATATATCAGTATGATATTTTTTACAGCAGACATTCAAGGAGTAGAGATTCCATCCATCAAAATCACACTGTGGAAGTTGTTCAAATAAAAGTATCACAATATTGCCGGATCAACACTTGATAAAAAAATATTCTAATATCTTGATTATAAATGAAAACTTCCATCTTTTTTTCCCAAATCTGGAAAACTTCCAGTCTCTATCACCATATATTGAAGTATGTATTTAGATTTTTTGTGACATTGTAGAAAGGATTTTTATCAAGTGTTTCTCTCAGAATGAAAAAAGAACTAGTGTATTTCTACGGATGCTAGCTCTTCACGCCAATTAGAACAATGATTAATATGATAATTAAAACAGCCAGTATCACAATACACAACATCTTGCGGTTTTTCTTCTGATACTTCTCAGCTTTTTGTAATTGTTGAAGTCCCTTCTCCACTTGTACACTGGCATGTTCCACATTATAATCTATACGATCCAAAACTGTACCCTGAAACAAAGTCGAGGTGTCATGATCTTAATTGTTATATACCTGTTACATGCTGAAGGAAAATATGCTACAATAAGGGAAAATTTCTACAATTAGGATGAGAGAAGCCATGTTACACACTGAAGGAAAATTTCTACTATTAGGGTGAGAGGTGCCCCGTTACATACTGTAGTAAAATTTCTACCATTATGGTGAGAGAAGCCATGTTACACACTGAAGGAAAATTTCTACTATTATGGTGAGAGGAGCCATGTTACACACTGAAGAAAAATTTCTACTATTATGGTGAGAGGAGCCATGTTACACACTGAAGGAAAATTTCTATTATTAGGGTGAGAGGAGCCATGTTACACACTGAAGGAAAATTTCTACTATTAGGGTGAGAGGAGCCATGTTACACACTGAAGGAAAATTTCTACTATTATGGTGAGAGAAGCCATGTTACACACTGAAGGAAAATTTCTACTATTATGGTGAGAGGAGCCATGTTACACACTGAAGGAAAATTTCTACTATTATGGTGAGAGAAGCCATGTTACACACTGAAGGAAAATTTCTACTATTAGGGTGAGAGGTGCCCCGTTACATACTGAAGGAAAATTTCTACAATTAGGATGAGAGAAGCCATGTTACACACTGAAGGAAAATTTCTACCATTATGGTGAGAGGAGCCATGTTACACACTGAAGTAAAATTTCTACCATTATGGTGAGAGGAGCCATGTTACACACTGAAGGAAAATTTCTACCATTATGGTGAGAGGAGCCATGTTACACACTGAAGGAAAATTTCTACTATTATGGTGAGAGGAGCCATGTTACACACTGAAGGAAAATTTCTACTATTATGGTGAGAGGAGCCATGTTACACACTGAAGGAAAATTTCTACTATTAGGGTGAGAGGAGCCATGTTACACACTGAAGGAAAATTTCTACTATTAGGGTGAGAGGAGCCATGTTACACACTGAAGGAAAATTTCTACTATTATGGTGAGAGGAGCCATGTTACACACTGAAGTAAAATTTCTACTATTATGGTGAGAGGAGCCATGTTACACACTGAAGGAAAATTTCTACTATTAGGGTGAGAGGAGCCATGTTACACACTGAAGGAAAATTTCTACTATTAGGGTGAGAGGAGCCATGTTACACACTGAAGGAAAATTTCTACCATTATGGTGAGAGGAGCCATGTTACACACTGAAGTAAAATTTCTACCATTATGGTGAGAGAAGCCATGTTACACACTGAAGGAAAATTTCTACTATTATGGTGAGAGGAGCCATGTTACACACTGAAGGAAAATTTCTACAATTAGGATGAGAAGAGCCCTGTTACATACTGAATTAAGATGGGACGATCTTCAATGAAAGTTGATGTTATATTAAGTTGCCTCATGTTTGTTTATGAGATTTTCATGTGTTAAAACATATCATATAATATACATATAATAAACAATGATATCACATGACAGAACAGGCTAGATTTGAAATGAAAATTCCAGCATACCTTTAAGGAAGTATCCCAATAACATGATTTATTTCTACATAAGCTGATCTCTTAAGTTTTAAAAACCTCAAGACATTTCATGAACACAAATTTTGCCAAGGGACAGTCAAAACACGACAATAAATTATAGAGCATTAAATTTTAGTTTATTAATAGTGTAAATTTACAGTATTAACTTGTACTTTTTAAGCAGCATAGAAAAATTCATCAGGTAAATCAACTGTAATCACTATATCACTATAAATTTTATTTTCTAAGCAATTCTATAATTCATAGAATAGATAGAAGATATATCTAATATCAAATAGCAGACTTATCAAAACTAAATAATAATAAAGCCCAAATAATCCAAAATTAAACAGAAAGCACCACAGGATGGGTTAATTAAGTTGAATACTACAAAGAATGTCATACAAGGTTGTAAACCAAATTGTTACTTACCTGCTCTACCACCATATGGGAGAGGTCACGAAATATTTCATTGAGATCTTGTATAGACCTGACAACTTGTGTTATTTCTTTTTCTCTTTGTTTCACCACTGCAGAGTTACTGTCAACCATTTGTAGTTGTGTGGTTGTAAATCCCTATTTGATGTGACAAAACAAACACATAAACAAATCATAGCAATGTTGCAATAGATTTTTATGTTGATTTCTACACAAACTGTCATGCCTGTAGTAAGCATACCCTAGATATTACTGAACACATACATCCCTATTTCTACAAACAGCTTGATATCAGCAGGTTACTACAGAGAATACATGTAGTCATAGTCTGTGTTTATACTTTATAATTGAGGTTTTTGACTGTTGAAATGGGATCTTAATGCATTTTGGTAGAGATTTATAATCAACTAAACCATTATCTTGTATTTCTACATGTATTTTTGAATATGGTTTCTTTTGAATGGTACTTAAAACCACAAGTTCATATTTTTGAAGACACTACACAAACATTTCAGAAACATATATTTTAAAAAGATCTTACCTTGTCAAAACCATCCTCTAACATTAAATCCGGTTCCTCTGACATTAATGCTGAATCTGGTCCAAGATTTGTGTCAAAAAACTCTCTAGACCTTTCTTCTCTGCTCTTTATTTCTGCAATATATCATAAAAAAATACTTAAAGAATAAAGAAGTTTTAAAGTGTATATCAATAGAGAACATGTGTCACTCCTAATTGTATATCATGTACCGCAGTAAGCTACGTATGCCGTGATGACGGCCCACCTAAAGCCAAAACATGTTAGCAATCTTCTCCAATTTAAAGTAGAATATTCCTGTTTGGAAACCTGTCTCCCATCCTCGATATTCCAGGAGTTACAATCACATATGCTCTCTGCATTCCCAGAGCAGGTCATGGCAAAATTGAAGACACAAGCAAAGTAATTTAATTGGTTTCAAGAGAAATAAAAGACTGACCAGTCACAGGCTGATATACTCCTTTTAAAGATTGCAAAGGAGTGACACCCAACTTCAAAGTCATCATCTTGTTAATGCGATCCAAATATTCATTTGATGTACATTATAGGATCAAATTAGATTCTTTGTCTTGTCCACAAGGTGTTACACATGGAACCTTCAATTTTGCCATGACATCTTCCAGAGGAGAACAGAGCAATAATGATTGTAGCCCCTGGAGTATCGAGGATGCCTGGCATCATACAATGCTCCCCTTCTGTTTTACTAGGCATCCTCCTGAAATCTAGTAGATAAACCGCAACACACTAGCAGGACGTTGATTCTTGGAAAATTTCTCCAACTCTAGTTTTATGTCATCTGCTTTAATGTACCAGTATCTGTCAATTTCTTTTTCTGATCAGTTTCACAATCTGACCAGGTAAGTCTTTAAGTCTGTCTATACTCTGTCAATGTAAGATGAATTTATGTGTTGACTAATAATACCACTTACTGCGTAGATATGCTGATTGGCTTTTGCGGAAGTTAGTGGACATATCCTGGAGTGTCCTGATCAGAGATGAGATGATATTGGTAGACAACTGTTTCTCATGCTTTGTACCACTGTGACTACTCCGAGAGTTGATTTGGTGAACAATCCTTTGGCATCTTGAAAACATCTACAAACAAATATTTGATCTGTTGGTTATCACAGGTTATATAACAACATTGTGACACATTCAGGAATTTTTACAAGTTAACGATAGCCTGTGTAGGTATTCTCTTATCACAGATATTTACCAGCTACTTTCACAGAAATGAAAACCTGTGTACCTGGGTATACCTGCTGTAGACTACAAGTGATTAAAACCTGTGTACCTGGGTGTACCTGCTGTAGACTACAAGTGATTAAAACCTGTGTACCTGCTGTAGACTACAAGTGACTAAAACCTGTGTACCTGGTGTACCTGCTGTAGATTACAATGATTAAACACTGGTGTACCTGCTGTAGACTACAAGTGATTAAAACCTGTGTACCTGGTGTACCTGCTGTAGACTACATGTGATTAAACACTGTGTACCTGAGTGTACCTGCTGTATACTACAAGTGATTAAAACCTGTGTACCTGGTGTACCTGCTGTAGACTACATGTGATTAAACACTGTGTACCTGAGTGTACCTGCTGTATACTACAAGTGACTAAAACCTGTGTACCTGGTGTACCTGTTGTAGACTACAATGATTAAACACTGTGTACCTGAGTGTACCTGCTGTATACTACAAGTGATTAAAACCTGTGTACCTGGTGTAGAGTACAAGTGACTCAAACCTGTGTACCTGGTGTACCTGCTGTAGACTACAAGTGATTAAAACCTGTGTACCTGAGTGTACCTGCTGTAGACTACAAGTGATTAAAACCTGTGTACCTGAGTGTACCTGCTGTAGACTACATGTGATTAAACACTGTGTACCTGGGTGTACCTGCTGTAGACTACAAGTGATTAAAACCTGTGTACCTGGTGTACCTGCTGTAGACTACATGTGATTAAACACTGCATACCTGGGTTATCTCCTGAGTCTGTATTTCTATTGCATGTTCCTCCTGGATACTGTCATCTAACGTTGGTCGATTTAAGTGTTTGTCATGTAATGTAGCAAGTTCTTTCACTACAATTGAAAAAAATTGCATCATTCACCACTGCAAATTAATTCATTATCTGCAAAGTAGAGCAAAGTGTATCTTACTGCAAAAAATATCTTGATAAAGATCTTAACTTCAGAAGGTAACTAAAAGTAACTAATTAGTGACCTCTATGTATCGATCATATCTTACTGTTTAAGATACATATAACTGATGTGGATGTCAAAACATTAAAACAGCTCCTCAAAATAATATCATTGAATTAATACATTTAATGTTGTTTATTTAGCAGAAATATTTATTTATATATTATTTAATTATTCTAAATTCCTTTCCCATCTGTTTTTATTAAAACAGTGTACACATACAGTGAATACTTACTTTTCTGCTTAATTCTTGTAATTTCATATTGCACTTCTTCCACATTATCAACCCTGAAAGAAAATATATCTTATGTTTGGCAATACTCAGTGTTCCCTGTTAGCCTTGATAATAATGATGGTACAAAATCCAAAACATTATTGAAATTCAAGACCTTTACCCACAACTTGCAAGCACTCTCCAATATAAATACATTGCTAAGGTTAAATTGTACCCCTTTTCAGGATACCATTGACTCCGAAGCTAAAAAGTGATAATTTAGATAAAAAAAATAGAAATGATTGATGATATGTAATTTAACTGATCTATGATAAAGAATAAAACAACTGGTATGGTTCATTATCAATTATATATAATTAAAAACTCATAAACATTTAAAAGTCATGAAGTTACATTTAAATAAATGAGAAATCTAATAATAAAAACACTTCTTTAACTTCCTATGATTAATCATTTCAATGAGAGAAGATTAATGCACATAAGTTGTTCAACATTCAGAGAAAAGTATCATGTACACTTATTATATAGACCTCCTTTTAATAAACAACTATGTATAACCTGAAACATACCTCAGAGTATGTTTCTGGCTCACAAATCATATTCTTTATTCAGAATTTGGTCGTTTTCTGTCCTTAACCATTCTTTCAATAGATACTAAATATGAATCTTCTTAAATTCTTAATGCAAATACAAAATTTTGGTTTGAGATAGCGTTACAATATTCTACTTCAAGTAATGGACTCAAAGTTCTTGTTCCCCAATTTTTCTTACCATTCTGGAGGTAGTCTAGAAGCCTTTGTACTAGCTATACCCAATTCTGGATCAACCTGGCAATTGGACACTAAGGCCATTCGGTCATCAGCCATCTTTCAATGAAAAACAGATCATGTTAAATTTCAAATTGATTTTGTTTTAATGTTTAAATGTAAATAAATAGATAAATCTGCACTTGTACTTTTAAAGTGATGCTTTGTAAAATTACATGATAAGTGATCAATCTACATTTGAGTGCAGAGTCCTGCACTTATAGAACTTTGATGGGACTTGTAGAATTTCTGGAAATACTTTAAATTTTACATTGTGGAACTCATTGTTTTTTAGCAATAAAGCCGTTAAGGACTCGTGAAAATAAATTGTTGAATGATCTCTGCAGGGTACAATTTTTTTCCATCTGAGGGAGTAGTTTTATGAGTAAAACATCAAACCAGTATTTTTCAAACAAAGTGAAACATTAAAAGAATACTGCACATTAGATAAGTAATGTGGTGACAAACGGCTTGAACCAAGATATGAAATTACAGAGCTATATCAGGGCTCTCGATCTGCCAGATTTGGGGTCGAATACCCCAATGCAAAATAGTATCTTTTTTTCCCAATTTAGACCCGAAGTTTTCCCATTTCTAAGGAAAACGCCATTATTTTTCCCATTTCTAAGGGCCTCGGGACCCAGTCTCAAAATGGGGTGTGAGAGCCCTGTATATATTTACATGTTCAGTTATTATAATACAACACTACTAATGAGTATGACTTTGACACAATTCACTAAAACTAATCTTATTTCAAACAGAGCACTACAGTACAACATGAAAATGAACATGGTTATGTGTATGCTTTGTTAGATTAAAGTACTGCAAAGAACACAAAATGACTTTCTCTAGCAATAATTACTGAAACTGTATTTTCACTGTGAGGCAGTAGGTTCTTGTAAGATATACAGGGTAGTGTGTACATGGAACATAACAAACACAAGGTGGAAACTGGAATAATCATGAGCCTGATATACTTCCCTCCAGGTACCAATTTCAGTGCATTTAGACATGTGTAAAAATGAAACTTTTGTACGTTAGGGTAGGAATCTAATTTGTCATCTTGGATTTCTGATTGACACACAGAGTGTTGACAACTCTTAAGAATGACAAATTCAACAAAAGATCCTGGAGGGACATTGATCTTCATAAGTCTGAGCTTTTGATTTTTTCTGCTTTCCAGACAAAGTGGAACCTACTTTTGAAATTTCAGAATTACCAATCCAATACATTGTACGAGGTTAATTCCAAAGAAATAGCCATGTTGATAATAACAATAGTTTTAACATTTAACATCCAAGATGGTCACGATCGGCCATTTTGTTTTTCTGATTAGTCTCTGCATTTAGCAAGCACATCCAAGACTCAAAATATGTAAATATCCATTCAGTAAATAGGAAAAGCAATATCAAATTCTCAAAATCAAAGATGTCTGCATGTCAGCCACTTTGTTTTTTGTGGTCAGTTGGAAATTGTAAAGGTACCACTTGGGACCACGCAGAGTCTAGAAACGAAATTGAAATTCCAATATACCAGTAGCTGCTCTTCAGTCATTTTGTTTTCTGGATTTTAGAATTATCAGGACGCCATGTGGGAGAAAGGATAACATATATATAAAAGTGGAGAAAATTTATCATATCCTCCAAAAATGCACAGATCAAACATTTAAACGGTGTTTTTTTCAGAACGTCATTAGCTATCTGACAAAAAGGAGACAATAAGTTACTATAATAAGCTTTGGTATGAAAAACTTTAGTATCACCTTAACAACTAAAAATAGTGTAAAATTTCATGAAAATAACAATAAGTTACAAAACGAGTTTTAACGATTGGAATTGACAAGCAGTGTCCCGTGCATGTATCTACCACATCTTGGACTTTGGATGAAACTGCAGCTAAACTTGTTGAGAATCAGCCATAGGATCAATGCGTTACATGTATAATGAGAGTGTGTCTAGGGAAATGTTTTGCTTTTATAATGAGTGAAAAAACGTGATCTCATCAACATGACTGTGACATGTACAACATTTAAATGTGACAGTTCCTAAGTGATGAATTGCAGAAAGAAATTTTTAATATTCTAACGTTTTGTAAGCCTGTTTTTCTCATCTTACCTGTTCTGAGAACATGTTGCGACTTTGAAGCGCATTGTTTCTCATCAGAATGAACACCTCGGTAAGGCTGCGTGTTGCCATCTTTAACAATTAACCACTGTTAACAAAAAACTAGGTTTTGATTTTTGCCGGGGCTTAGTCGACTGCTTTGTCCGCCATGTTTTTCTTCACGTCATATTTATCAGGTCCGCAGTGAATAATCAATTAGGTAAATAATGATTAAAATAATTAGGTATGATTAGGGACGTATTAAACGTCCCTGGTATGATGTAGTCAAATTTGTACAATGACAATTCTTTATTAAATGTTTTGCAACCCATCCCTTTCATGCTACGTATATATATTCTCTTTCTTCTGGAAACTATCATCACTAAAACAACCGTCAGTTTTTATCTCCGGATAATCTTTAAAGTCCCATTATGTTGATCGTATATCGTCATTTTCTACCTTATCGATCTGTCTTATTTTTTAGATAATCATACAGACTCGGCATGCGTGCCTATCTAAATAGTTGATGATACTTTCGTGTAATTCTTTGCTTATTAAGAGAGGAACCGTAGACCCTTGCTAATGAATCCTAGAAAGACGAATCAGCTTTGTAATGGTTAATTATTTTGTTCTACTTATTAAATTCAAATTTTGTGTTGAAAGGTGTTATTCACCGAGTGGTTTTCAATATCTTTATCCGGAATATTTCTGTTTTTAATATTATAAAATATCAAAAACATTTCGGTGATTATGACAATAATCCAAATCAAACAGATGCTTTGATCCAGTTTGAACACGAAGCACAACATAATTTAAATGATGTGATGTTGATAATTGAGGAGTATTCTACACTGTTGCAATTATGGAAGTGACAAACGGTTTATTGACAAGTTTTGTCCAGACCAAGTCTATTGAAAGGATTTTGGCACCAATATCATCACAGGTACGTTGGTAAAATTTAAAATTTAGAGAGATTGTTTTTTTTAGGTGGGGGGGGAGGGGATTTACGAATTCAAGTCATTGCAGTACCAAGTTGTTGAGGCACCCAGTCGTTTCAATACTTGCAAAATGCTTTACACATCTAGAGTATCATTTTCAGTGAACGTGTTTTCAGTAACAGAGTTTCTAATATTTATTAATACCAAAACAACACCTATAAAACATAAAACATTTCTAAGAGTACCGAAACGATTTATTTTGGGAGTACCGAAGGGTTGAAGATTAGAAAGAGGATGTTCAACATTTATCATTCATATCAGAACTTGTTTTTTTATACCATATTAGAATATGGATTTTTCAGTTAGTTTACAGTAGCTCTGTCATTATATACAATATCTTGATTTTTCCAAGACTTATCCAGTTTGTTTTTAAAAGTATTTATATTTGGAGCAGATACAACGTCTTCTGTAGGATTATTCCATGTTTTTACAGTTCTTATAGCAAAGCTATTTCCTCTTCTGTTGGTCCTGTGTTGTTGAAGAAAAAGTGTTTTAGAGTGTCCTCAACCACTTCTTATTCCTACATCCATTTTAAGCTTTACAAAATTGCATGAATCCTTATCATATATACCATTTGTGATTTTATAGAGTTCTATCATATCCACCCTAAGCCTTCTGTATGTTAAAGTTGGAAGAATTAGCTTCTGTAGCCTGTCCTGGTATAACATATCCTTCATTCAAGGAAACTTTTTTGTGGCCCTTCATTGAACAGACTCAGCTTATCTATATCTTTCACTTTTACTGGTGACCAAACAGAACTTGCGTAATCCAGTTGTGATATCACCAAGCTTTTGTACAGCGGAAGAAAATTTTTGGAATTCATAAACTGAAATGTTCTTCTTAACAATCTGAAAATTTGATTTGCTTTGATTTGAATTCCATGTCTCCCAGTTGATATTCAGATAGTTTAAATCCTCCATAATTACTAAGTGAGTCTATTATTCTCATCCATGCCACTATCGGATCATCATATCATTCCAATAAGTATTTTTTCGTGTTTAGCATGGCACCAATTCTGAATGTGCCCATATTTTACATCATATACAGTAGTCCCAGTGACCTATGCTCATAAAAGACAGCATTTCTGCAGATTAGGTCCAGAAAATGTGCCACCAAACTATTCTCATCATTACATGACCTTTCATACTCCAAATGAATAAACAATTTGAAATAATACCAACATTAGAATATAGGAGGCATAAGGGCTGATTAGATCAAAGATTTCAAAATATAGAACACAATAGGTTTGATGAATCAAACAGTATTTCCACTTGTAGACAATCAACACACTAACTAGGGGAAATGTGACTGTAATCACTATGAATTCTTTACCAAAGTTGTAGCACCATCTTGTCTGATTTGTTTTTACTGGATAGTCTGATATTAAGAGTGTGTGTTTAGAAATGTGACTGAACCTCCATTTCTAGAAACACCACTGCATCACAGAAACACACGGTTCAAAAGTGAAAAAAATATACAGTTTTTAGAGACATAATTACAATGGGAAGGATGAATGAAATTTGTGTCAGTATGTACCATTTCAAAAGGTTTTAAAGATTTTATCTTTGAGTTGGATATTGTTTGTCCCTTTCTGCTCTCAAATGAGCCCGTCATATTATTATATTCCCCTTTTTGGAAGTGGTATGTACTTCATTTTCATGCATTTATAAAAATGAATATTTAATAATGAGTGTCTGTGATTGAAGAGTGACTGATTGTGATGAAACAGTACACAACAGGGGTGTTCAGTTTTCTAATTGTAACAACAATACTGATGTATTTACGGTAAAAATTCCCAAAAAAAGGAATGTTGGCTATGTCAAGATAGCTTGCATTGTAGATCTTACTTTGTTTATTTTTGATGTCTGGTTTCATCACTTTTAAAATCTTTGACTTCTCTCCACAGATATCCTTGCTTATTATCCTTGGAGAAACTAAGGCTGATGTGTCAATACCAAATGATATAGGACCATGTGCTTCTGCAATGATGAAAGCAGCAGAACACTTGATATCAGTAGGAAAGGCAAAGGCACAAAGTGGCACAGATCAGGTAAGTCTGCCAGTTAGATTAATAAAGTGATATTATCTATTTGGAAGAGTTGCAAAACAAGTTAAATCAATGATTTATTTTATTTGCTGAATGGAATGTGAGAGGGATTTTACAGTAAATTTGTGCGTAAAATACACACTTTTATAGGCAAAAACTGTCGTGTACTTTGAGAGAAAACTGAATTACTTGAGCAATATCTATGTGGTTGAGCTGGTGACTCTATACCTGTTCACATTCAGTTGCATACTGATCTGGTGTAAAATTGAGTGCCATGCTACTTTGCCAACCAACAACTCAAAGTATATAAATGGCTGCAGGTGTTTGTTCTATGTTATTACCACTGAATGTTACCTTAGATGCAAAAAAACTCTGCAAACATTATCAAACAATTTTATAATATTGAGTTTCAGCATATTCATATCATTTACATATGTACATGGTTACCTTTGTTTTCAAAAGAACATGACATACATAGTACCTATAGTAGTAATACAAAGAATTTTGTCACTGTAAATGATGCACACTGGTAGATCATTCCTCACAACAAAATCATTTGATTATCACTGACATTTTCAGGCCTTAAGGCTATCTTTAGAGGGAATTTTTTTAACAATATGATGCGTGTATATATGTTTGCAGGAGTACAGTCAGCGAATGCTGAGTGCCTGTGAAACTCTAGACCTAGCTTCCAGCGATCTTTACCTTGCCACGCAGAGACTTGAAGGAAACAGTGTCAGGGAAGAATGGTCGAAACTTGTGACAGCTGCTAAAGATGTTCTTCAGGGCACTATGAAGGTTCATATTATAAAACTAGGATGATATATGTAAAAGTACATTGTAAAATTAATTCAAATATTCTCATTGTTTACTTTGCAAACACAATTAGTTTCTGGGATGAAAGCAGGTCCTGCTTCAAAAAACCTTTATCTTTTTCATATGTGCTTTATATAAATTTCTGTATCTTTAGTCTTGTTAACTGTAATATTTTTCATTGTACCTTTTGTATATGCCTGTAGCTTCATTATCATTATACTAGAAAACCATCTGTCTTCAAACTTCTTATATATCTTGAGGAGTTGTAGCCTATTTACAGATTTGTAAAATACAAGTCATTATGATAAATTTTCATATGAAAACTGGACTCTTATCTGTACTGGTTTACTATAGTGCATAGTTACATTTCAATAAATGCTGGTATACCAACTCAATTACGTCTTTCACAAAATATTTTACGTACACTATTACTTAAAATTATATGGATCCAATGTTTTTTTGTTGGCATTTTTAATACAAAATTAAATCAGATATGTATAGGACTAAGTGTTACAGTGGTTTGATCTCTGATTCAGGTATTACTGGTGTCTGATGATGCAGAAGTTCGCAGAATTGTTTCAGCTGCCCACCTGGTGTCAGAAAATATCAGTCGTCTAGGACTAGTACAGACCATGGCAGACCTGCTCACCTGTTTTAAGGTACGTAGTAGCTACAGAATGTCCGAATATGCAATTCTACTGATTTGCGACATAAACACAGTAATACACAGTGTAATTCTGAAGAGACCCAGAATTTGTTTGCCTGTAGCTGTATATTTGCTTAATATGGAACATTTCAGGGAAGTGCTACTATTTGGAAAATTTTGTATTTTCACAAAAACACCTATACATACAAGCAGTAAGTATGATCAATGCATCAGCTACCATGACAGTGACTGCTTCATAGCTCGCCTACTTGTATTCAAACAGCAAGTAAACTGGTGAGGTGTTACAGCATCCATTTGTCATTCATCCGTCCATGAATGTGTTGCAATACTAGAAGAAATACAAAAATGAAAGTAAAGTATAAACTCAGGATTTATTTTCACAAATCTTCCTTAACTTAAGGAAATCTTAACCACCAAAGAAAAGCATTGAGGAAGTTAAGGAAAATCTTAAATTTAACGATATTTCCTTAACTTATGTAATGTTTTCCTATGGATAATTTTAAGTTAGAAAATTCCACAAGTTAAGGAAGATTTGTGGCACTGGGGCCTGAAGTTCTGATAACCTGACAAGTAAATTAGCTGCTAAATGAGCTTAATCAATTGTCACTTTTTCCCTCATTCAGAGGAAACTGCAATACATTTAGCTCAGATGGTAGATCATTGTACTTTACAAGTAGATCTAAGATGTGTGGTTCTTACCAGGGATGATTTATTTTTCTCAAGAAGCTGAGAAACAGACTAATCTGTGTTGATGTGGTTAAGTCAGTGGGTAGGAGACTTTACCCAAATCGCTTTTGATGTCATGTAACTGACATACTGTATGTTGTTGTTCAGGGAGGTAACCACTAGCAACCACAATTGGACACCACCTTAAAATGACCCTGTCAATCATGAGGCAATAAACCCAACAGTACAAGCCTAAAGGATGCACTTGATCTGTCCTTTATAACGGTGCTGAAAGGCCTGGATTTCATTTAATTCACATACTATTATACCATTAAAGAGGAATATTTTAAGTCATAAATAATTGTATACAAAATCCTTTCATGAAAATGTGTTTATATTGAGAGTTATTTTATTATTATGCAATGTCTAGATGTTACATATGAAATGAGACATCAGCATTGATCAGATACAAATTTGAATGGTGAAAGGTGAAAACTTCCAAATATACAACCATACATGGATTTAACTTGCATTACAGAGTTTTACTGATGCTGCAGCCCAGTTATGTACACTTGCTAACAAACGACAGAAAGACTTGTGTCATGACAGACAGCGAGAAAAAGTGATTACATCGATGGCTTTGTTGAAAAAGTCTATACCTTCAATGAGCGTAGCTCTGCAGAGCTTTGTGAAGTACCCGCAAAACCCACAGGCACAGGTAAGACTGAAACAAAACATAATTACTAGGATTGTATATTGTATAAACACCGTCATACCTTTCTAACTGTCTTCCTTGAAATGTATGGAAACAATTCCCAAAGCTATAGTTGTTTATGACCCAGAAGTGAATACTAAAAAATTCATGTTCATTGAATGTTTTCATATATACATATTTGATATATTCTTGAACATCTTACCTCTCTCTCAGAATGTTTATGTCCTTAACATAGATATTAGGTAAGTATTTGATTGAACTGTTTTATTGTACCAAAGAGTATTATACAAAAGCTGGAACCTAATAGAACATATTCATATATCAGTAATACTTACCTATCTACTGTTTCAATATTCAGTGTTACTGTATTTTCAGTATAGAGTAAAATTTTTTTTATTGAGAGAGGTTATCACAAATGATATCATGAAAAAAAAATCCTTATTTCTATTCAGACATTTCCAACATGATTGGCTGGTAGGCGGCCATCATCAGGATGATGACGATGGAAACATGACATTGTCTAAATTGTGATAAAAAACAACTGTAACAGATATTAAGGAGGACTTTTTATTCAATGTATTATATTTACAAATGCTGTATAGCTGATAATTTTCATAGGTCAAAATTTTCGATATTTTTCCTTTAAAACAAAGAAACTATATTTTGATGAATTAAAATTTCTCGATCTATATGTGAAAGGATGCGTAATACACACGTCTCATTACGTCACAGATTTTATTTTCCTGATCACATTACTGTAACGCGAAATTGTTACCCCTGTGTAAATAACTAGCTAAACGATGGTGATGATTTCTATTGAATACCTCTCGGTATCCATCCAGTATGATTGCTGTGACTTTTACATTAGGAATATTGTTTTTCTTAACTTAATTGGTTTCTTTTCAGATGAGTAAAACTTGTGTAATGAACCAGGTGCTTGCTGCTGTACGAGACATTGTAGAAGCTCTGGAGAATAAGTTTACAGACGAGGAATACCTCAATGTAGAGGAATCCGGCTTCTTTATAGCCAAAGTGGATCAGGTAGATAGGTCTTCCAAAAAAAAAAAAAAACAGAACCCAGTGACTCTCATTATTTGAGAAGTGTTTTTAAAATTAACCAAGAAAAATTCCAATTTTCTAGAAAACGACTTATAGTTTATTATTATTCCAGAAGTAAGTATTTGTATGTGACTACCATTTATTTGAAACATTGTTGGTGAAATAATATTTTCACTACTCTTCTAATTGTGTTGATTTTTGTTTCCAGATACTTGAGGTACTGTCTGAAGATAATCGTACAGAACTACACACTGACCTGGAAAGTTGGACAGAGATCATCGTTCGACACAGCATGCTGGTGGCTCACATGTGTACAGACAGTTATCGTGATACAATCATCAGGACTTGCCAGCGGGTAACATCACAGCTAGGCTATTTTTTTAATAACTTCTACTGCTTTATATTTTATCTATACATGATGTATCTATTTAGTGTAATTATTGTGAAACATGTCATGAAAAATTAACATAATTAAACCTGTGTATTGTTTACTACAATCTAAAGGAACAGATTTGGAAAATTAAAATAAACTGTTGAGGAAATATCGAGAGGCAAAAATGAGACAAACAAAACATAAAAAAATAACTGTTAAAAAGATAAAGATGTCTGTTGGAAGTGGTAATCTTAAAGTCCATGTGATGACACAAGAAAAATTTGTTTAAATTTTTCTGATCTTAGGCTTTGTGAATCCACTCTGTATGATCATTGTAATTTTTACAGTTACCACTTTTATGACCCCCACACTACCTGTGTGACCTCTGCCCTTTGTATATACATACGCCTTTGGATAATTTTCACGTTGATATTCAGTAATTCTGAACGTTTTTTTTAAACAGATTTTACAGCTGAAGTCTCGGGTCTTCCAGCTACATGGCAGTATTAAAGACAATCCAGATATAAAAGCGATGCAGTAAGTTTACTTTCGTTTTAGACGCTAAATTAAAACACATTATTAGGTTATATTTTTAGGAAACTCATTACTTAGTAAAATTTCTGGTTCTTCAAGCTTTAAAAGTTTGATGATAAGTTATATAGTTTCCTTCTATATTTAAAATCAGACTCTCAATATGCTCTTTTTTTGTGGTCTTCAAAGTCATATGAAAACAGTAATTTAAAGAAATGGCAAAATATTCTTGTTGTCGTTATTTTCTTTATGAAGTGAAATGTTTCCTTGTCGCTTTGTTTCTTTATCTAGAGACGACTTCAATGACATTTGTGAAAACCTCATGGATGAGTTTTATGAACTTGAGAGGAATGTGAATTTGGCTCTGCTGCATTTGGTGATTGACATATTCCAGGAGACAACTGAACCATTGGAAAGGCTTGTCAAGTCTGCAATGTACTCCAGTGAGGTGTGTTATAGTTCATAGAGGCTATCTTATGCTTGATAAGGCTCTGTGGTGTATTTTACCGTTAAAGATGATAATCTTATTCTCATCCTTAGGTGCCATGATAGCTTAGTCTGTAGAAATTCAAACACCTTCTATCCTAAGGTCAGGATCAAAGAGGCATGGTTTGAATAGCTCTTGCTCAAAGCGTTACAGACTGTAGTAGTTTTGTCCTTCAGCAAAACTCTTTACTCCCATTGCTCTTGATAGCATAAGATGTGCCTTCCATATGTTGTTCATTGAGGTAGTTGCTAGTTATTACAATGTAATACAAAGTAAAATGTCTATGTATTCTGTTGTAGGCACAAAGTCTCCAGGACCTCAGTGAGGAGTACATACAAGACTTTGAAAATCATGCAGATAAGATGTGTCAGACGGCAAGATGTGTGGCCGCGAGTTCTTCAGACAAAAGAAGTAGGTTATTGTAAATATATATATTTCAGCAGTAATTTTATTTTGCACTGAAAAAATTGACACTATAGTTTAGCTGTGTTGATTGCATTTTCTGTACACTGTTCTCATTGAAATATTGAAAATTCATTTAAATTTGATACCACCAAAAAATTCAAAGTACATGTACTGTATGCCTGGTCTGTGATAATTTAATCTATGGCAGATATATTTGGTGTTTGTTTGATTGTAACTTAAGTACATGAAATACATTTCCTATGAAAATGTTTTTCTCCTGTAACACCACATAGGCAGAGTAATGACAAATAATTTATCATAAAGAAAGCATGACACATTTGTCTGGTGTAAACAAAGGGTACAAACTTTAGCAAATGATGATCAGTTTAAACATTTCTTATTTTTTTCATGGTGTAATTTTGTCATTATATTTTATCAAACCTGATTGTTTCGTTTTCAGGAGTGCGTGTTTTGAGGACGTGTGTGTGTAGACTTGAACGCTTAGATCCAGAAATGGTTCCGGGAGCAGTAACCATAGCGAAGACTTCTTGTGATAAAATGGCCATTAAGCATCTCAAATTGTTGATGAAGGAGTGGTCATTTGAGGTCAAAAACTTGGTGGAAGTCCTGGATGAAATGACTGTCCCGGCCATATTTCTCCAGGTCTCTGGTAAGACATTGAATAAATGATTCTTTATAGAAAGACAAAAATATTTAAATGGATTTCCATGTAATGGGAACCATTTTGTAATTACTTATCATGTTTAATATGAAAAGTAGTTTTGTTTTATCTTTAGAAAAAAAAATTATTGACCTTTAAGCTTTGTAGAAAAATAATCAAAATGTTGTTTTGATGGGAAAAGCAATGGTCATCATTTCTTAAATTGCATCTGCCATGACAGATTTATATATTGGTACATTAGAGGCGTTTTTCTCCCTGATTCTTAATGTAAATATCGTACCCGAACACAGGTTACAGTCACCAATATCTGTTTGTTACGTTTGTGTTTGTAGGTTATATTGTTACAGCTAGTTTTTCAGAAGTTATTGTTTTTCAGAGTCAAAAATAGAAGAGGATGTCAGTGTCTGTTTAGGGTTTATAGCAGAGGAGGATTTGGTGGGCGTTGCCAAGACATTGAGGGGGGTGGTTGGGCGGTCTCGCCGTGTCGCCCAGTTTGCAGAACGTATTGTTGATCATAGCCGGGACCCATTGTATAGGAATGGTCTACAGTCTTACATCAAACAGTTACAGAGAGGTATGTATACCATAACTGTATACCAGCGTTTAAAATCTTCTTTACAAAACATGGCCGATAATGATTAATCTGTTTGTGAATTTGCACAAAATAAAATGTCAGAAAATGTCCAGTGAAGCTTTGTGAGCCCTCCTATCAATGTGACTTGTTTGGTGTTCAAGTCATTCAAGAGCATTTTCGAGAAACTACTCCTTTTGTTCCAGTAATTACCAGTGTTGTGTTTCACAATAGAATAATCTACAAAGTTTTATCTTCATCTTTTAGCCATTAAAGGTGTGCGTGCAGCGGGAGGTAACATCACAACCACCCCATCTAATCCCTCTTCTGTGGACACACTGAAGAGACGTTTCAAACTGTTGGTAGACTGTGTAAAGCAGGTGAGGGCAGGACTTACAGATGACAATCATCCTGATATTCTTAGTCCTGTCCGACATCAGGCTCGGCAACATGATACAGAACATGGTGAGTAGCTTACTTTCAATAATCTATCACAACATCTCTAACACTTATAGTAACTTTATGTAAAAAAGGTTATTTGCTGACTGATTGTACTAATGGATGGATAGGGAAGTATACAAACTGAGGGCTGTGAGAGTTTTCCCTACAGTATACAAACTGATGGCTGTGAGAGTTTTCTCTACAGTATACAAACTGATGGCTGTGAGAGTTTTCTCTACAGTATACAAACTGATGGCTGTGAGAGTTTTCTCTACAGTATACAAACTGATGGCTGTGAGAGTTTTCTCTACAGTATACAAACTGATGGCTGTGAGAGTTTTCTCTACAGTATACAATCTGATGGCTGTGAGAGTTTTCTCTACAGTATACAAACTGATGGCTGTGAGAGTTTTCCCTATAGTATACAAACTGATGGCTGTGAGAGTTTTCTCTACAGTATACAAACTGATGGCTGTGAGAGTTTTCCCTACAGTATACAAACTGATGGTTGTGAGAGTTTTCTCTACAGTATACAAACTGATGGCTGTGAGAGTTTTCCCTACAGTATACAATCTGATGGCTGTGAGAGTTTTCCCTACAGTATACAATCTGATGGCTGTGAGAGTTTTCTCTACAGTATACAATCTGATGGCTGTGAGAGTTTTCTCTACAGTATACAAACTGATGGCTGTGAGAGTTTTCTCTACAGTATACAAACTGATGGCTGTGAGAGTTTTCTCTACAGTATACAAACTGATGGCTGTGAGAGTTTTCTCTACAGTATACAAACTGATGGCTGTGAGAGTTTTCACTACAGTATACAAACTGATGGCTGTGAGAGTTTTCCCTACAGTATACAATCTGATGGCTGTGAGAGTTTTCTCTACAGTATACAAACTGATGGCTGTGAGAGTTTTCCCTACAGTATATAATCTGATGGCTGTGAGAGTTTTCCCAACAGTGCACAAACTGATGACTGTGAGAGTTTTCCCAACAGTATACAAACTGATAGGTGTAAGAGTTTCCCTACAGTACACAAACTGATGGCTGTGAGAGTTTTCCCAACAGTATACAAACTGATGGCTGTGAGAGTTTTCCCGACAGGATACAAACTGATGGCTGTGAGAGTTTTCCCAACAGTACACAAACTGATGGCTGTGAGAGTTTTCCTAACAGTACACAATCTGATGGCTGTGAGAGTTTTCCCTACAGTAAACAAACTGATGGCTGTGAGAGTTTTCCCTACAGTATACAATCTGATGGCTGTGAGAGTTTTCCCTACAGTATACAAATTGATTGTTATCACAATTCTATTTCATTTGTTCTTGATTTTTATAGATAAAGGTTTTCTAAGAAGAAACAGACAATCCGAAAGTGGGTATGGCACTATGGGGTTAACTGGAAAACTCAGATTTACTTCTACAACCTCATCGTATGAACCTGAGGTTATAAGGTCAGTGCAGAGGTCAGAGGGCATGGTACCAGTTCATGAAGGGGAAATAAAGACAGTCAACAGCAGGTTACATCAACATGTGGCCCCAACTTCTGGGTCTTATACAGGTAAGTCAAGTATCAATATAATGTGGCACCTTTTCCCTGCCAAACTGCAGAAAATGACTAAGTTCCAAAGCCCCGAAAATCCAGAAAAATATCCAGAATGAATCCATAATAGGAGGTGCACATCTTCAACATATATATAAACATCCTACAAAGTTTCAAGCTTCTACGTCAAAAACTCAAGGAGGAATTGATTCTACAAAACTGGTACCCCTTTTCCCCGCCCGCCCACCCGACATACACCATACTATAACCCGGATTTGCACTATGTGCAACCTGGCCAAAAATTGTAATGGTTAACTGAGATCATTGATCAGTATCTGTGGTATATGATTACAGCCGAGGAATCTGTCTAAAAAGATGTGAAAAATGAGGAACCAATTTTGTTCAATCTGTCTTGCTATTTACAATGATATCATAAAGTGGAATAACATTTAGAAGGATGAAAGACAAAAACAAAAGGATGGTAGGAAAAAAGAAAATTAGAGTTTTTTTGAGCCAATGCTTGGCTGATTAATAGAATCTTTCATCCCATTTAGGGTGAGACAAGGGGGATCTCCCCCCAAGGGGACAATTATCAAGTTGTCCAAGAAGTTGTGGATTAAAATGAGTTTCAATCTTGATGACAACACAGGATTTTCAATCTTGAGGATAACACAGGATTTTCAGTTTTGAGGATAACACAAGATTTTCAGTTTTGACGATAACACAAGATTTCAGTTGCAGACGAACCAATGTATGTGTGTGACCTCATAAAAGTGGTTTCACTTCTGGATCATGTTGGTGACGTCAGTTACCCTAAAGTGACACCAGCATATCTCACGTTGAAAAAAGAGCATGGATTTACCTGTCCAGGGAAAAGGACACTTTATTCTTACATAATCGTAACGATTATATTGGTTGTGTTTGTAGAGTATCCTCACGCACGTCTCTTGGGGCGAGAACTATGTATGGAGGCAGTTCGGGGAAACACACAAAGAGAGGCAGTGATTGAGGGAGAGGTTCTTGGCTGGACCAATCATATTGTAGATGCTGCAAATGAAGTGTTGATTCATTGTGAAGATTTGGAATCAAAGCGGTAAGTAGAACAGGATCTGTGTGGTTAGTGCCAGTTAATCACATTTTGTCTGTCACGTGCAAGGAATTATTCCGTCAGTCACGAAAATGTAATGTTCATGCCAGACTTAAGAACAAAATCTTGTCACTTTATTTCTGATCATTTTCTGTTGACACAGAGTAAACAAAGCTCTGGCCTTTGAGGTGGACACGCTGACTCCTAAAATTCTGGACAAGGCCAAACTTGTGGCTCATGGTGACAAAGACGAGGCTGCAAAACTGACCAGTCTTGTTGAGGAATGGTCAAGTAAGGTGAGTTATTGACTACAGTTAACAAGAAATGGTAAACAAAGGTTAGCAAACTGACCAGGAATATTCAAGAAGTTGCTGTACACACAGTACTTTCCACAGCAGCTTATTGCCCAAACCTTTAGCTGTGACACTTACCACGCTTGGAATTATAAATGGGCTATAATTCTAGGACTCCAGGTTTTGTTTTGGGTATCACCCATAGAATTTAATTGATATTTTGCTTAGAAGTACAAGGTAGGAAACGGAATCATGAACAAAAGTGACCAAGGAACAAGTAGATGATGTATTGGTGTAGCCAATATTGAAATGTCTCAGTATTCTTATAGATTATGAAATAAAATAGGTTCACAACATTTATGATTAAATGTCTTAAATAACTGAAAGTGCTTTAAAAATCAATGGCAGGGAAACAAATATCTCAATGTAAAATGCCATTTAGTTATAGTTTAAGTAGATAAGTCAATCGCAACAGGTTCGGGATAAGTTGGTTTTTTATTATCTACCGGTTTCGTCCGAACAGTGGGCTTCTTCAGGACGGTAGACGTTTCACAATAATCCTGAAGAAGCCCACTATTCGGGCAAAACCGGTAGAGGTTTCACACTAATAAGAAATCAACTTATCCCGAACCTGTTGCGATTGACTTATATACTTAGTTTCCCCTATTCTTCAAACGCCCTGCATACCAGGTGGTATCTGGACAAGGGATATAAAGAACCAACGGAATCTCAGTTAGAATTTACGGCGTTGGCTCTACCCCTGGATTTATGGTTTATAGTTTAGATATTAAGGAATTGTGTTTTGAAATTATTTTTATTTCATTAACAGTGTGGAAGAATGATGAAAGTTTGTATTCTTTTATGAATACAAATGTCCATACCTTCAGGAGTACTGAGATCAGCTTTGAATTTCTACAAGTTGTTTTAATTCCTGTTATTTATTTTGAAGGTGGAAAAGCTGAGGATATTTGTGGATGTGACGGTGGAGCGTTGGAAGATGATAACGGACAAGGTCCACAAGGCTATGGTAGACAGAAATACTGACCTTCTCAATAAGGAGGTAAATTTAACTTGATTTCATGCAGTGTCAACCCGGTTCCTGGCCAGTGGAATGGGGAAGTTTATGATATACACAAGAAGCAGTTAGAATGGTAACAGTTGTGCAAATATGTACACAGGAAAACAATCATGTGGGGTTTTCATCACCTTCAAGGAAAAACATTCATTCCTGCCCAGTTTTTGCCCGTCTTCAGATGGGCCATACTTACCTTACACTTTCATATATGTTGAAAGGCGAAGATTATCCTCGGTGCATAGGATGTGATGAGCCATTTACAGTTAACATTTTTTATTGGACTGCATTGACCTGTTTATTGTATGTTTTTAGTCTAAACACCCTGTTTGTAACTGTTCAGATTTATAAAATTCTAGGTTATCTGAAAGATAATATTGTATATATAGGATATAATTTACCATTTTGATCTTTTGTAAGATATAGCTATATAAGATTTTCAACATTTGTCTGGTACCTTTAAGTCCGTTTGGTGTTATTTCCATTTTGATCGCTGTGTTGTTCACCGGTTGATGACCCTAATGACCTTTTATGTATTGACGGGTCATTTAGACTGCAAAAATAAATAAATTTTGCCCAGTTTTAAATTCACCTTCAATATCAAAACATACATTTGGACCTTAATATGAAATTTAAGCCTTTTCTTCTTTTGCCCCTAATGACAACTGGAAAAAATGGGCAAAAGTTAAACTGTGGCGAGAGTTTTCTCATATGTCCTGGTAAACAGGTGAATGAATGTATATTGCTTGACCAAGTTGTTCATCACATGATTAGAGTTCCTGTGGACAGTGGTCAAATTTTTAAAGAATAAAAGTAGATAGTAACATATATGTTTAAATTACACCTTCATAATACTTTGTGTTAGGAGAATGATTTCAAAATTACCACTGCTGAATGGTACTTTCCTTTTTGTGGCATATAAACAGATTAGCCAAACATATTGTTTAATTAATGAAATCGAAAATCATTTTTACATAAGCTCTTTACTTTGAATAAATCATTGAAATTATTGGATATTTGTATCGCCTTTTCTGAATTGAGGAAACTAAGTATGGTACATATGGTATTGAAGATACAGCACTCATTGTGAGTTCATGTTAAATAGAAGTTTGATACCTTGTTGTAGGCAGCAGTGCTATATAGTCACCAGAAAGCTATGTCAGATGTCCTGGAGCTCGTCTCAATGTTTGGACAGGATCCACATGTAAAGGATCAAAATAGGATCTCAAAGCTTTTAGAAGACAAAGATGAGATTGAGAATCTTACAGTAACTATGGCAACTACTGCAGAGATGCTGTCATTTGCAGGTAAGTGTGATCGGATTTATGAAATAGATGTTAAAATGTTGTTCCCTGGAAAAGCTCAGTTGACATTACATAACATGAAATTGATCAGCAATCTTTCCTTCCCTATGTGGTGATATGTAACATTGACCTAACTATCATTATGAATTAAAAATAGGGCTGGTTGTGATCACAATCTGGTTTCATCATGGCATAACGATTATAATTAAAGTGTCAGTAAAATGATAAAGTTGTCTTCATTTTAATTTATTTGCACAGCAAAGCCTGATAATAAAATGATAACTGTTGAACATTGCTCCAATGTCATATTTGATTTCTGCCTTTTATGCAGATTTATGGAGTTATCTGGCTTGTTTTTCAGCTACACGAGAAGAGAAGAACCAGGTAGCAGAATTAGGTCGCGACTGGGCTGTAAGAATGTATAGCGTGTTGGCTGGACTGGACAGCCTGGTCACTGACTTGCACCAGCTAGGGCGAGAGGCAGGGGTGTGGCCTTCCCTTGATGCCACGCCCACTAAAGACATAGAAATTGTCAATCACCTGAAGGTGGAGAATGACACTCTGAAAGATCTCTTAAATTGTGTCGCTTTAGGGTAAATACACATTATCTTAAATGTTCAAAGATGTGTTTATTTTAGAATGACAGACCATAGACACAATATGAATACAATAATTTTCCTTCCTTCTCAAATTTTTCATTTGTTGTAAAATAAATAAAGTTAGTAAAACAATACTTACAGCTATAGACACTGAGGTAACATTTTCAATTCAACAGATTTGACAAAAAAAGTTAAATTATATTAAAAGAAAAATATTGAAAAAAAAATTTTTCTCTTCATTTAAACATCATTTTGATTCAAAAGAAATTATAGAAAAAATGTTGATATGAGACATGACGGATTCTACTTGTCAGTGACACAAGAAGGTCCCAAGAAGCTACTGTCCTGTATCAACATCTGAGAGTAATATACGAGGAGGCTCGGCTTGTTTCCTCTCAGCCTGCTGCTAGCACCACTCTTGTCTCTTTCTCTTCACAGAAAATAAGGATTCTGTCTGCACAGTGGGTTGCCAAGGTAGGATTCTTCTACAGCACTTGGTTAAGATGTAAAAGAATTTTTAATATAATCGCACAGAGTACATTTAACACGAAATTTTATGAAAAAAATTCATTCTGTCAAGAACTGTTATAAGGATTAGGGCCATTTTTGTTTATCTATTTTAATAGTTGGACAAGGGTTGTTCATGTAAGCAATGTAAACACAATTGTTTATATTAATATGCTTTCTGATGAACTTTGACTGAGCCTTTTGAACCCTGTATTGATATTTGCATGGTGTACTGGTTAATGCCTGAAATGTCACATTTACAGTATCAACAGTCTGGTTTGTCTGCATAAATGAACATGTTGGATGACTGAGACGATACCAAAACAGACCTATATGATTAGCATGTTTTACTGTGACATTTGTATGTTATCGTTTTACAGGCTTTAAAGTGTATGGAGCTGATACAGACACAGACAACGCTTACTGCCACAGGAATTAACAAACTTGTGGATGCTGTGTTTGCAGCCAAAATCTCTAAGACAGGTAATGTTTACAGAAGTTTCACAAAGATAAATTGATTTTTAACTCTGTGTGGAAAATATTTGTAAACAATATAATTATATTATATTGTTATATTTTGTTTGATGTTGAAAGTGCAGATTATGTCTAAAGCAGGTGATAATTTTGGTAAATGTAGTTTGATGATTTTAAAAATGATAGATTCTTTTAGATTATTCACTCAAAGGGAAAAAAAAAAAAATTCAGAACTGATGCCAAGTCAGTGTTGTTGATCTGACTTTATAATTGTATGTTACTATTAGTGCTGGTATCTAATTCATTCACTACTACTGATAGGTTGTGTCATATGGTACAAAAACACATGACATTCTTAAACCAATGAGATGAAGATTTCCCTCATGTTTGATTGGTTGATTACTAATTGGATTAAGGGGCTTTAAAAGATGCAGGATATTGAGTCTCAATTCGCCATTATTCAGATTAGTTACATAAATATTTCTCTGTTGTTAAATTTCAGAAGCCCAGAGACAACGAAGTATGGCTGACTGTCTGGACCAGATAAGCTCCTTCAGTCGAGGGATGGTCACACTTCGTCAGAAAATACTGCATGGTCTTCAGCTGTCCACAGATGTCTGCAAGCGGTCAGCTGTCCGCAAATCTCTTGATGATATCACTGGCATAGCTCCTGGGCTCATAAATACGCTTAAAAATCTTACAGGTAAGAAAGCGTATACTATTACTATATTGATATTGTCTACATTCATTAGGGATATGATTTGTGTTTTTTTTACAGTGATTTTGTTTATTCATGCATAATGTGCATTGTATGTTTGTAGGCAGTGGTAGTGTTGATCTGAAGGAACTTTCCAGGCAGCGACTCATATGGGCGGCCAAGGTCAGACAGCTGATGGTTCTACTACAGCAGGTCTCTGATTTACAGCCAGCCGTGGTCAAAGGTACATGTTATACAGTGATACCCAGTCAAAATTCAGTGTAATACTGCCAGCCTAGATGAGAGACTGGTGTCATACAGCCAGCTCTGGTTAAACCTAAGTCAAAGATTGGTGTTATACAGACAGCTCTGGTCCAACCCAGGTCAAAGATTGGTGTTATACAGCCAGCTCTGGTTAAACCCAGGTCAAAAAATGATGTCATACAGCCTGCTCTGGTCCAACCTAGGTCAAAGAATGGTGTTATACAGCCAGCGCTGGTTAAACCCAGGTCAAAGAATAGTGTCATACAGCCAGCTATGGTTAAACCCAGGTCAAAGACTGGTGTTATACAGCCAGCGTGGTTAAAGCCAGGTCAAAGACTGGTGTTATACAGCCAGCGTGGTTAAACCCAGGTCAAAGAATGGTGTTATACAGCCAGCGTGGTTAAACCCAGGTCAAAGAATGGTGTTATATAGCCAGCTCTGGTTAAACCCAGGTCAAAGACATGTTTATACAGCCAGGCCTGGTCCAACACTGGTCAAAGATATGTGTGTTATTGCCAATCCTGGTCCAACGTAGGTTCTATACAGCCAGCCCTGGTCCAATGTAGGTTCTATACAGCTAGCCCTGGTCCAACGTAGGTTCTATACAGCCAGCCCTGGTCCAACGTAGGTTCTATACAACCAGCCCTGGTCCAACATAGGTTCTATACTGCCAGCAATGGTCAAATATATTTATTTTGGATCCTATGTTTTTTATTTAACAGAAGTGTGTAGACTCCTGAGTGTAGAGGAGATTGGTGGAGTCACTGCCTGTGCTCCAGACTTCACTGCCACTATTACTATTACTCCACATCCCGAAGAAGCTGAAAGTGAAGTCAACGAAAAAATTACAACCAATAGCCAATCACTGCTTAGTGTTACAGCTGCAAGTGCTCGACCTTCAGGGATCATAGAGGTCACAGAAACACAAAAACAGGATGATTTTAAACCAGCCAAGGTCACATTCCAAAACGTTCATGAAGAACTGCTTCGAGTCACAAGGTATGAGTTTTAGGTTACTTTGAATATTACATAAGTTTTTGAAAATCTGGAAAAATTTTGGAAAACAAATTATCAGTCTGTGTTAATCCTCCTTTATCGATCAAACTAATTATAAAATAGAGTTTTCGAGAAGGAAATGAATGTGTATTGTACTTTAAGATATTTTGATATCATCATGTTTTTCTATACATAATGATACAGAATCATTTCTACCAATTTTGTGCATTATGAGGGATGTAAGATTCTCTATCGCAAACTGAGATCAGTATTAATGACCTTTGTGCACTAGTTAACGTTAACTTTCTCTGATACAGTGATAGAAGAGATGAGGAAACTCTTGGCCAGTTGCCAAAGCCAAGGGCCAGGCAAAGATCATCACCTTATAAACCATCAAATGCAATTCTGGTATGGAAACGATCAAAACAAAACTGTATATAGTTCATCTTTTCGTTAAGTGATTTTTTTTCCTGTTTATCAATATTACAGAAATTGTTTAGATTTTAAATTGTTATGTTTAAAAAAATTCATCATGGTGGATGGATAGAAAATTCTTATCTTAACTTGCAGTTGATTTTTTAAAGAAATTCTGAAAAATTTCAGAAAAGGATGAAACAGTATGTTTAGGTAAGATGGTGGAACAAATTAAGTAAACCACAAAACAGTTATTGCATTAAATAATTTTTGAAGGCTGCTGCTAAGTATCTTCAGAGAGAGGCAGAAAAATGGGAGGATGAAGACAATCCAATTGTTCAGGTTGCCAAGGAGATGTCCCAACAGCTGCAAAACATGATGGAGTACAGTCAAGGAGAAGGACCAATCACAGTGAGTGTTAGTGATAGGAGAGGGACTAATCACACTGGGTGTTAGTGATAGGAGAGGGACCAATAACAGTGAGTGTTAGTGAAAGGAGAGAGACCAATCACAGTGGGTGTTTGTGATAGGAGAGGGAGACCAACCAGAGTGTGTGTTAGTGATAGGAGAGGGAGACCAAACAGAGTGGGTATTAGTGATAGGAGAGGGAGACCAATCACAGTGAGTGTTAGTGAAAGGAGAGAGACCAATCACAGTGGGTGTTTGTGATAGGAGAGGGAGACCAACCAGAGTGTGTGTTAGTGATAGGAGAGGGAGACCAAACAGAGTGGGTATTAGTGATAGGAGAGGGAGACCGATCACAGTGTGTGTTAGTGATAGGAGAGGAACGAATCACAGTGGGTGTTAATGAAAGGAGAGGAACCAATCAGATTGGGTGATAGTGATAGGAGAGGAACCAATCACTGTGGGTGTTAATGATAGGAGAGGGAGACCAATCACAGTGGGTTTAATGAAATCAGAGGGAGACCAATCACAGTGGCTGTTAATGAAATCAGAGGGAGACCAATCTCAGTGGCTGTTAATGAAATCAGAGGGAGACCAATCACAGTAGGTGTTAATGAAAGGAGAGGGAGACCAATCACGGTGGGTTTAATGAAAGGAGAGGGAGACCAATCACAGTGGTCTAATGAAATCATACATGTAATCTGTATATGAAACACACTGATGATACTTGTAGACTTTGATATTGATTCCTTTCTTATTTCAGTCTCACATGGAAATGACACAGACAGCGAAAGCAGTAGCAGAGAACGGACAAAAAATGAGGAAATTTGCAAAGATTTTGGCTAAATATTGTACAGAGAAAAGGTTGGTATAGGACATGCCTTCTTACAGTGATGTCACCTGTTGTTAGTTTTTCTTTTGAACATCTTCTTAAAATTCATCGGTCTCTCCATTACACAACTTTCAATCAATCTAGCAGCAATTATTCTTGAGAAATTTGCTCAAAGTACAAAATATGTTTCACATTAACTTTGGACTTATTTGATGAAAGCACAAAATCATTGTTAGGAAAAATACAATTACATGAGCTCTCTATTTGTCATCATTTTTATAGAAAGAAATAGTCCTTATGCTCGATGATTTATTAGATAAGATCTTACTGAAACCTGGATTTGTTTATTTTTTGCCTCCACAACTTCTTCTTAACCACTGATTCAAATTTAACATAATTTGCGTGGAAGCATACTTAGGTTAATATCCTAATCTGGTAAGAAGCATCCTTGGAAGAATGGGACTCAATTTGAAAATGTAAAAAAATTCTTTAAAATCCTTCTTTTACTATTTATAATCCTTTTTCTAAAGGAAGAAAAGGATATCTTCCATATTGTCCAAATTTGGTCTGAAGCATCCTTTGCTGAAGGAATGACAGAATGTTGGTCATATTTGGTCTGAAGCATCCTTGGATGAATAAGGTTCAATTTGGAATAAATGATAGAAATGATACACACACCATATCCAAGGTGCTAGAATCACAGTAAATTCTTTTAAATTGTAGAACATCCTTGGTGCATAGGACTTACTTTTGTTGAGTTAATACTCTGAATTCCTTGGTGCAGAGGGGAAGCATCTAATTATAACAAATATTAATCTTCTTTAAGTTGCTCTTCCTTTTGTTTGTTTGAACCAGTTTCATTCCAACCATACCGGGTAGGTGAAACAGGCCCTGTTGACCTCTTGTTAATAATTTTATGCCTCTGGTGTAATATAAATTTGTATGTAATTTAAAGAAAATATGTTGATTCCAGATTTGCCAAAGACCTGATGTTCTATGCTGATCAGATCCCCACGGTCAGTACCCAGCTTAGTATCATTTCCAGTGTCCAGATGTCCTCGCCAGGAAACAGCAATGTAAGTACTTCAGAACCTGTTGGTCAGCTCATGATGTATTACAAAACATCTCTGTTAGGTATCATTTCATTGTCACAAGTACAAATGTTCACATTACTTTCTTACTGTATGCTCTTTTAGCAATTATTTTCCCCAAGAATCAATTTCATCATGAACGTGGCACAAAACTCTTTGGTGGAACATCATCATTACGTGTTCCTAATGTAACTGCTCAGTAATAAGGTTTAACAACATGTGCATTTATCAGGTCTATATTTGTGCTTGTGAATAAACTGAGAAAAAAATTTATCACATAGTCCGTCTATTATCCAGTAAAACTTCCCAATGTAAAATTTTTGTGAATATGTCACTGGTGGAAGACACCCTGGAGTGTTTTTCATTGGCTGTGCCAGCCAGAAATCCATTGTGATGTCATAGTATAGACAATGATGTTACGTCATGAATTAAAAACTGGCACAAGAAAAATGACTGCCTCCTTTTGATATTGCTTTCCACATGTAGAATATAACTTTTCTGAGATATGTTATGAAAAATGCCTTAATTTTTTTTTTCATTTCATTTTATGAAACTTTTCAAGGTTTTCAAAAATAAAAACCAACACTCATTACTTAAAATCTCATACCAAATGATTCTCTATCATGTATTGTAGGCTGTGACTTCTATATATATATATATTTATATCACTATATTCTATCATATAACTGAACATTATACAACAGATATACACATATTAACACTATGAAAACCCTCTTTATATTTGTAGATTATTTAAAAGAATGACCTACCTTATGCTCTGTTACCTGTGTTTATATTGTGTAAGAGCCCGACTGTGATAAATGATACTCATTGATTCTCATAGAAAATATCATTGTAGTATTATGAGTCCAGATTCACACTTTATTATTTCATCTCATGAAAATATATATTTACTATGTAAGCAATACTTTATGGACAAAAGGATACATATTTTTTTATCAGCAAGTGTTAATTACTACATCAGCGTGTTACGTAAAAATCACGGGATGGACTAAATTGTTCGTTTGATATGTTAGCCAATATTCGAAAATTGACTCGCAGACTAATCTGAATTTTGACAGAGACAATATATGTGATATGGTGTATTTGTATATTTGAGATAGAATTATATACTAGTATATATATATATATATATATATCATTATCAGTTTATGAGAACTCTCACTTGGATCTGGGTAGTGAATATTCTTTATAAAACCAGAACTTTTCCTGTTGTGAAAACATTTTCAAATTGCATGTCTACTACATCAGGTTATAAAAATACTAGATTATAATTGTCATGCCTAAAGAGCTTAATGAGTATTTCAGTTCTTAAAAATGTGTTTTTATAATGAGAATGGTAACTTACAAAAATCAATTACTCAAAAATTGAAATCCTTGAAAAACATGTAATACTGCAGTGTGGTTCTACAATTTTCTTTTTTTTCTTTCTCTTTAACAAACTTTGTACATAGTCTTTAAAATCTGATGCGTCATTAAGTACAATTTACACTAAAATAACTTAATTTAATTAAAGGTAATTGTCGACTGTCCTCCAGTCTCTGCTGAACAGGTACAGGATCTAATTTAAGCTGTGATTTTATGTGTGTTTCTAAGCATTTCTTATGTGTAGAAGACAGCCTTGTCTTGATGTAGGCTGAATTTTTGCTCGCTGTTGGCTGCTTGTTTAACTGTAAGGATTTGGGTAAACTAATATATTGATCTAAAATAAAACAAAAAACACTTTCAGCAGGTGCTGCTTTTCATTCTGTGATTTGACTCGTGCACCGTTTTAGAGTTCTATAGTAGTGTGGTGTGGTACGCTCCTGTGTGGAAAAACTTGACTATGTTTTTGAAAGTCAATTTTCAATATGTTTCGTCCCTTGTGCAGTTTAGATTTGCACTTAGATTACGACACATTTTTTGGCTGTGGGCTGTTGAATCACTCTTAATTATCTGAATCTCTGCTAGATGTGTTGCTCGTTCGATCATGTGCTTTTGTGTGTTGTCCCTTATATTTCATATTGAATTTTAGTTTCAATATTTGCCCCGAGATGGTAATAATTTATAGATAATCCCATTTCTGATCTTGTAATACATGTATCTTGATTGTAAGATAGTAATATCTATGGTTTGCATGATTTTCTTCACAGAGTAAGTCATTTTGACTGTCTATTGGCTGGAGTTTCCTCTGGATCCATACCAGACAAGAGTATGTCAAAATGTCTTACGTCTGTTGCAGAACTGCAGAAATCAGACTAACCTTCTGTATGTCAAGAGATACTGATCTTGTTTTTGTCTGAATCAAATGTTAAAAATCAGATTGTTTCATTGACGTAATTTTGAACCACAATATTATATATCATGGACTTATTTTTTCAGTCTTAATTCTCCGTAACTATATATGTTCAGGATCTTGTGTTAAGGGAGTGGGGTTTCTGCATCTAGTGTTGGTGGAGTGGGTTTCTACATCTGGTGTTAAGGGACAAGGGTTTCTACATCTGGTGTTAAGGGACAAGGGTTTCTACATCTGGTGTTAAGGGACAAGGGTTTCTACATCTGGTGTTAAGGGAAAAGGGTTTCTACATCTGGTGTTAAGAGACAAGGGTTTCTACATCTGGTGTTAAGGGACAAGGGTTTCTACACAAGGGTTTCTATATCTGGTGGTAAGGGAAAAGGGTTTCTACATCTGGTGTTAAGGGAAAAGGGTTTCTATTTTTGTTAAGGGAAATGAATTTCTAGATTTTTTGTTAAGGGTAGGGACTTTCTGGTTTTGTTGTTAAGGTGATTGGGGGGGGGGGGGTGGGTTCTTGTCTGTTGTTAAGGAAAATTGGTTTCTAGATCTGTTGTTTGTATTACTCATTTAATATCTGTTTTGCTTCTTTTACTTTTTCAGTAGATCAGTACTAATATTTAACTCTATAAAACAATGATTGTAGACAAATACCAGTGGTAATATTGACATAGAAAACATTCCTTATAATGCTTTTGAATTGTTAGAAATATACAGTAGAATTAAGAGTTATCTCTTTACAGACTTTCTACTATGTTAGAAATATACAGTAGAATTCAAAATTATCTCCTTACAGCCGTTCTACTACATTAGAAATATACAGTAGAATTCAAAATTATCTCCTTACAGCCGTTCTACTATGTTAGAAATATACAGTAGAATTCAAAATTATCTCTTTACAGCCGTTCTACTATGTTAGAAATATACAGTAGAATTCAAAATTATCTCCTTACAGCCGTTCTACTATGTTAGAAATATACAGTAGAATTCAAAATTATCTCTTTACAGCCATTCTACTATGTTAGAAATATACAGTAGAATTAAAAATTATCTCTTTACAGCCGTTCTACTATGTTAGAAATATACAGTAGAATTAAAAATTATCTCTTTACAGCCGTTCTACTATGTTAGAAATATACAGTAGAATTCAAAATTATCTCTTTACAGCCGTTCTACTATGTTAGAAATATACAGTAGTATTAAAAGTTATCTCCTTGTTTTGGTAAAGTTTTAGCCGAGTAACTTTTCCAATGTTTAGTGAGTCACTGTCCTTGCTACATATGTTAAGTTGATATCAAAACATTGGGGTTCTATGGTATATTTTGAGTACTGTAAAGAACTTATAATTTCATGATGTGAAAAGTTCAAGGATTTGTTCGGTGGACAAATGCTCTAGTCTGTACCAGAGTTGTTGTTCCTTGCACTCACATGTGAGTTTTTTTTCACTTATACTGTTAATTGGTAAGTGTAACAGTTGGTAGAGTGTGTGCTTTGTGTGTACTTTCTCAGGTTGTCAGTTGTATATATGCTCATGTAAGATATCTAAAGGATATTCTGTTTCCCACAACTGTTGATACTTTTCATGACGTTGGTAAATATTTTGATCTTTTTTTTTTTTTACCAGAACTACAGTGAAAACTGCTTAATATCATGTTCCATTTGTCAGGGAAAATGTGATAATAAGTGAAAACTGCTTAATATCATGTTCCAATTGTCAATGGAGAATGTGATAATAAGTGAAAACTGCTGAATATCATGTTCGAATTGTCAATGGAGAATGTGATAATAAGTGAAAACTGCTTAATATCATGTTCCAATTGTCAGGGGGAAATGTGATAATAACTTGAATTTGACATTAACAGTTGACACATTTTTTGTATTGGTGAAAAAACCATGGAAGTGTCCTGTTCCTTAGTGAAATATGGCAGTGATTTATTAGAAATTAGCAATACATATATACACAGTGTTGTATTCTACTGTAGGAGTCACAATTACCAAATAAGGAAATGTTTGGACTGGACAACCTCTGGTAATGATCAGAGGGATATGGTTTGATGATCCCTACTTGGGGCGATTGTGATTTTAGGGAAGCTAGGAAATACGCGGTTGTATCTTTGGGCAAACATTTTATTCAAAATACGACAGACCCTGCCTCAAAATAACCCTTGCTGTTGAGGGGATGATAAACCCAGTCACCAAACAAACAATTCTCTCATCATTTTCCTTAGTAAAAACATAAGTATAAGCTTCTGTGTCCCTTTAACATGGCCGAGACATGAAATGTTTTACAGTGATGAAACAGCATGAAAAATTGTGATATAGTATCGCAAAGGACAGCAATGCTTATTGTTTAACACCAAACCCTATTTTCAATGAATTGTTGTAGTGAAGACATAACAACAAACATGTTTTTTTATCACTGTAGAAAGATGTTACCTTCTCAATCATGCAATTTATTTCCTTGATAAAATAAAGTATTTCATAAAAACTCAAATGGATTTGACAAGAAACTTTAAAGATTGTTTTTCTCACTGTTGGACTTCACAGCTACTGTAAACAGCTATTTATTGTGATTTAAATGACTTACAGGCAGAGAAGATTCTGATACAGAATGCCCAAAACCTGATGAAGGTGGTCACCCAGACCATCAAAGCTGCTGAGACTGTGTGTGTCAAGGTTTGTGTGCTTCATTTCATGTCATTTATTATAAAAGATATTTTTATGTTCCATGAATTTTTTTTTTTTTTTGGGATGGGGTGGAGGGGTGGGTGGGAGGGTTATAGTAACATTTATTATGTGTGATTGGAAACCGAGGTAACAGTATTGTCCATGGCAGTTTTAAGATAAAATTTTGGGATGATTTACCTTAGACTGCATCATCAAATTACAATGATGTACTTTTTGAATACAACGTTAAACCTTATTATCTCGAACTTGCTTAACTGGAAGACCCCGCTTAATTTGAAATATTTCATATGTCCCAACCAAATTTTTCACCAAATAGTCGATCTCACAAATACTCAGATAACTTCAAGTTTTCCAACGGACCCGCCGACTTCAAAATAATGAAGTTCAGCTGTATTTGTTGGTCAGTACATTTTGTATCTATATGAAAATGTAGATTACATATCCTTATAAATGGTGTTAATCTCATTGATACCTCAAGTAACGCTCAGTATATCGAAACACTTTCTTCAAGTTGGTAATATATATGTTCAAATATCCAGATAGAAAATTTAAATGTAATGCCTCAAGTACAACACTGTTATTTTCAGTAGACAAATGACCAGTGTGAAGCGTATTTTCACCAAGGTTTACACGTATGATATGGTAATGAAATCATGTGACTTTTCCGTTGTAGTATAATTGAAAGTACAGGAAGTTGGAATTAGTGTGATGAGAAGGTGATAAGATTGCAGTGACAGCAGATTTAATGGTGATCTTACTTATGTAAAATAGATGGATGGTCAGGGGACACAGTGGTAATGCACGTCTCTTTCATCTAGATATCTGGGGTTTGATTCCTTATAAGGGTGTGAAAGTTAGGGGTTGCCTGTCTGACCTCCCGGGTTCTTCCCAGGTTCTCAGCTTTCCTACCTCAGTAAGACTCCTTGCCTGCTTCTTTCATGCCAACAAGGGTGATTAACATATTAACTTGTTTATCTATTTTTGTAAAATGAATATGATTTTTTTTATTGTGCTACCGCATGAACCAGGTAAGTCAATTCGGCTATGCTGTGTTTAAAATATGGTCCTTAATGTGCAAGAGTCTATGGGCCCCCTTGTCCCTGTTTAGTACCAGCCCTTTGTGGCATATTCTATATTTTCATAACTAGTGTCATTAGTTTTATATCTATATTACCAGGGTCTGGTGATGCCAGAGGATGGATCTGAAGACGACATCAGTGCTATTATTCTTGCAACACAATGGCGACGCAAGTTTGTTCGACATCTACAGAGAGAGGCCGATGAAGCACAGAAGGATACGTTAGGTCTCCGCAGAATAGAAGAACACAAACCCCCGGCACTGACACAGATTTTTAGTACCTATTAACATGTTCCCTCATAATCACGATCATCTGACAACAAAATGATGCTGAGAAAGTTACGGGGAAGAGGAACACAAACCTCTAGTGCCGATACAGGTCTTTGGTTGTGAAAAACACTGCAGCTTATGATAACCCTACACTCGTCAATCAGTCAATCAGATAATATTCTTTCCTATGAAATCTGATCAGTTATTGTTAAACTAATGCTTTAGTTAAATACTTGTCCAAGGAAATGCAAATTAGTTTTTAAACCTTTCCCTTCAGCATTTCAAAATCTCTTACAACAACACATATTTGTTGAGCTCACACTGATCAGTCAATATTGGGATGTGTTTAAACATGTTATCATGGCATGAAGCCTGAAATTTGTATATCTTTTTTAACACTGATATCTTCAATGATCATACCTTTCTAAATACAGCTGGTTTGTCATATTTGTATCCATTATTTCCTAGGAAGCTTTATTTTAAAAGTCACATTTATTCCTTTTACAAAATTTTAAATGATATTTTTAGTTGTACTATTGTTTGATTGGTTAAGACATGGTTGGGGGCCTATTTTAATGCCCTTACCCATCCATATCCGCCCATAGATATCAGATCTTAAATTTTCAACGTCCATTTTCCTTGATTTTGTTTGGATATAGCCTAGCACAAGTAATCAATTCAACTCTCGAGATATCTAAAGCTTTCAGAAGTTGTCGTCTTTCAGAAATGAAAGTCATGAGTACTCGTTTTTTGGGTGATTGGTTGGATGCAGAAATGATAGTGTGAAGTCGATAAGTAAGTCATGGTGTGGAGGTGATGGATACATTTATACACAGGAAATGTTAAAATGTCCTGTTTTAACACATGTCTCAGACCTCTGAGAAATGTGAATTTCCTTAACTACAAATACCCGGTAGATGTAAATGTGAATATCATATTTGAAAACTTGACAGGGATATTTGCATCTTGAACATTTTCTAAGACGGTAGACAGTTGTAGTGTGTGAAATTTTATTCATGCTTCACAGGGCCAACACTAGAATTTCTAAATCAAAGTTGAGAGGTGGGCTAATTACAGAACTTTCATAAAGTATTTGATGGAATCTCTACTGAAACTGCAATAGATGTGGGTAAGCTTGTCACCAGATACAGTTTTATTGGTAGAGATATATTATGTAATATCATAGTTGACTGTGTGAATCAAGATTTTAACAGAAATGTTAAATTAGTAAAAGAGAAATTTTAACAAGGTTTTAATAAGGTGTTTTCTGGAATTTCAAAATGTTTACAGGAAAATAAGATAAAAAAAAAAGTGTACCCAGTTTCTAGTCATCTACTTAGTTATCGTTACTGCTGTCAACTGACTTGAAGCGAATTACGGGTACGGATGTTGTGTATGGTAATATACGCAATAATATTTGTTTACATGTTTATGTACATAAAATTCAATACACTTCTCTTGTTTACAGTGTTTTTAATTCGGGACTTCAAATGTGCCCCAGTTTTACATGTGTTTGTGTCTGTAATATTAAATTAAATTTATCCTACTTTGTATCTCGACGCCCTAATCATCATGCTTGATCGTTACAGGGCCTTAACCCTTCCATGTATAAGCTTGAATCCTGTGAAGCAATGTTAAAAGTCAATACATTTAGTCCCAACAAACTCTCAATTAGCAGCTAAAAAAACCCAAGTTTAATGTTCTCTTACTGTTATGGACCATAAGTATTGTTATAATATCATATCTATTCAGTCCATGATATATGCTACTCATTTTGTACATGTGACATCACTAAGACCTGTATTCATAATTATAAAGTTATGTTTTTTTATATTGTGTTGTGTTTCATATCATTGTCATTTACACAGAAAATTTTATTGCATGCCAATAATATTGATTTATAATTGTGTATAATATAGATCCATAATACTCTATAATATTGATCTATTACATTCTACAATGTTGGATCTATTACATTCTATGATATATCTATAACATTCTATAATATTGATCTACTCCAATCTCTAATATTGCAAGCTTTTCTTGTCATTTATAAATTCTTTTTCTAAAATTTTACAACTCACAGCTTATTTTTTTCCCTTTTTAGCTGGACAGGTGCTTTTTTTATTTTAAACTATGCAATTTCCCATGTGTAATTCTAAAAGTATGTGTTTGTTAATGTATACGAAAGATTTAAGGAATTATTGGGTATATGGGTGTATTTTGTTTACAATTTTTTTTTATAATGGTCTTAGCTAGTCTAGATGGTTTAATTTTAAAATAATGTATCCTAAGTACTAATTTGAAATGTTAAAATGTAACCGAAGATGAATAAAATTTAAATCTTGATTGTGTTGATTTTTGTTGATTATTAAAACATTCCATGGTGAAATACGTTATTAAATCTATTTATCATAAGTCCATATTTTTAATTTCTAGAGTATGACTCACAAATCACCTCAAATTTTGGACAATATATTGTCTTTGGTGATGTGGCGGGTTAAATGTGGAGCAAGAACAAGTTACCAACATTTTACCTCTGAGTTAGCGTGAGAAAAAAGGAAGATGTGTGCTCTAAATGTTTGTATAATGGAAAAACAAATATTACCCTGGAAAATACCACCCGCAATATAGCGCTTGGCTGGAGAGAACTTCTCTTCAGCTTGTTCAGTTAAGCAATAGACTAGTAAGGCAGGTGTCTCGGGTTCGAATCCTAGCAGAGTATTGATATTCACTGGCACCCATGTAGGGACTCAGGAATAATAATGAGCAATGTATCCCATACGTATAGCTTCAATCCCTGGAAAATTGGGTACAATTTTCTGTTCTTACTCGGTTTTTTATGTAAACTATTATTGTAAGATAACACTGACTTAGAGGTTAGTTTATGTCCCATAATATAACATTAACTTTCCGTAGCCGAGGACATCAGAAAAAGGACTAAATATTTGTCTCTATATTTATCAAATTAACATTTTCTCAGCCAAGGACATCAGAAAAAGGACATCAGAAAAACAGCAAAATATTCGTCTTTGAAATTTAACGTAACAAAATCTGAGTAAAAAAAGAAAGAATAAACAGATATCCATAACATAGTGATTTTTATTCCATAACTTTAAATAAAACGAGACATTTTACATCATGCCCCTTTCCTGCCACACCCCTTTTACATGTTGATGAAAATACAAAAAGAAAGATGAGGTACAAATCTATGAGCTAAATTCAGCTTGTAATGAAAATTACATTTTATAGTTATAACATAGATGATGATCAGATGTAACCGCCCACAGCTGTAACCTTTATCCCGTTGAATGCCTCCATACTCCATATACAAAAACAAATTCACAAGATGATTTATTCTAGTTACATGCCTCCTGGAACCGAGACCAAGTATAGTATGAAAAGTTTTTGAAGTGTCTGCATAGTAGGAATTGATTTAGTTGTGAATATATTACACATAGTAGGATGACAAGGTCAATATACGAATATCACAGATATTTTGATCTGGAATGTACTCCATTTCCACCGTTTACAAATATGGATTTCATTTACATTGATCAACAAACAAATGACATAGGATTGTTAACTTGTAGATAATATGACAATAATTCTACAAAACAGTCATATATAACATCATATATGACAATAGTTATAATACTGTTCCTGTATTGGATACTTCAACAAGAGATCACAGAGGGATTTTGGCACCCACCATTGGATTATTTTCCCCTTTTTTTTCTTTTCTCCTGTTTTTTTTTTTAATTATACAAAATTTGAACATTCATCTGAAGAAATAGCAATAAAAACTTTCATTGATGAAATCTAAGATGGCCACCTGTTTTCAATTTTCTTCTTCTGATCCAACCTAAAATCAAACTGGCACAACTAGGGACCAAGGTGAATCTCTCTATGAAATTTGAAAATTAACATTCCATTCAGTACTCTTTACAAAATAATGATAAAAAACTTTCATTATAAAATTCCAAGATGGCTACCTGTTGGCCATATTCATATTCTGATCAGTCTTAAAATCAAAGAGGCATGATGATGGACCAAGGGGAACCTAAACACAAAATTTTAGAGAGATCTTTCCACTACTTCTCAAGAAATGGTGACAAAAACAAGATGGCCCCCTGTCAGCCATACCGTTTTTTTACATCAGCCTCAAAATCAAACGGGCACAAAAAGGGACCAGGGGGAATCTGCACTTAACATTTGAGATCCATCCTGTTCTTCTCAAGAAATAGCTATAACAAACTTTCTTTTTTCAAAATTCTAGATGGTTGTCTACAAGTCATTCTGTTTTTTCTGATCAGTCTTAAAACCAGATAGGCATAACAAGAGACCAAGGTTAACTTGTCACACTGTCAGGATCTGTACAATGAAGGTCAGCATCTTGTCACAATGTCAGGATCCGTACTCTGAAGGTCAGACCTTGTCACAATGTCAGGATCTGTACTCTGAAGGTCAGCATCTTGTCACATTGTCAGGATCTGTACACTGAAGGTCAACATCTTGTCACAATGTCAGGATCTGTACACTGAAGGTCAACATCTTGTCACAATGTCAGGATCTGTACACTGAAGGTCAGCATCTTGTCACATTGTCAGTGTCTGGACACTCTAGGTCAGCATCTTGTCACAATGTCAGGATCTGTACACTGAAGGTCAACATCTTGTCACAATGTCAGGATCTGTACACTGAAGGTCAGCATCTTGTCACATTGTCAGGATCTGTACACTGAAGGTCAGCATCTTGTCACATTGTCAGGATCTGTACACTGAAGGTCAACATCTTGTCACAATGTCAGGATCTGTACACTGAAGGTCAACATCTTGTCACAATGTCAGGATCTGTACACTGAAGGTCAACATCTTGTCACATTGTCAGGATCTATACACTGAAGGTCAGCATCTTGTCACATTGTCAGGATCTGTACACTGAAGGTCAACATCTTGTCACAATGTCAGGATCTGTACACTGAAGGTCAACATCTTGTCACAATGTCAGGATCTGTACACTGAAGGTCAACATCTTGTCACAATGTCAGGATCTGTACACTGAAGGTCAACATCTTGTCACAATGTCAGGATCTGTACACTCTAGGTCAGCATCTTGTCACATTGTCAGGATCTGTACACTGAAGGTCAACATCTTGTCACAATGTCAGGATCTGTACACTGAAGGTCAACATCTTGTCACAATGTCAGGATCTGTACACTGAAGGTCAACATCTTGTCACATTGTCAGGATCTGTACACTGAAGGTCAACATCTTGTCACAATGTCAGGATCTGTACACTGAAGGTCAGCATCTTGTCACAATGTCAGGATCTGTACACTGAAGGTCAACATCTTGTCACAATGTCAGGATCTGTACACTGAAGGTCAACATCTTGTCACAATGTCAGGTTCAGTAGTTATATATCAGGATCTAGATATCAAAGATGAGATTTGCAAAAATGCTGACTAACAGGATTATTTTTAAAAAGTAAAGATATAGATATTGATCACATGGCTCATGACAATGAAAACCAGTATGTTGTCACAGAGTATGTGAGTTGATAAACAGTTTCATAGAAAATTTCCCACAATGATCCTATCGCAATCAAACTCTTTGTCATATTTGTGGATAGAAACTAAGTGTAAATAGATGAACTCTGAAAACTTCCTACGAAGTCTTTAAACTGACTTCTGTTGACGTGGAAACTTGCACAGCAGTCAAACTTTTGTCTGCAGTTTAAATTTTTGCTCCTTTTAGCACTTTTCATATTGAGCAATAATAAAATGTATATCTGGAGAAATTTACTAATTTAATAAAAATAAACAGTAAGTATGAGGGAGGATATATATACAGTAGGTCATTAAATTTTCAATTGATGGTTAAACTTAAAAAATACTATTTTTAATGTCTTTTCAACAGGACAAAAAAAAAAAAGATGAAATTGCCTTCAGTTCGAAGTATCAACTGACTTCTGATATATCTCTGACAAAAGATTTCAAAAGATCATTTCTATTACGATGACAGTATTGCACAAATTAGCACATTCGTTAATATGTTTCATATGACCTGAGACAGGACTTATTTTCAACAGTATGAATGATTCATGAACTACCTGAGGTAGTGTATTTACATCAACAACAATTTATAATAAATAACAGTGTATTATGTATGTAGTATTATATACTCCAACCCAGCTGTTTACTATATATAACCAGTAGCACAATGTACATAGTCTAATTAAAGGAATATTCTGCACAAGTTACGATTTCACAGGATACTTTTGATGAAAATGATACAAAGTCGTCGACTTATGTTCTTAAGGAAATCAAACACCTCAATTTATCATTTTAACAAATATATGATATTAAATTTTCGGAAATTCTATATAGATCTAGTGAGATTGATTTACAAACATTTACACGACCCTGATTGTCATAACTGGTTCGCATTGTTATAAATGGAACAGAATGAAACGTCTGTGTAAATTCTAAAATAAACCAGAAAAATAAGGCTAATGAGGTTATCAAATTATAACCCCAGCAGAAATTTTAGTGAACAGCATACACACTTGCGTATTTACCCAATACTCTGCATAAAATCTATGATCCAGCGATTTTCAGTTCCTGATTTCCCAATGCGCTATAATTAGACATTTCTGATTTCCCAATGCACTATAATTAGATAGTTTGGCTGGAAGTATTCCTATCAACTTTGTCTGTCCAATCTAACCACAGGATAGATGTTTTGATGCTAAAAATAGTTTTACAAGTCATAAAAATGAGGTCTTAAAAGGTACAGAGTAGCAAGGATTTTGCAACTTGGGCAGAATATCCCTTTAAGGGATTTAGACAATATATTGCAGGGGATACAAACAGCATTCCTGCTAACCCTCCCTTTACAGGAGGAAAAAAAAATTTTGTTCCCAAATTAAGATAAACATTGTGTATTTATCCATAATTCCATAACCTGTTAAAAGGACATATATCCTTAATCTGGAAATACCAGTCTCCATAAAGCTTCCAACTAGAACTATACATATGATATTAATACTTTAATATTTTAGCTTATAATGTGTTATCTAGTTCCCAAAAATATAATTCAAACTTAATGATAAGAAAGCTATGTATTGTCCTTAGAAAATAAATCTAAATCTTTTGTGTTTTTATCTTTTAATCTTTCACTTTGAGTGAAAGTTGTTTCGGCCTTAGAGTATTCGCTGAGTGACGAGAGTTCATCATCCGAGGTAGATACGCCCTGGAACATGAACATGTGACTGGAGTTAGACGACTGTGGCGGTCTGTACTTCATTCGTTGCTTTGGTTTGGTGAATAGTTTGTATGCTAATATTATATTCAACACGGCACTTATGGAAGCTACGAGACCTAGAACTGCAAAGCCCATCTGCATCAGTCTGAAACAAAACATAGAACAACTGTAAAGAAAATAAATATATGTTCATCACTAAGTCTTAAGAAATTAAAAGGGCTTCAGAATTTGAAGATTAATACCAATTTTTTAAATGTTACTTATCCCTCTTGGATAAAGATATTGAAATCTACTTATAGCATTAGAAATAAATACATGTATTGAGTAAAAATTGATAAATGCCAAAATATGTATTTCAAGTACTTATGCTGTACTGTTTATCACTGATTTCTGTCTAACAGTAAAGATATGTGGCGCAAATTTGCACCAGGTCGTGTGTATATTTTTAGTATTACACCTGCACATTTTAAATTGCATAATGAATTCTACGCTTCCCATAAAGAAAGATTGATATATGTACCTGTAGTCCTCAGACTGATCAGGAACTAGCTGTCTTTGTTTGATGGTAGCTTTGGCATAACACTGTCCAGCTGGAATGATACCATGTAGATATAAAAATTGTTATTCAAACTCCTTACTGCCCTAAGATACTAGGTAATAATTGCTTACTGTTACATCTATCAATAATGATCATGTTTTTACAACTACCAACTAAATATGTCTGTAAGATATAAAAGCCGTGATAACTGTTAAATAGTATACATGTTTGAAAATTTTCTTATTTGGTAAATGTAATCTTGACCCTATAATCCTTTAACATGGACTCATCCGAGGTCAGCTGTAGTTGTGATATAGACCCATACTGATCCAAATCTTACAATACCTTGGAAGAGTTCATTTTTCATGGACACTTGATCCAATCCCAACAATACCTTGGAAGAGTTCATTTTTCATGGACACATGATCCAATCCCAAAAATACCCTGGATAATTCAAGGTTACAGGGAACTGAGGTCAAGGTCACATATACTATTTGTCAATTGTCTAAATTGTGAAAATTGTCAAACATTCGGAGTTAGCGCCACCTTCATATCTTACAAACACTTCCTAGCATTAATACTGGGAAACACTTCATGGCATAAGTTGGCAAGGCCAAGAAATCTACATTTTAGCTTAGTTTCAATACAGCTGATTTTTTTTAGCCAAGATATTTCAAATAATAACCTAAAGTTTTCTTAAATATTAAAATTTGAAAAATATTGAAGAAGCTGAATTTCAAGAGCAACACTTATACGAACCTAGAAATAGATCCTGGTCAAGATCAGTAAAGTTACAACTTCCTGTTACTGCATGGCATGGGCAGCCATCTTGGCACAAGCACAGTTGTTTACAGTGTTCACCATAATAACCAAATGGGCAGGCTAAACAAATGTAGAAAATGAATTATTAGTAGTATTGTTAAAGTTAAATATTTCTGAAAAAAAAAGATTTCTGTGTATTCTGAAATAGTTTCACGCAAATGGTAATACTTCCAAAATGATCCAAACATGCACTTAATTGATAAATGAAGAGTTATCTGCCCCTACCTTGGTCACATGCTGCACCAGTTTTCCCTATCGGACAGTCACATGTACCATCTACAGGGTTACAACTGGCTCCATGGAGACAAACACACTCATGGATACATCCTTTCCCATATTGCCCAGATGAACAGGATTGGTTGCAGTCATCACCATGCCAACCAGCGTCACAGTCACAGCCATCTAAGATATGTAACTGTCAAATTAGATATGAGGAAGGCCAAAGTACATATTAGTCCATATCAACCCTGGTTTTCAGATAAAGGAATTGAAATAAGCTTTAAGCTTGTTTCCTATCCCAGATGTATATTTATAAAGTGTAATATTTTTGAAGATGTTAACATCCTCAATACTCCAGTGGTTACAATCACTTTTGCTCTCTGCACCCCTGGAACATGTCATGACAAAATTGAAGGCACAAGGGAAGTAATTTGATTGGTTAAAGGAGAAAAAATTGACCAATCACAGGCTGACACACTCCTTTTGAAGATAGCAAAAGAGCAACACCCAACTTCAAAGCCAATATACCATTATGGACCTCAAGTCTCTTTTTGATGTACATCAAAAATGGAACTAGTGCTTTTGCCTTGTCCACAAGGTGTTCCATATAGAACCTTCAATTTTGCCAAGAAATGTTCCAGGGGTGCATAGAGTGGAAGTGATCGTAATCTCCTGGAGTATCGAGGATGATATATTAAATGAAAAAAATGAGTAAACTAAGTTTACTCTAATTGTTATAAAGCATGATTGTGTGAATTCTAAACTGGGTCTCCATTCTCTTTGACATGTGTAAGTAGGTAACAATGTAAATCACTTAATAAACCAAGAGAAATTAAATTGCCCTGGTTTTAGCACCACTGTAACAGGAGAGGGTAACTAGGATAAATAGACCACAACCATCTATCTTTTAATTTATCTATTAAGGAACTTTTTAAATTGATTTACCTTGCAATCTAATCTCCCTAGTTCAGAGCCTCAAAATACATCATTTTGTTCTTTATAATGTTTGGATTTAGGATATCATAAACATATAAGTAAAGATGCTGCCATCTAAATTGAGACAAAGGACATGCTGTGTATCAATAAATCCAGTGGTTAATCTGTCAGGAAAACTTGCCAGAGTTGCTCAAAGGTTGGTTAGAATCAACCAGCGCCAAGTGAAAAAATTCATTTTTGTTTCTGAAAAAACGTTGGTATTCAAAGTAAAATTGAAATCTGATTTGTAATAACAAACCTACAGCTGTGAATTATTAAAGAATCTTCTAATTTTTGTATGATTCATATTTCAAATTGTTCACTAATCACTGGTTAAATCTAACCAAGATTTGAGTAACTGTGTCCTGAAATTCTTGTACCTAATAATACTCTAAAAGTTATCAGGAAAACTTTACGTCCAAAATCTTTAAATTGCTGAATACTGTACATATATCTCAGAAACTGTTAATATAAACTCAGAAAGAGACAGCAATCACCTGAGGTACAGCTTCCTTGAGATGAACAGTTGTTGATACACTGGAGGGTGTCACATGCAGTACCGATCCACGGAGCGTCACACTCACATCTCCCCATTTTACATTGTCCATGGCCTGAACAGTCTGTGGGAACACACTCCACATCATGGACACATAAAATGGTTGACACTTTTCTACCGCAGTGGAACCTGGAATCATCTGAACTGCAATCAGATGAAATAAAACTGTCAAGCCTACAATTCGTCTTAAAAATCAACTCTCACAGCTGGACAGCTCTTTTATAATCAGCATTTACTCAAGCGTAAGGACAAAAAAAATATTTTATAGAATTGATTTTACATCAAATTTTAGTGTTGAACAAGACAAATCACAACATTTTGTAGTACTTTTGCGGGGAGATGGACTGAACTTATTAATTGTATAGATCTGATGTATAAATTATTAACATTTCCCCTGATTTTCATAACTACATCCTTTTCAATTTTTAAGCTAGAAAAACAGCCTGAAGACATTGAAATTAAACACTGAATTGTTTTCAATCTGTTTAATAAATCGGGAAAGCATGTTAAATGTAACCTTGATATTAAAGTGAAGTGTTCAGATCAGCTAAGAGGTCCCACTAGATACCTTCCACTTGTCAGAAGGATCAGTGATAGGTCCCACTAGATACCTACCACCTGTCAGAAGGGACAGCGATACATCCAACTAGATACCTATCACTTGTCAGAAGGGACAGTGATACGTCCCACTAGATACCTACCACTTGTCAGAAGGTCAGTGATAGACCCCACTAGGTACCCACCACTTGTCAGAAGGTCAGTGATAGACCCCACTAGATACCTACCATTTGTCAGAAGGTCAGTGATACATCCCACTAGATACCTACCACTTGTCAGAAGGATCAGTGATAGGTCCCACTAGATACCTACCACTTGTCAGAAGGGTCAGTGATAGACCCCACTAGATACCTACCACTTGTCAGAAGGGTCAGTGACAGGTCCCACTAGATACTTACCACTTGTCAGAAGGGTCAGTGATAGGTCCCACTAGATACCTACCACTTGTCAGAAGGGTCAGTGATACGTCCCACTAGATACCTACCACTTGTCAGAAGGGAAGTTAACAACTGTCCCATTGATGACGTATGTTGATGATCCTCCACCATCAAGATTGATAGCATCAACTATGTCATATGTCAACAGAAGGTGGGCAAACTCTTCTAGGCTGACACTGAAAAATACATACTTGGAATATACTGAAATGTGTTAATTATCCACAGGTGGGCAAACTCTTCTAGGCTGACACTGAAAAATATACACTCAGAGTATACTGAAATGTGTAAATTATCTACAGGTGGGTAAAGTCTTCTAGACTGACAGTGAAAAATATACACTCAGAATATACTGAAATGTGTGAATTATCCACAGGTAGGCAAACTCTTCTAGGCTGACACTGAAAAATATACACTCAGAATATACTGAAATGTGTAAATTATCCACAGGTGGGTAAACTCTTCTTGTTATTGAGAATAAGTTTCTTGAAGAATTTATGTATTTGACCTCTATGACCTTGTCAATGAGTCAAAATCTTTGTACCCTTTCATCCTAGCATGCTTCAGGCCAAACATCAATACACAGAATTGCTTAGTTATTTAATCTATGAAAAATTAAAAGATTTCAACACATCTCCCTGTGATGTTGAAAGTGGGTCAAGGTTATTTATTTGAACACTTTCCCATTGGGCAGGTGAGCTAATAATTTAAGTGCTGCACAAGTATCTGGTGATTTTTTGGCTGAAAGAAGTAGAGAAAACTGACCCCCTGCTGAAGGACTTGCCATCCACTTGTATCAACAAAACTCGTCCTTCCTTGTCTACACCCACAGCAGTTCTTGCCGATACAATGTTTGTGAATGTCTCCAGAGACCCTACAAACAACAAAGAGAGACATTTCCAGTCCAATTATTATATGAAATTAGCATAAATAACAGTGCTTGTACAAAAACCTATCTCAGATTTTACAAAATATCTATATAAGCTTAAAGAGTTATTGTTCTATGTGTAAATTGAACTAAAAGTTCTAATGAATGTTTATGTAGCAAGTCTAATGTTATTTGTAAAATTACTACATATAAAAAAAGGAATGCAGTAAAATGAATCAGTTTTTCACATTAACAACAAAAACACTGAATTATACTGAAGAGACACTGTTTTACCATTACCTGTTTCCTGCATATCCGCACATTCTATCTTTAGACTATCGGAGACGTATACTTCTCCATTGCGGACAAGCCAGATTACACCTCCAACCAACTGTAGAAAATCGTCGGCAATCAGGTCAATCTCCGACAAGTACCTTTAACAACAAAAATACTGAGTAATGGAATTGTGTCCATCGGATTCCTGTTACCTGTAACTTAACTTGGTTATCCCTAACTTAACTTGGTTACCCGTAACCAAGTTAAGTTACGGGTAACCAAACTTGAAAGCAAACAAGACGTGAATAGATTTTTTTGTCTTGAAAATGATAATTCTCTTATACAAGCTACAAGATATACAAGAATCATGCATATTATACACTGTAAAACATTAAATGTTTTTCCCCCTCATATCAGAAATAGACTTTTTATTTCATTTTCAGATGCTTAGAAAAATGATCAATTGTGAAGGAAATTTAAGCAGTACACTATCATTTAAGAATTTGGCTATATTATAAAACAAACTCCATTTGGAATGGGACCCAAAGTTGGCCCCACAGATACACAGAAAAAAATCTAGTTAGTCTTGTAGTGCTATCTACAACAAATATCTACTACAAACCCCTTCTATGTTTAAAGCAAGCGATCTTACCCAAACATGCAATCCAATATTTTTTTATCTTTATTTGGTCTTTAAAAGTTAGATCTTTTTCCTTCTTTTCTTTATTTTTTTCTTCATTTTTGAAGAAATTTGAATATTTGAAGAAATACTTCTAGCATAATGACCTTTAATTTTTAAATCCAAGATAGTTGCTTGACATTCATAACGTTTTTCTGATCAGTCCCAAAATCAAAACGCCACAGCTAACACCAAGGGGAACCTACATAAGAAATTTGGAAGAGATCTGTCCTGTAGTTCTCATGAAATAGAGATAACAAGGAATGTTCACAGACGAGAGACCACAGACGAAGGGTGATCTGAACAGTCCACCATCTGATGATGGTGGGCTAAAATTTTTCTATTTGATTTACAGTGTACTTACCCAAAGAATAATTCACCATTTGCCTTTATTCCAAAATGAGCATTTTGTATTCCCCCAGAGTCCTGAACCAACCTTCCATTGCTAACAACGTTACCTAAAATAAACATTAATTTCAATTTCATTACAGATAATTAAAACAGGTAAATTTAGATTGATAAGAGATCCAAGAAGGATCTAAATGTCCACCATTGTTTGATCTTCATTTAAAAGTTTGATCTTATTCAATCTTTTCTCTCCTTTCCTCTTTTATTTAATTAAATGAAATTTGAAAATTGCTCTTACGAAATACCAAGCATAATATGCAATTTTCAAAGGATTTGTTGCCTTTCATCAGTTTTGTCATTTCTTATCACTTTCAAGATAAAAAAGTACAGCTATGGACTAAGGGGAACCTACATATAAAATTTGAGAAAGATCCATCCAGTACTTCTCAAGAAATAGTGACATCAAGCTTTAACTGTCAAATTCAAGATGGCCATCTGTCAGTCATTTTGTTTTTCTGGTCTGTCCCAAAATCAAAATTGCAAAACTACAGACTAACGGGAACTTTCATATAAAATTTGAGAAAGATCCATATTGTACTTATTGACAAACAGTGATAACAATCTTTCATTGTCAAAATACAAGATAGTCGCCTGTCAGCCATTTAATTCAATAAATAGACCCTGCATTTCTTAAAGAAATGTATGTTAAAACTGTGTCACTCGACCACCAATCTTCTTTTAGATTAACCGAGACAAAAATAAAATTGCTGATAAATAGAACCCTTCAGACTGGGTATTCAAATGAAAAAGTTCTGTTTTTTTGTTATTCACAGATCTGCATTAATTTGTTAGTAGGCAAAACATTTGCTTCCATGGACTTTTTTTCATCATTCATTTTCGTCAAGGTGAAATATTAATGTGTACACAAAAAACATCCTTATGGTGGTAAATTTTTCATATGATCAATCTATACATATATCAAGCCTTCTAAATGGAAAAGACATACAGGTAACTAAAACTTTGACACTACAAAGTCAACACTATCAGCACAATAATTAGTCTACAATCGACCGATACACAAGTTTGTACCAGGAATATACACATGTATTACCAGTACATGTATAACACATTTACATACAAGAAAATACACATACACTCAAAAAAACCTACCAAGACATGATCCTGAAGTTGTATTAAACAGCCCCGCATTAATTGCTACCATACATTTCATCTGTTCTGCACTCTTCACCACAGTAGCTCTATCACCTGTTTTACCATCCTGACAACCTCCTTGTTTTAATGGCTCCAGAACAGAGAGAGTCCTGAAGGGGTTATTTACCACTGTGTAATGGATAAACACAGTTTTTCTGTTATAGAAAGGTCCAATGTCTTCAAATGTATAACGTGACTCCATCAGAGGAAGTTGGAGATCCTTGTCATGAAAATCTCTCGCTACCACTGTTGATGATGTCATATTACCATATTTGACTTGCTGACATTCTCGTGTGTTTCTATGGTGATCGTATCCATCTCTTTGAAGGTAGTGTGATGCCCAGTAAGTTTCTAAAATGGTGTCCATCATGTCTACATCTGCTGTCTTGACATGAAAGTCTTGTTGGGCATTTTGTGTACATGATAAACTGAAAGAAAACAGGAGATTTCAGAATCAATGATAGCATTATTTTCATATAAACACGTACATGTTAACTTTTTGGAATTTTCATGAGGGAGATTTAGGCTGTTAAAACTGACCATTACAACAAGCTCTATAATGCTGGTTGGCCACCTTTTAAACTACTTATGACTAACTTCATATACTAAGCTGATCTTTCTGTTTGCTTAGATTCTAAACAGATGTTAGCAGTTGCCAATGTCTAGACTGATAACTATACATGTACAGTCCTGATGCCTGAAACTTTGACTGTACACAATGAGTACCTCTATAGAATATGGTCCGTTGTATTCCACTGCATGTGTGTGGAAGGTGACTTAAAGCAGGCCTATTGGAAATTTGGGGGGTATCTCCTGTTTGTTTTACCAAGGGACATTGAAAACAAAAAAATAACTGCTGGGTAGTGCTCTCCTCTTATGTAAAATGACCATTCATATAAGCAGTTGATGAAATTTTGACAGAATTAAACTATATATAGCATCCATAATTAACAAGTTCACATATGATATGTAGTAAAGTGAGTATGTAGCTAACCCCTCCCCCATCATTTCACATCTAAACCTTCCACAATAACTGTAGCCAGATTTGGACTGTAATCCTATAGTTTTTGTTAGTGGTGGATAGTTGACAATAACACTGACCATAATTATCAAGACTACAATTATAGCTACTTTTTGCAGATTATGGCACAGCTAGGTACCGGTAAGTTGTTCCAAAAGTTCTGACTATCTTGCCTCAGCTTTGTTTTTGTTTTGGTCATGATCAATCAAAAAGAGATAGTCTGAACCAATCAGAAAAGCGGATATGATCACAAATGTAAAGATAAAGGGCTTCCTTCATGGTTCAGCGAACAAACAAAAAAGATAACTATGGAAAGCCAGCACATAATGCATGTGAATTGCTAATTGATGGTATCACATGCTAATTGCAAATTTATGTATATGCTATGCAACTTCCTATACCTGCATATATTCAAAGCGAAATGCTGATTGCTAAATATGGCAGACCATTTCACGCAGAATAACTCTGGCAACTGTAAGTATGGTATGAAATGTGAGTTTTAAACAGTTATGTATGTTCTATAAAGTAACTGCTTGTGTATGACAAGCCAAGATGTTATCTATTCATTGAGCAATGTTGATTCAGTACCTGGCAAAATCAAATTGAAATATCAAGATATCTTGCTTGTTTACATAATGTCTTATTTTTTTATAAGATATCTTGTTTGTTTATAAGACATTTTATTTCAAGCTTCTGAGATATCTAATTTACTAAATAAGATATTAACATATAATTAATTTAGTCTAGTAAATAAGATATTCTATAAAGAAAATTGAATCAGATACTTAGTTTAGTAAATAAGATATCTTACACTGAAAATAAGATATCTCATTTAATCAATCATATTTGATTAAGTATAAGATCAGCATTGCTTCATTGCAGTATTTTGTTAAAACTCCCTGAAAACTTTTACAAAACATTTTATTTACATATTTCTTCACCATAACCACAAAAGCTGTATAGTTCACAGGTTGTGCAGGTGGGTATGTACACATTTCTTCACCAAAACCACAAAAGCTGTATAGTTCACAGGTTGTGCAGGTGGGTATGTACACATTTCTTCACCAAAACCACAAAAGCTGTATAGTTCATAGGTTGTGCAGGTGGGTATGTACACAACCGGCCACATGTGTATTCTCTTATTTTGAGTGTTTGTGTATGTTGGGTTTTTTGTTGATGTTTTTTTTTTTGTTTTTTTGTTTTTTTTTTGTCAATGAAAACATTGAATAGAACCTTTACCCAATGGACATAAATCCATACATGTCTATTTAAAGTTTTCCTTACAGCCACAATTAATGCAAAACTATTTCTATTTTCCAGCGACATCGAATCGTAACCAATAAATTCGCACGTGCTTTTGATATATCTAGATATTAGCATTAAGCATATAACATCAGTAATTTGCAATTAGCAATTCGCATTCGAATTCTCACTGCATACAAGCTTTCTATAGATAACACCAATTGAGTTCTTTTCTCTGGTCATTTCCAAAACAAAAGCAAATTCTGAATCTATAACAACTGAAATAAGAAAAGTAAATAAATGGTGCAATGTAATAACGTTTACCTAAGGAATGATGAGATGAAAAGAATTGCTTCATGAAGTTTTCGGTTGGTCATGACTGGAAACCATGGTTCAACAAGGCCTAAAGCAGAATGACAACTGTGCACAATTGCTGTCTGCTTCCTGACAATTGATCAATGTCAAGTAAACGTTTGCTGTAAAAAGCACGGCCGATAAAACACTTTCGGCACCCCGATATTGAGTCTAAAAAATTGCACTGGTGACGGAATGGCACAACCTTCATACATTCTCCTTATTATTATTCTTCTTCAATTCCAACTTGAACTTAAGTAAAATAGCGAAGGTAACGTTAAAACATGTATTTGTAAATCAGTCTTAGTAACTTACAGTTACAAATGTTAAATCATAAAAAATATCTTCTTTTTAATGTCAGTCACTTTATCGATTTTCTTTTTCAAAACGAGTCATCGTTATTATTTTTTGTTTTAAAAGATAAATAAAGATAAGGTAAATATTGCAGGCGAGTAGTTGATTTAAAACAAATAAATGGACTGGGCACAAGTTACTACAAAAAAATATTTTAACCCTCTCCAAAAATTATAACAAACTAACATAATGGCAAAACCAAGAAAGAGGAAATATGTTTCCTACAAGTTTCGTTTTAAGATTGTTAACAATTATTAAAAATAAATCTTTATCAATAAATTCATTAAATTACAAAAAAAGTATGACCAAAATTGGAGAGCCTTGTCTGCTGCAGTGGAAGTTCATGAAATATAAATGAAATTTTGTTCATGTATATTGTCCCAGTCCTCGTTTTGTGACTCTTGTGTGTTCACGTTGGTCATGGTAAGGGAATTGTGATCTCTGTATCTATTATTCTAACTGATACATCTGTTCTCAGCCTCTAACCATAGATTCTGCTAGCAGAACTCTATCTCAGATTTCACCTATAGATTTCGAAGGCAAATCTCTTATTATTATTTTTTTTTTGAGATTCTTCTGGTATAGGTTTATGCGCAAGTAAAACACCAATTTTCTTATCTCAGGAACTTAAGGTATCGAGATTAAGGGATTTAGATTCTATTTGTTACTTTACATATCTTCATAACTTTTATTTATTTTTTCTGTTTTATGCTGTGGGATCCAGATGGTTATGAGTGCTTTGCTTACAAAGAAATTTAGCCAATGGAAATAACAAAAACAATATGTTTGTGTAGAAAGCGGACAACCGCTTGCCTTTGCTTCACTTCTGCTTTCTCTGTATAAATGTAAGATGTCATGTAGCTGTTTATAAAGACATAATCCTTAGACGTTTAAGAAACTCCCAGTTTATGCTCCGTCTGTCCATGGCCGTATAATACAAAGACACAAGAAGCTAGATATTCTTGTAACGCATTCATGAAAAAAATGAAAAATAGTCTTGCTGTGTTTATAAACTGTTTCTAAAAATCGTCCATATCTTATCTTTTCAAAATAAACAGATGTACAGAGCATACTGATTTTTGAATGGATTGTGCTAAACTTTTGTGACAATATTTTATGTTTTAAAAACAAAATGCATGTTTCAGCTATTTACAACTGAATTACTTCCCAATATTGTATACCACTTTCAGTCCGAAATATGAAGAAAATCAGCTTTAGTTGGTATAAATAAAATAGAAAGGGGGGGGGGGGGGGGGGGAGGGGTGGGGGGGGGGGTGGCAGTGGATTAGTAATTGTTCGATTGACTCTTGTAAGTATTGTGATACGTCACTTTAATTTATTTGAATCATTTTTTTTTTAAATTCTATCCATTTCTCACCGGCCTATAAAATGGCTCTGGTCAGTACGGTCACTTACTACGGTACAAGTAAATAAAATTTGATAACTACAGTAAGAAGAAGGGAATTCGATGACTTCACGGCTCAGTGAACAACCACAGAAGCTGACACAAGAAATAAGTAAACACTAGACAGAGGTTCTTATCTCTAGATGGGACACAAAATCGTAGATTTCACACCATCACCAAATTAACAATTAACCATAGTCCGGCGGACGGGACTTTAAACGGTGGCCTGTGTGAGGATTGTCCAACCTCGCACGAAAAAATCCTCTTGCGGTTCTCGATAATAATAGTAGGCGCTTATTGTCGTCCATGAGCCCATATAAGCCCAGATGTTGGGCAGGATACAGAAGACAAGGACCCCCTCCACCACCGGAAGTTCAGACACAGCTCAACAAGATCAATCATTAGGCCAGGAAGTCGTCTCCAAATTGCAGACCAATCATCCGATCGTCGTAGTCGTCGTCATCATCATCATCATCATCATCATCATCATCATCATCATCATCATCATCGTCATCATCATCATGTTCTTATCTCTATGATATGTGTCCCTGCTCTATATCATACGTCCCTGTTCACAGATTATAAATATGGTTGGGTTACCCGACCTTAGCTGATGACATTGGCCTGACTTCGGTCTCTCCGACAGAACTTCAACGTATGCTTAACATTTGCTATGAGTATAGCAAAGCATGGAAATTCTCGTTTAATAACTCGAAATCCTCTTTTTTGATATTTGGAAACTTTGTGCCAAGAACTACCGAATTCAGATGGCTTCTAGGCGAAGAGTGCTTCCCTATTCTGGACTCACAAGCGTATGTGAAAAGGGTAGAAGTTTACTGCACGCGATCGTAAGCTTTTAACCACTGCGATGTCTGTGTGATATTCTCTATTCTTTATGGATGTGAGCTCTGGTGACACCTGACAATCTCAGATGTCAGATTACTACGACAATTTAACACTACGCGGAGAAGCACGTGTTAAATATCTCGAAGTCCACGAGATCAGAAATGGTGGAAAACATTATTGGAATCATCAGAATAGACGCTGAAATTTCCAGGAGGAAACTTGTGCTCCTACAAAAGATTGTTTCACTCGGCAGGAAATATAATGTGAAAATGTGAAAATGTTTTTTCTCGAACGAATGTAAAATGATTTCTTTTCGCCAGAAAATTCTAACGCGATGGTACAGAGAGAATTCATTCCCGACATAGCGTCTAAATACGGGCTTATATGAATATTTACCACAAAGTCCAGTGTTTTCCAACAAAATAGAACTGGAACAGAATAATCAATCATGTTATATTTTCCATTAACAATAAGTTCCTGAGAGATAGACTAAATGGTGACTCGGACCTTTTGTCGATTTCCGCGCATCCATTGTAGCTACCGGACCATGGAACTTTTAAAGATCCCTGCAAATGCACAGCAACTACAAGCTGTAAGAGACGTATATATCATATATATACGTCTCTGAAGCTGTGTACCTCGTTATCAAATACTTGAATACTATTCCTAATGTAACTCCATATCATCATTGCCCGCAGGGCAGTGATGATGCGCACTCACATCTTGTAGCCATGCGGTCACGGTCAGATTTCCTGTGCAATGTGATTTCTAACAACGGAATAGAGTGTTACACGGCCTTGATTAATATGGACAGTGAGTTGTTCCTGGAGACTGTTATAGGGGCCAGCCGGTACCAATTTTCAGCCTCTTCAGTAGAAACAAATTTCTTCTGAGCTGTGCATTACTTTTTAAAGAATTCCTCCTTGTTTCCCATGTTGAATGCAAATTTTTCAATTAGAAAATTTTGCGTATGTCCTATTAATTATACCTTTTTCATAACCAGTTTTTTTTAAATATTGAACATTCATCAATTTTATCACAATTGTTCATTTTCTAATGTAAATTTTCATATCTCCGAAAAGGGGTAATAAAGAATGATGATGATGAATTTTTATATGACATTTTATATACTTAATTACAAAGCCCAAAAGACAGCAATTCGCGGAGTTGTCTTTAAAAATGCATTTTTGAAAGTAAACATCTGGATCGATTGCATGTCATGCATTCCGGGTTAGTTTTACCGGTGTCAGAGTCTAAATTTATAACGTTATTCAAACACCGGAAACGTCAAAAAATAGAACTGCACACTTCATCGCACTGTTGAACTATTTCGATGACAATTTCCTCAAAAGTGCGTAACAATATACACAATGTTAGGTTTGTAGTAAATTGTAGACAAAGTTCAACGTCAAAGTTCTGTTGCATATTGTATAATTTGTCAAGTTAGTCAGAGTTGCAATATGGACAGTGAATGTGTGGTTTGACAGTTGCATAACCGAGTTAGTAAACATTGCGTTGCGATCAGCTGATCACGCTCTGGTTTTGGGATATAAAGTAAGTGGAAGTCCTTGGATTTTAGCCAGGAGACGGACGCAACGACCAAAACGACGATAAATTTTCTTCTCAACAATGTGTCCCGCAGACCACAAATCCCATGTCACTTGACTGATGGGTTCTAGCAACTCCTCTAACAGACAGAATCAAAGTCAGAGGATGACGGAACCTGCAGAAACGGGCGCAGCTGGAGCAGGAACAGAAGCCGACGAAGATCAGACAGATATGCAGGCCATCATAGCTTATCTTATACGAAGGTGATTATGATGTACTCCATTGTCATACCTTCAAAATTCTCAAAAGTGCGTGAACGACATTTTTAACTTTAAATTGGTAAATTACATGCTTAACTATACTATAACAATGAAAAAATGTCAGCTTTTTCATTGTTATAGTATAGTTAAGCATGCACTCTACCAGTTTAAAGTTACAAGTTCAAGTTGGAATTAATATTCATTTAAATTCTCAGTATTCATTGAACTCGCATAACATAACAGTTATTAAGATTAGCGATTATCTGGTTGCTAGTAAGGATATGTATTTCCAAATGCTTCTGAAAGAATTTATTTAATTGAAATATGGAAAAAGTAATATTAATCATCATATGAATTTTTATGCTGTCATTTTATTAAAATAGAAAGAGGCAAAAAAAAAAAAAAAAGATAAATGATGTAAATTCTTTCATAAAATTCAAAATTCTTTAATCTAGCTATCATGGTCCATGATATATTTAGAAAATAACTGTAGACAGATACTAATCTAGATATTTGGTCCTGACCCATTCCTAATTTGCATAAGAGTACCCACTCTATATTTAACCATTATCACGTCTATGTTGAGAACCAAACATGTTTTCAAATCACTGTAACAGAGGTCATTATTTATTTCAATGCTTCCGCTAGGAATCGAACCCAGGACCCCTGGCTTACTAGTGTGACACTCAACCAATAGAGCTAAAGAGTTTTCTCTAGCTGAGTAGTATATTGCAGCTAGTATTTTATTAGAGTTACACTATAGTGGACTTTCAGCGAGTGAAATTTTTTTTTTTTTTTTTCTGAATTTTTACTCATGATGCCAACTTGGTTATTTTTAAGGAGAGATGTGTTTAAAGATTGAGGAATGCTTACACATTTTTACATCATAAAGATAATTTTTCAAACCATTTTCTGGTTGAATTTGTTATTTGACTAAATAGATAGAGTATAAACATGGTAATAACTATTTATCTTTAAAATGACCTCATCTCAACCAGACGTTTACTAGGACCAACCCCTGAGTCCTGACCAATTGTCTACCAATAATTGGGTAGGGAGCAAGTGGCCATGTACAAGTGTGCTCCCAAGCGTTTAACTGGAAGTGGGTGCCACTAATTAGATAATTGGGCAGTATGCTCACATAGCTAGGCCTTGATTATGTTCGCAGGTAGTGAACCTTACCAATTTGATGAATATAGAAAGGTTATTTATGACCTACCTAGCATGATCTCTGAAACCTGGAGATTACCCCAATTTTGAACCAAACAATCAGAAGGTGGGGATGGATGTAGAGTAAAAAACGGGAAACTTCTGACTGAATAGGGGAAAGTTGGCAGGTATGCACTGTCCTAACAAAATTGCAGTTTCATGCATAGTTGATGAAAAAGTATCACCAGAGACTTGCACAAGGTAATACATGTATCTTGTGCAACTAGGTAACATACTGTGAATCTTTAGTTATAAATGGAAATTTGATTAAATTACACTCGGGTTTAGGGATAAAACCCATATGATAAACACAAAACAGTGTAGTACATCTGAGAGTGAAGATACTTGCACACTAAATATTTTGTCAGATTGGAAACACTTTCTTCAATTCTGTCTGGAACAAGCTTATAGCATGATTCATGCAGCTTTAATTATTACATGTTCGAAAGATATTGAGATTTTCGAAAGCTTGGAGGATACTGATCTTTGTTTGGACTGTACAGTTCATTGCATAAAAAAACCCCTATTTTTAGCTACGATTTATATCTATTGATATATGTACAATGGTTCTGACTTTTCATCTCTGATGTGGTTACAGTGGACAAGTTAGAATCCTTAGGCATGAAGAAGATGACAGTAACGAAGATGATGATGAAGATGACAACGAATTTTATGGACCAGCTAACCCTCCAAAAGGTAACTTGTACCTGTACATGTTGATGTACACCTAGTAACTTGTACCTGTACATGTAGATGTATACCTAGTAACTTGTACCTATACATGTTGATGTACACCTAATAACCTGTACATGTAGATGTATACCTAGTAACTTGTACCTCTACATGTTGATGTACACCTAGTAACCTGTACCTATACATGTAGATGTACACCTAGTAACTTGTACCTCTACATGTTGATGTACAACTAGTAACTTGTACCTGTACATGTAGATGTATACCTAGTAACTTGTACCTATACATGTTGATGTACAACTAGTAACTTGTACCTATACATGTAGATGTACACCTAGTAACCTATACATGTAGATGTACACCTAGTAACTTGTACCTGTACATGTTGATGTACACCTAGTAACTTGTACCTCTACATGTAGATGTACACCTAGTAACTTGTACCTATACATGCAGATGTACACCTAGTAACTTGTACCTATGCATGTAGATGTACACCTAGTAACTTGTACCTATACATGTAGATGTACACCTAGTAACTTGTACCTCTACATGTAGATGTACACCTAGAACTTGTTCCTCTACATGTAGATGTACACCTAGTAACTTGTACCAAACATGTAGATGTACACCTACTAACTTGTACCTATACATGTAGATGTACACCTAGTAACTTGTACCTTACATGTAGATGTACACCTAGTAACTTGTACCTATACATGTAGATGTACACCTAGTAACTTGTACCTCTACATGTAGATGTACACCTAGTAACTTGTACCTGAACATGTAGATGTACACCTAGTAACTTGTACCTCTACATGTAGATGTACACCTAGTAACTTGTACCTATACATGTTGATGTACAACTAGTAACTTGTACCTGTACATGTAGATGTATACCTAGTAACTTGTACCTATACATGTTGATGTACAACTAGTAACTTGTACCTATACATGTAGATGTACACCTAGTAACCTATACATGTAGATGTACACCTAGTAACTTGTACTTGTACATGTTGATGTACACCTAGTAACCTGTACATGTAGCTGTACACCTAGTAACTTGTACCTGTACATGTTGATGTACACCTAGTAACTTGTACCTGTACATGTTGATGTACACCTAGTAACTTGTACCTGTACATGTTGATGTACACCTAGTAACTTGTACCTGTACATGTAGATGTATACCTAGTAACTTGTACCTATACATGTTGATGTACAACTAGTAACTTGTACCTATACATGTAGATGTACACCTAGTAACCTATACATGTAGATGTACACCTAGTAACTTGTACCTGTACATGTTGATGTACACCTAGTAACCTGTACATGTAGATGTACACCTAGTAACCTGTACATGTAGATGTACACCTAGTAACTTGTACCTGTACATGTTGATGTACACCTAGTAACTTGTACCTGTACATGTTGATGTACACCTAGTAACTTGTACCTGTACATGTTGATGTACACCTAGTAACTTGTACCTGTACATGTAGATGTACACCTAGTAACTTGTACCTGTACATGTAGATGTACACCTAGTAACTTGTACCTGTACATGTAGATGTACACCTAGTAACCTGTACATGTAGATGTACACCTAGTAACTTGTACCTCTACATACTGATGTACACCTAGTTACTTCTGAAAATGATTAACGGTATGATTTTTTAAACTGAGTTTTCAACCATAACTACTTTTACCTCTGCCACACTAAACACTTGCAGGTAAACGCAGTTACCGATTTTTAGTTTAGACCCACAGAGTTGTTTTTATGTTTCTTAGTAGTAGCGTACCCAGGTAACCACACTTACCTCTTCCTCTTCCTCTTCTCAGGTAACCATAGTTACTGCTTATTTCTTGTTAGGAAGTTAGGAATAGTTTTGGTAGCAATTGTTGTATAAATGTAATATGGTTTATAGTTGACATATGCAAATATAGTAGCTTTTTATGCCTGTGTAATTCTGGTTGTGGAACAAGAAACAAGACACTTGTATGTAAATATATCCTTAGTTTATAAATGTACCAGGTCAACATGCTTCTATATGTATACATAATTTCTGTATTTTGCATCGTCTGTTGTGGCCTCGGTGTTGATAATTGGCACTAGTAGATGGGTTAGTTAGAAGAGATGTGTTAACTGCAAGCCACAGGTATCGGATGGTATATATGTATGTATCTATTTTATAAGTTTTAAACTCTTTCTACATTCTTGGGGGTATTTCAGCTAAACAAATACAAACTTGTCTAGATGTTTTTTAAGTAACAATTTGTTAACAGCTTATGCAGAGAATATATAAACACATAACATAAGGCTACAAGTTAGTGAACATGTTCTTTACATGTGATAAGTTCATCGTCATTGGTCAGTCCTGTCACATGACTGGTCAAGTTTCGCAGGTCAGCCTTCAGCAGCATCAACAACAGTAGTTTATTTAGCACCAATAGTGTTTTTGTCCGCCACCATCCCACCACTCGACCATACCAAGTGATGCCTTGTGACTATAACGGCTTCTAAATTCATAAGGCATTTTAAGTGAGTAACACTTGCCAGCTGGTCCTGAGCATGAATAAATTGTACCTTCCCCTTTCTTTGAAGGGAGTTAGTGTTTAGGCACTTGGCTCAGCAGCTAATTTTGGCATCTTACTTCATTATATAATTTGTAAGTCCCCTGAGAATTTTTGGTCTTAAATCTTGCATTGTCTTTTCATAATTTGTAAAAACTTTGTTTTGTAGCTGATCAAAACCCAGACACAAGTTTATTGGAGGTAAGAATAGCTATATATACCAGTTTTGATCTGACAATGTAAAGTATATCAGCTCTTGTTACAGATATTTTATTTATATATATATATATATATATATATATAATATACATTCACCTTTTGGAGTCCATACTCATGATAAGGAAGCAGTTTCAATTTTAAAAACGTTTGCTATGATATAATTTTAATAATTCTTATGATATAAAACATTCCTTTGTTATATGAGTTTTGAAGAATATTCCTTTATGTTGTAGAAAAATGACCTGAAGCAGGTGATACTTGACAAATCTGGACGGACACAGAAGCGATCTCGGATGTCTATCCCTACACTACCACATATGATCCAGAATGTACATGATTTTTTTTATTTAGGGGCAGGGGCAAGTCTTGCAGGTTTTTTTTCAAGTTCTTTTTTATTTTACAATAACCAGAAAGAAAAATGTCACATCTGTTAATGTCACTTTCCTGTTAATATCAAGTTTTTTTGCCCTACATATTCTTTGTTATCCAACATCTGATGATGTCACTTATTTTCATGTGGGCAATGCTTAATATCACTTGATTTTATCATCACATTTCCCTCTGATAAATGGAACATGATATTAAGCGGGTTTCACTGTACAAGCTGATACTTGAACCTTCTCCCATTGGGAATGCAAAGGAATAGCTTATCTCTTATTTCTGTCATATTTTTCAATTAATTGAAAGACGAAAATAATAGAAGTATTTGTGTGATTGTTAAAAAAATTGTCTTAAAACTATGAAAAACACACTTTTAAGAAGCATTTTCCAAATTAATGCCCTGGTAATTTGGTGACTTTGGTGTTGTCAGAGCTCCTGTTTACCATATTGGTTCATACACAGTGCATATCATGCTGCAGATTGTATGGTATGAAATTATATGTGTATTTTCAGAGAGAAGTCGGAGCCAACAGAAGTCAGCAATTTACAGTAGGGGATCAAAGAATCCTTGGATGTCAGTAAGTAATTAATTCAATTGCAGGAAATTAGAAATTCTTTATTTTTTTCTCTGATGATAGGGAAATATTCATTGATCTTAAGATTTTTGTTTTAAAATTTATGTTATTTTGACAAATATCACAAAATGAGTATATAGTATTTTTTATCACATGAATTTTTGTTGTATTTAGATTTTACTATGTACTTAAAAAAATTGAAATGCATTGAGATTTAATAATACATATACTAGTTTTAAAATCAAGTCAATGGAAGGACACTGTACTGCTAGTAAATTTGAATTATAGCTCTCCTTAGCACATTAAATATATTAGATGATGACAGAAGAAAATTTGGTAAACCTGCTTCTTTGAACCAAAACTTAGTCCGAGGTAATCAGAGTTTGTGAGATGTACACAACATCAGTAGTGCTTGACAGGTCTTCAAAAAGAAAAAAATCCCCCTGCATATGTCAAGACTACTATTTCATATTTGACAAATTTCAAATAGAGTTATGTCCCCTTTTTTCCATAGGTTTCTTCCCAACCACAAGGAAGAAGTGGCTAGATATCATCACAAAGTTTTCTGTGGAACCTACTCTAAAGATGGCAACATATTCCTCACAGCATGTCAAGGTACCCTTCCTATTGAATGGTTGATATGAGCCGTTTTGTATACATTTGATTTGGTAGACTTAACAAGTTCAATATGTTGAATATATGTACAAGTGCACCAATGTCAAGGAAATGAACAGTCAGGCAATTAATTCATGACACAGCTACTTTTTTAAACTGACTTACCCAGTTGACACATTATTAAGGTTAATAACAAGGATTTATCTACCTAAAGGAAGTCGTATCAAAGCAAGGTTAAGGCTGAGGTGAATATCAATTTATGCCCACATGTTTTAAGACTCTTCTGATTCCCTTAATCATAAATGGTAGCAAACTGATTCTAATTTTAGATCAGGGTTAACCGACTGGCAGCATTTTAACCAATTCATTTTTATAACCTAGCATGCAGGTGACAATTTCTTTCGGCGATGTTGCATTTGTGCAAAATTTTGTATATTTTGTACTTCATGGAAATCAGAGAAGAACAGAATGACAGGTCTTATAATGATATGTGGCTGTGGTCTTTGAAATTCCTGTCCTAACCAGATTTGGTTTAGACGTCTTGATGTTACCAGGCTATGTGTAAAAAGTATGTTTTAATTTCAGACCAACATATACGAATATATGACACAACCAGGGGTAATTTTAACTTGCTCAAGACAATTCGAGCCAAAGATGTTGGATGGAGTATACTTGATACAGCTTTCAGGTATTGAAGTCAAGTTTATTCTGGATGTACAGTGGAAATCACTTAATATAACATTGGTTAATGTCACTTTCTGCTTATTATCAAATGTAACATGATATTAAGGGGGTTCCACTGTTCTGTCATGGCCAAAACTTTTGATTTTAAATTGACATTGTTGGAGATGATGTTGGTATCTGAACATGATTAAAGCATATATATATAAAATTATTCTGTTAAAGGTTTTGCATTTTAGTTAAAAAGTTATTTTATTATGAATTATAAATTTCTCCATGATATGAAAGACTACTTTCCTGTAAATGTATATTTTGGCAGACAACACAAGCATATTACCATTATTCATAGTACAGACTAAAGGTTCAGACTTGTCTGAAGTAAGATAGCATTACAGTGGTTCATAGTACAGACTAAAAGTTCAAACTGAAGTAAGATAGCATTACAGTGGTTCATAGTACAGACTAAAAGTTCAAACTGAAGTAAGATAGCATTACAGTGATTCATAGTACAGACTAAAAGTTCAAACTTGTCTGAAGTAAGATAGTATTGGTAATGGATTTCTACTGAAATAAGAATGTACAGTGTCGGTAGTTGATATCTGATTATGAAAAATTAAATTAAGTCAATTTTATCTCCAATAAATTAGATTTATGAAACAGCAATCCATATGTTCTCCTAAAGTGTTATTTTGTCTATATAATATTGTTTATAAGTATTATTCATGCCTGGTGATAACAATTAATGGTCTACTTCCATTCCACTGCAAGTTGTCCAACTTTTATTTCACAAGCTGATATCTTTGAACACAATTATAGATAACAGCTTCTCATTTCATTGCTCTAAGTTTTTAGCCCATCATCATTATAATACTATCCAAATTGCCCTACATCCGTGGTCCGTCCAACTGTCCGTAAACAATTTTTGTTATTGCTATTCCTTGAGTAGTACTAGAAGGATCTTTCTCAAATTGCATATGTAGGTTCCCCTTGGTCCTGAGTTGTGCCCCTTTGATTTTAGGACTGATCAGAAAAACAAAATGGCTGACAGGTGGCCTTCTTGGAGAAAAGAAGGGAAATAGTCCATCATTCAAAAAGCAAATAATGAGCAAGCAAAAACCAAGGACTCTTTAACAACTTGGTAAAGGGTGAATATTGGATGGGGAGTTGATATGTTTAGATAGGTTTATAAATGGAGTCAACATCTTCAAGCATTTTTATTGTCAAAGCATGGTTTGTTTTAGCCCATCTGATGTTTGGCTGTTCAAATCGACCTTTGTTCTTTTCCATTGTCTGTCTTTAAACAATGGTTGTTACTACTGCATGTATATGGATCATGCTCACATTTCACATCTAGGTTCTCATTAGACCCTTGTTGTGATATGAAAACGAAAATGGAAGACAGGTGGCCATCTTGGATATTGATAATTTAATTTCATTTTTACCATTTCTTGAGAGAAACTGTTTGAATCGTTCTCTCAGATTTAGTATGTAGGTTCCTGTTGATTCTTAGACGTAAATATTGTGTTTTGGAACCAGTTAGAAAGAAGAGAAGGGAGACAATTCAACTGATAAAAAATTGATGATAAAGATTATATAATGGTGGGCACCAATATCATTCCAGTATCTCTGTTACTGGTTTTATCTCATGTTTCGTTATGATTTTAAGAGTACTGTAAATTTAATGCTGAGTTGTGATGGTTTTCAGCCCAGATGGTAACTATGTCATCTACTCCAGCTGGTCTGACTGCAGTAAGTACCACACTAATACAAATAAAGATGGTGGGGGAAAAAAATTTAAAAAATAGAAATTTCTGTGAATAACTGCATTTTATTTATTTTTTTATATATTATGGGGGGTGGGTGTCAGAAAAACTTTTTTTGTTTTTTGTTTCAAAACAAACATGATTTAATTTGTGCAAGACTGCTATTATTCTATACCTTTTGGAGAAAATGAGCAATGATTTAGTTTTAGACCATAAAATGGAAAAAATCAGACTCTGTGGTAAGCGTAAATGATATGATTTGTTCAGAATCAAGATTTTGATCCCTTTTTTTTGCTTTACCTAGTTGTGTTATTCATTGTACATCTAATTTTTCAGTTCATCTATGCAATATTCATGGAGAATATGACACCCACAATGCCTTGCACCTGTTTCCAGGGGAACACAGCTTTTGTATATTTTCACTTACCTTTTCCTATGATAATCGAGAAATTCTTGGAGGGTAAGATTTTCTCTTATTGTCTTTTTTCTCTGTCTTTGCTTTCATGTTTGGTATAATTACATGACTTTGGATGATGAAGGTCACATACTACTGTTTTGTCTAGAATGTAGACAATGAATGATTAATCCTATGATGTAACCAAAGTAACAAATATTTCCATAAGTCAGTGCAGTGTTGAATGACACAACAACAAAAAATGTTTTTGAACTTGATGAAATGATTACATAATTTATGATAATTGATTATTGACAAAAACTGCAAGGCATATTGAAGCAGTTTATATTGTGATTCAGAAAGTCATGAAAGTCTTGAAAGTGACTAGGAATGGATTGAGTTTCAAAATGTCCCTTTTTGACTAGTCAGTTTTGATAAATTTGAATAAAAATATAACTGAATGCAAACTAGTTTTAGGTATCTGCAGTAAGATAGTATTCACTGAAACAGTAGACAGTAAAATTGGTGATGATTTTTTATTACAGTGCTAATGATGGTTGCCTATATGTGTATGATAGAGAGAGTAACCAAAGGACACTTCGGGTGAGTAATGTGTACTGCATGAGACACAGGATTTTGTGACTCAAATAACTTTCATATGCATTATTTTCATACTATATAGTGTAATAATTATATAATATAGTCTTAATGGTTAAATTATATGGATATTTTGAGTCGTTGAAGCTTAAAAAGAACCTAAGATAATAGGACATGTGAAGCACGTGTCATGCGGGTAAACCTTGTCTATTGGAAGTCAGGAACAGTCTGTAAGATTTTGAGTATACTAAAATCTGGTTTCATTATCACAAACTTTAACTCTAAGAACATTTGCTGAAAAATTCTTTATTTTTTTATATACTATACAGCTATCTAAAATCTATCAGAGTAAACTTACCTGGTATTCTGAAACTTGTATTTTTTGTATTTGACGTCTCGTACTGATGTACTGGAATCCTTGGTTTAAATCACTATTCTTTATTCTCTCTGGGAGCATCACATGTTACAGCAACCAAAATTATCTGGGTGCGAGGTCACGCAGGTTAATAGTACATGTGATACACCTCGACAAATGGCCGTACCGTAACGGTCCATAACCAATGTCCAAACAATACCCATACTCTTCATTTGTTTTACCATTTTTCTGAATTTGTTTTACCGGTATATAAGCTGCAAGCCCGCCCTCTGAGGAAAAAAACTGCAGCTTATAACCCAGAAAATATGGTAGTTGATTTCCTAAAATTACATGTTCACTTTTTATAGTTATCTCCCTTTAATAATATGCCTACTGCTTAGTAACCATGTAGCATTGTCTTATATCTTTACCAGATTGATGCCCATGAAGATGATGTGAATGCCGTGGCCTTTGCTGACAGTTCCTCACAGATTTTATTTAGTGGAGGGGATGATGGTTTGTTAAAGGTAAACCACAAACAGATTTCCTCTTGATCAACATTCGTCGCAGTGTTGTCCTACGTTTTGTAAATCTAGTCACAATGATCCATTAACATCAGCATTTCCTTACAGATAACTATCTAAGAACCAACAGTTTTAGACAAAACCTCATTATTCCTGATATTAAATTCTTGTGTTCTAGTTATTTTTAGGGAATGTTCAGTGTACAAGATCATATATGAGATCATCAAGAGAGTTGAAGTTTGTGAATAATTCAGAATTTTATTTTTCAACTTTCTGTTGTAGAATTGATAAGATGTTATTCCACAGTTTTATTCATGGTTAGCCATGTCTTCTGTGTGATGAACAATGATACATTGTTACTTGGTATATAGGTTTGGGACAGACGAACCCTGCGTGAGGAGAATCCGGTCCCTGTTGGCATATTGGCAGGTCACTCCGACGGTGTCACCTACATAGACTCCAAGGTATTGTTCAAACCCGACTGTCTACATAGATCTTAGTCTGTATTGTACTGTTGTACAAGTTTGGTGTCATCAAAATACCAGTCCTAAAACTTATTGCTATGGATATCTGTCAGTCATCAAAATACCAGTTCCTAAAACTTATTACTATTGGTATCTGTCAGTCACCAAAATATTACATGTTTAAAATTGTTGCTATGGGTATATGTCAGACATCAAGATATAAGGTCCTAAAATTTGTTGTTATGGGTGTCAGTCATCACAATTCTAGGTGCTACAACTTGTTGTTCTGGTAGATTTCATATCGGTCAAACTGACTGTAAAATTCTGTAGTTATTTCTTACGAGGAAAATTCAAGTTGATCAGTGAACACTTACCACTTATAAACTTTCCAGTGATTAGGGTTCTGATGTTAATAAAACACCAGGTTTTGTGAAACTGAGTCCTGTGTATTATTCTCTCAGGGAGATGCACGGTTCCTCTTGTCTAACTGTAAAGATCAGTCCATGAAGCTATGGGATGTCCGTATGTTCTCATCCGAGGAAGGCATTCAGGTACGTAGAGGGGAGCATCACTCACATCAGTGTGGCAACCTTGTACACTATCTACAGAACATTGATGAAATTTAGAAAGTTATATAATTGGTATTATGATATATTTGGTAATAATCTTCTGTGGAATGTATTGACAGAAAGCATTATTGACAAAAAATTATCACTCTTAAGTTTGAATGAAACATTTGCAAACTTCATTTATTCACTCGTGTGTCAGTTATTCAGTCCTGATAAGACTGGTGTTTGAATCATATAAAAGAGGTATATACCTGTACTTGAAGTGTGCTGAATGAAGTCCAAGACACAAAGCAAAATTTCATATGTTGAGATCTACCAGGTAGCAACAATGTAAAAAAACGTTTGAAGTCAGCAGATCCGATCTGCATCACAGATATTAACCATGTATACATATTGGAACCAAGTATGTGATAGAATTAGTGACGGGTGCTTTGGAGCTCGTCTCCATTACTGTATGTGATAGAAATAGAGACAGGTACTATAAAGCTAGTCTCCAGCACTGTATGTGATAGAATTAGAGACAGATGCTTTAGAGCTAGTCTCCAGCACTGTATGTGATAGAATTAGAGACAGGTGCTTTAGAGTTGGTCTCCAGCACTGTATGTGATAGAATTAGAGACAGGCACTATAAAGCTAGTCTCCATCACTGTATGTGATAGAATTAGAGACAGGTGCTTTGGAGCTGGTCTCCATCATTGTATGTGATAGAATTAGAGACCGGTATTATGGAGCTAATCTCCATCATTGTATGTGATAGAAATAGAGACAGGTACTATGGAGCTAATCTCCATCATTGTATGTGATAGAATTAGAGACCGGTACTATGGAGCTAATCTCCATCATTGTATGTGATAGAAATAGAGACAGGTACTATGGAGCTAATCTCCATCATTGTATGTGATGGAATTAGAGACCGGTACTATGGAGCTAATCTCCATCATTGTATGTGATAGAAATAGAGACAGGTACTATGGAGCTAATCTCCATCATTGTATGTGATAGAATTAGAGACCGGTACTATGGAGCTAATCTCCATCATTGTATGTGATAGAAATAGAGACAGGTACTATGGAGCTAATCTCCATCATTGTATGTGATAGAAATAGAGACAGGCACTATGGAGCTAATCTCCATCATTGTATGTGATAGAAATAGAGACAGGTACTATGGAGCTAATCTCCATCATTGTATGTGATAGAAATAGAGACAGGTACTATGGAGCTAATCTCCATCATTGTATGTGATGGAATTAGAGACAGGTGCTTTGAAGCTAGTCTCCAGCACTGTATGTAATAGAATCAGAGACAGGTGCTTTAGAGCTGGTCTTTAGCACTGTATGTGATAGAATTAGAGACAGGTGCTTTGAAGCTAGTCTCCAGCACTGTATGTAATAGAATTAGAGACTGGTGCTTTGAAGCTAGTCTCCAGCACTGTATGTAATAGAATTAGAGACTGGTGCTTTGAAGCTAGTCTCCAGCACTGTATGTGATAGAATTAGAGACAGGTACTTTAGAGCTATTCTCCAGCACTGTTGATAGTGAGTTGTACAGATAATTATACTGAAACCAGATACTTTTCTCCTGTATGTAAAGTCTACAAAGAAAGCAGTAGCCAAACAGAGATGGGACTACAGGTGGCAACAGTTTCCGAAAAGAGGTAAATGTCTGTGTTGTTTGAATGTTGTAGATGATATGAGGCAATTAACAATGACAATATAACTGTATGTTTTGAACATTAATTCTTAGTGAAATTTGTTTTTATCACATGTTAATAGTTTAAAATTACTTGAATACATGTAGAAATGTGGTACATTATATTGAATACTGTTAGAAGGAATTCACAGCTACAGATAAAGGATCTTGTTTCTTTTGTTTACAGCCTCTAAGAAGAAGATTTTGGCTGGGGACTCCTCTATCATGACCTACAGAGGTCACTCTGTTCTGAATACACTGATTCGATGTCATTTTTCACCGGAGATGACCACCGGTCAGAGATATGTGTACTCCGGTTGTGCTAGTGGAACTGTTGTAGGTAAGTTGAGGGATATCAGTCCACACAGATGTACAAATGGTTTTCACATCAATGGGAAGTAATGATGTGATGTTACAAATTGGCATTTGACTTGGAAGACCATAATCAATGCACATGTTATAAAGCTTTCTTTCTTTGATTACAAATATGTTTCTTTTTCTTTTCATTCTCAATTTTCACTTCATTTATTTCAATTTGAATATTATTTTTAGCTTTATTGGCTGAAATTTACAATATTGTTAAATCTGCCTGATAATTGTTGGATGATGTACCCTGTCAGATTTTTATTTTCTGTTCGGACTTTTTCAGTATTTGAATTTCTACACCCAAATAGACTCAGATAAACTGACCATAGGTCACTCTTCTGTTACTGTTTATGATCGAGTAAAATTTTGGTATATCTTAAACTTTCTGCAATCACTTTCAATTTGTAAAAGCCTATTATTAACTATATAATCTAACCACATATAGTCCAATTTTGTTATTTTTGTACATGAAAAATTAGATTCTCATTTTGAATGTCAGTATCGTGTTTGGCCAGATGTGATACTCACTTGTAAATTTTTGTTGAGTTGTATTCTGTCTGAAAAAGTATAGAGTATTAATATATAATGACTGTTTCAGTGTATGACCTGTTGACGGGAAAGATTGTAGCCAAGCTGTCAGGACACAACACCTGTGTGAGGGACGTGTCGTGGCACCCGTACGAGAATATCATTATGAGTACCTCAGTAAGTAGACTGGGACTAGTCCTTTCCAAGTGGAACTAACTGATGCTGTGCACTTCTAAGGTGTTATTTGTAAAGTTAGGAATTGACTGACCTGTGTTGTAAGGGATTTCCTACTTTTCAGGTCACCTGAGACAAAGTTTCATGGGGACCTATTCTTATACCCTTCGTTTATCAAAAAAATTAAAGTGCACCTTACTCTAGTTTTGTGTTAAGCATACTCTCTACATGTAAGATTAGCAAGCCATTTTGAAGCATGATTTACAAAGTGCCAGTGAACATTAAGATGAATTTTAAATGTTGCAAACCTTGGTGAAATGCAGTAGCCCCTGTTTGGTTTACAGATTTATGTATGTTACAACATTACGTAATAAACCTGCTAGGACATCTAATTCAGTCATTGCTGAAGAAGGATTTTTACCAAAAAACACAATCTGAACTCTTATCTGATGTTACATTTGGTTGGTAAGAGGGTCTCTTCTAAAATATCTACCATCTTCAGCCATTTCCAACTCCAACAATTACTATCACTAGACAACTCCAGAGAGTGTCGAGTGGTTATTGGGAGGTAGCCATTTCCTACTCCAACAATAACTATCACTAGATAACTCCAGAGAGTGTCGAGTGGTTATTGGGAGTAAGCCATTTCCTACTCCAACAATAACTATCACTAGATAACTCCAGAGAGTGTCGAGTGGTTGTTGGGAGTTAGCCATTTCCTACTCCAACAATTACTATCACTAGATAACTCCAGAGAGTGTCGAGTGGTTGTTGGGAGTTAGCCATTTCCTACTCCAACAATTACTATCACTAGGTAACTCCAGAGAGTGCTGAGTGGTTGTTGGAAATGGCAGATAAATACAACATATTTGATAAAGAATACTTACAACACATAATTTTTGAGGTGCCAAATATTTCAACAATATTTTTCAGGGCGAAATCACCTAATATAGTGACTGCCTAATATTCCTAGTTAATATGGTTTGATACTCATGATATTAACAGATCTTTAGAACACACAGACTTCATTTGTAATTAAATCCTAGGGAAGTATATTTAACTATGAAACGTTAATCGAACAAAATACTGTTTCAGTGGGACAGCTGTGTAGCTAAATGGACATACCAATACGAGGATCCGTCTGATGCAGAGGTCACACAGGAGTCAAGCTGGGACGAAGATGATGAGAATGATTCTGATGAGGACTCGTATTTACGACACCGTAGGAGAAGTGCACGATTGAAAATGATGCAGAAAAGGAAAAGAAAAGCCAATGTGTGTGTGGAAAGATGTGGCTTACTGGATTAGATAATCAGAAAACAGTGAATCAGATGCTGGTATACACTGATCTGGTATATTGTGATAAGTGTCTGATAATCACGAAAGTGTCAAATTACGGGGGAAAAATTTGTGTGTGAATGTGAAAATTTTCTCTCTTCAGATTATTTCTGTGGAAATTTTCACACTTTCACGCCTCAAACTTTTCTAAATTATTACAGAAATTTTGATGTTTTCTATCTTCAATTTATTCCTGTGGAATATTTCACTCTATCCTCAAACTGTTCCAGTGGAATGGTTCATTTTTACTGCCACTGTAAAGATTTTATACTTTGGTTTTAAGTCTGTGTTATTGGGTTTTGTGCTGGGTATCAATATGTTATCCCAGCACAAAGATTTTACAATACTATGAAACCAAGATAAATATTACAAGTGTTAAGTATAGCAGTTATTGAATTTAGAACCAGCAATGTTTTGTCATATTTTGCAGCCAAAGGCGGACTATTTTCATGGCTAAAACTATGTATATCTTCCAAATTACTATGAAATATTATTCCAAAGCATGCTGGCAGATGCAGCTGTTTGCTAATGTAAAATTGTAAACATACATTGTGTATTCTATATGATTTGTTTATGATGCCAATTCTTATTTTGTTTTTTTGTGTTTTATTTTTTTCTCTCAAAAAACAAAACATTATCATCAGTGTGATGGTTAGGGGGCTCAAGGTCAAGGTCATATCTATGTACATTTCATGCTTATAGTAGCTTCCCAAGACAAGGTCAAGGTCAAAGTAAGCCATATCTGTATACATTGCATTGTCTATAGGAAACTTGACAAGTTACAAGGTCAGGGTCAAATCCAGCCACATATGTCTACACTGCAGTGTTTAATGGAGCTCACAAGGTCATGGTCAAATCAAGTCATATCTCTATACATTATCATGTTGTGAAAGTGTCATCCATACTTAAAAATATATTTCAGTATTTTTAAAGCAGCTTAATATACTACATATATATACAAATTCTACATATCAGGATATGTTAATTAAGGCTGTTTTTGCAGAACCCAGTTGAAAAGGTTTATGAGGTCTGAAATTATTCCATCCACGTACTGGATGTTGGACTTGATATATGTTTGGAAATTTCCTGTCCGGCATAAAAAAATGAACTAAAATTAAAATACCCTCCATTTCACTCATATTTAAAACGCAATGCTTCCAGAAATATGTGAGTACACTAACATTGAAATTCTGAAATTTAATGATATATATATAAACTTTATTTATATTACAACAATTGCAAAACAAGTTATGTCAACTTATACTAATCACTCTTGTTGGCCTGGATGTAAGCGCGCGAGGGGTCTTATTGTGGGAGGAAACCGGAGTACCCGGGGAAAACCCACGTGGTCGGGCAGGTGACCCCTTACCTTTTCACGTCCGTTCCGGGAATCGGCTAGGTGAAAGGCGAGTGCGTTACCACCCGGCCACCCGAAAAAATATTCAGCAAGTTAGTTTCTGACAGGTACGGCTAGACCCTGCACTCTGCACATGTCAAATATTCTGTAGTCCAGCATTAGTCCCCGATCTGCACCAGGTGTTTTTTATACAGGTTCGACCGGTCCAAAAGTTTCAGCTGCTTACGCAAAAGCAATCTAATTTCTTCATTGCTTTTTAGTTTTTAATGCTTATTTGTACAGACGTACACAATCACCAGAGTAATTCTTTATACAAGTCATTATATAAATGTCTGTGAAGATTTCTGATTTGAGATAATTCCCAAGTGTCTAGAATTGTATTGATGGAAATATGAAGCATTATGGTATGTTTTTACCCTGAAATATCAACACACTGTGCGTGATTGTACAATATATGGTATTTATTTTGTACATAGAAATTTGATCGTAATGATTGTAAATGTATTGTGATTTGTTGAGCTGTTCTATGCAATTGTTTGAATAATGATGTTGGTAATAGCTTTTTGAGTATACAACATAACAAAAATATCGCAAAAGTGAAATACCAACAAACAGTAGTTTTAGGATTGTTGGGATTTCTGAAACAACAGCAAATAGCCATGAGCCCGAAAAACATGTCGGCACATATCTAATGAACATTAGGTTTAGATTTGATGTCATTTGTTATTTTGTTAATATATGAATTCAGGGATTTAAAATATTCACTGCATCAACACAGAAAAAAAAAAACCCACAAATGTTTATGATTTAACGGTAATGTTTTAATTTGTTGCCATAGTAACATGTACATCTCCCTTTTCTTGACAACAGATTTGCTAATTTGTGTTAGAATAGATAATGATAGAAATTGAATCAGACAGCTGATAGATACAAGTTTTTGTAAAATATCTCTGTTTATCTTATCTTAAGTTGTTAAGCACCCCTTCCCCCATCTATACACGCATTGTATGATTCATCGATTGGTGACAATCAAGCATTTAACTTGACATTGTGATGCACACATTTAAAATTTGGGTAGTTATATGCCATTATTTACAGGACACTAACTTAGATCATTCACAATGTCTTCCTGATTGCTTGTTATATTATTTTTTAGGGTAGTTTGTAGTGCAGTTTATATACTTTGAGTCTGTCGTAGAATAAGATTCGGGTCAGTGTTTCGAAACGACGAGGCGTAATTGTGATGTCCCAGATTACGACAAAGGGTCAGTGTTTCTGAATGACGGGTGTAATTATGATGTCACAGATTACAAGAAAGGGTCAGTGTTTCAGAACGACAGGTTGTAATTGTCACAGATTAAGACAAAGCTTCTAAAGACTATAAAGAACCTTTGTAATGAAATCAATCCCTATATGTTGTGAGTTTGTATTTAGGTGAAAAAGCATTTGCTATTTCAACTTTAAAGCAGGAACGACTGTCTAGATTCATAGAGACATACAGGAACCTGACAAAGGCCTCAAATGATATAATTTGATAGCTACATGACATCTGGAACTGTCAAAACTGCCAGGACCCACATGTTCAAAGGCTGGTTAAAGACAACCAGTGGTTAGTACACATGCTCAAAGGCTGGTTAAAGACAACCAGTGGTTAGTACACATGTTCAAAGGCTGGTTAAAGACAACCAGTGGTTAGTACACATGTTCAAAGGCTGGTTAAAGACAACCAGTGCTTAGTACACATGTTCAAAGGCTGGTTAAAGACAACCAGTGGTTAGTACACATGTTCAAAGGCTGGTTAAAGACAACCAGTGCTTAGTACACATGTTCAAAGGCTGGTTAAAGACAACCAGTGCTTAGTACACATGTTCAAAGGCTGGTTAAAGACAACCAGTGGTTAGTACACATGTTCAAAGGCTGGTTACAGACAATCAGTTGTTAATATAAATTTTACGACATTGATTGAACGGAACTGGAAACATTCTCTACAATTTCCTAGCAGTAAATTTGCTGAGACGAGTTCGGCTGATATATTTTGAGTGTTAATTTTACAATCAACACTTACGTTTTTTCAGTGGAAGCTGTTTGAATTTTTTGCTTAACCACTCGTTAACATTAACCTTTGAGAGCAGCAGGGGTCACAAGTCAACGACCAATGTCTACGAGATGTAATGTCCTAGACATAGAGCACAGACTTATAATGGAACTAACGGCAGTAAATGCGAGTGATTATTTATGGTCAGGTGTTGGTGTACTGTTTTATGAATACAGGTAGCTGAAACTTGTCTAGGAAACTCCAAATTGTAGAAATATCTGACAGGAAATATGCAAAATCAGGTCAGGATTTTCTTGTATAGTTAATTAATGTGACAACATGTACTACATCATAATTTCAAATTCTCAGTAAATGCTGTTGATATATTCTAGTGGCCGTTACTACATGAAGATATCACTACTTCCCCCATCATCTCCTTGCTTTTTATCTATTGTTCCTATGAGATGTTTTTAATAGTTCCTTGTAGTAACGGTAAGCCAGTGCACTAAGGTTAGATGGTAAGCCAGTGCACAAAGGTTAGATGGTAAGCCAGTGCACAAAGTTAGATGGTAAGCCGATGCACAAAGGTTTAATAGTAAGACGGTGCACAAAGGTTTAATAGTAAGACGGTGCACAAAGGTTAATGCAAAATCATTTTTGTGGAACTTTACATTTATGCTTTTTTAAAACTGTACCAACAAAAAACGTTTTGGATTAAGTAAAACCTATTTTACTTTCAGCAAAAGACAGTTTGTATTTGGCAAAAGAGCATTTTACATGGGTAAAAATGCATTCTGCAGTCATCTAAAAGCATTTTCCATTTTCCTTTCAACTTTATTTTTGTCATAATTTGTTGTTTTTGACTAAACAAATTATATATAAAATTTTAACATGTTTCCGAAGAGTAATTGAGTATTTTTATTTAAAAAATGTTAAAACTTCATTGTTTGAGTGTTTTCGTTTTAATATATCTCAAAAACCTGTATTAACATTGTGTTACTTTTATTAGTAAAAAAATACAGTATTACTAATACATATTTTATTGTTAAACAAAATGTTATTATACAAATGGCTGGTTATAACACAGGTTTCTGTGAGGCTTGTTTTAATAGTACTATATATATCTGGTTTCTGTGAGGCTTGCTTTAACAGTACTGTTTAGACCTGGTTTCTGTGAGGCTTGTTATAACAGAACTATATATACCAGGTTTCTGTGAGGCTTGTTATAATAGTACTATATATATACCAGGTTTCTGTGAGGCTTGTTATAACAGTACTATATATACCAGGTTTCTGTGAGGCTTGTTATAATAGTACTATATATATACCAGGTTTCCGTGAGACTTGTTATAACAGTACTGTATATACCAGGTTTCTGTGAGGCTTGTTATAATAGTACTATATATATACCAGGTTTCTGTGAGGCTTGTTATAACAGTACCGTATATACCAGGTTTCTGTGAGGCTTGTTACTACAGTAATGTATATACCAGGTTTCTGTGAGGCTTGTTATAACAGTACTGTATATACCATGTTTCTGTGAGACTTGTTATAACAGTACCGTATATACCAGGTTTCTGTGAGACTTGTTATAACAGCACCGTATATACCAGGTTTCTGTGAGGCTTGTTATAACAGTACTGTATATACCAGGTTTCTGTGAGGCTTGTTATAACAGTACTGTATATATCTTGGTTGTTGAATTAGATTTAGATCCCAGTATTTATAGTTTAACAAGCAGATATTCAATTTCCCCTATAGTTTCCAGGTAAGGAAAGTAATGAATGTAATTACTAACCAACAATTTATTGTTGGAAAGAAATGAAAAAGTATGATGCTTGAGTATATTGCTATCTTTGTGTTTTCTGTTTTCTGTCCACATACACTGTTATGTTTGTTATTTTCAAGTTCTATTTTTCCTATTTTTAAGGATAGATTGAAATCTTGAAAAACGGAAAAAAAAATACATTGAAAGTCATATTTACAAAGAAAACAATGGTCTTTTTCAGGATTCTTAAAAAATGATATTTTTTCCTTCAATCTTTTAGTAAAATTGTAAAAAATTTTAATGTTTTAAGTTTACAACATACCTATTAGGTACCTATAAATCTCTGCAGGGTCTCCTGGTCTGTTACAAACTTCCACTCTTGTCCAACATTCCCATGTTAACATAACAATCTTACTTGAAGTTGTTTTTGTTGGTTCCATTTTCCAGGTCCTGTTTTCAATTGATACCCTCAGGATACATTAATTATTATAAACCTACTTCCTGGAGATGCTCCAAAAATATTAGAGTTATTTCCCTTAGTTCAGTTTTTACAGGGGATATCCCGGAGATGTCTTAGTTATTTCCCTTTGTCCTGCTCCTTTGGGACATCCTGGAGATGTCTTAGTTATTTCTCTTTGTCCTGCTCCTTTGGGACATCCCGGAGATGTCTTAGTTATTTCCCTTTGTCCTGCTTCCTGGGGACATCCCAGAGATACCTTAGTTATTTCCCTTAGTCCTGCTTCCTGGGGACATCCCTGAGACATCTTAGTTATTTCCCTTAGTCCTGCTTCCTGGGGACATCCCTGAGACATCTCAGTTATTTCCCTTAGTCCTGCTTCCTGGGGACATCCCGGAGATATCTTAGTTATTTCCCTTAGTCCTGCTTCCTGGGGACATCCCGGAGATATCTTAGTTATTTCCCTTAGTCCTGCTTCCTGGGGACATCCCTGAGACATCTCAGTTATTTCCCTTAGTCCTGCTTCCTGGGGACATCCCGGGGACATCTCAGTTATTTCCCTTTGTCCTGCTTCCTTGGGGACATCCCGGAGACATCTCAGTTATTTCCCTTTGTCCTGCTTCCTGGGGACATCCCAGAGATATCGTAGTTATTTCCCTTAGTCCTGCTTCCTGGGGACATCCCGGAGACATCTCAGTTATTTCCCTTAGTCCTGCTTCCTGGGGACATCCCGGAGACATCTCAGTTATTTCCCTTTGTCCTGCTTCCTTGGGGACATCCTGGAGACATCTCAGTTATTTCCCTTTGTCCTGCTTCCTTGGGGACATCCCGGAGACATCTCAGTTATTTCCCTTTGTCCTGCTTCCTTGGGGACATCCCGGAGATATCAGAGGATCATGACTAAGAGATTTGTGTACTCAGAGATGCTCAAAATTATGATAAAAAGAGTTCTTGCATCTTTATATAATTTTACCAATCAGTGTTTCCCTCAAGATAAAAAATGCATTTGAAGAAAAAAGAATATAGATAATTAGGAATGATTGTTTCTAAAGACATGATCAATTATTGTCAGGTGTAGCAAGATATGGACGTTATAAGTGTTGGTTTAGCATTACATGTATATGTATTTAGCCAAGAAACGAAATAACAGTGACGACAAGACTATTTTGTCAGATTAATGATATCGAAATTTGATTCTGGAACATGATAGTTATCCCAATATTTATAAAGTGTAATTACAGATAAATTTAATTGTTAATGTTTGTAAATTTTGTATATATAGATAATGGAATGTGTCATCAAATATGTATCGTTTGAAAAATTCATGAGAAGAAATAAAAAATGCAGTTAAAAGGAACAAAGAATTTGTTTTAAGATCATCAGTCTCAAGTGAATCGTGTTCGTTTTCATGTAAATCAACTGTGGACAGCACTAGGGTAGGTGACCACTCCGTTGTACCCTGATGCATGTTAACATTTGGTGATGGGGAGCAAGTCTGAGGTATCCTTAGGGATGGTCTTGGATATTATGGTGAGCAATAATACACCTGGAGATTTGTTGGGAACTTGGGGTTCTAGTCCTGATGCTGCACCACAACAACATTAACAAGGACAGCTGTGTATGCTAATCATATAAGGATGCTAGGTTGATCCTATGAGAACTTCACGACTAAGCATATGGGGGTAATGTGACATTTCAGTAACATATTGAGTTCAGCTGCATAGTCCAACAGCTAGCTTTAGAAGCAGTGATGTTTAAGGTCTTATCTAATGTACTGAAATTCAGCAATGGACGGGCAACTGCTGCGTTGTACTCCCGAATGCACGTTAAAGCTGAGGGGAAATCAGACTTAATTTGAAGCATAGTTTGGTTATAAAAACACATTACTGAAATATCAAAGGGGTAATTCCACAGAACACCACACCCCATCTTCCTTATAATTGGAGGAGGAGAAGATGGGTCAAATCTTGAGTTTATCTAACACCATACTGCTGGTGGATGGCTTGTTAGGTTTATCACCTTGTGAACAGAATCATTTTAGGCTGGGTATCCTTGTAGTAGCTGGTGATTTCCTTAGAGAACAACATATGGGAGGCCAGTCACCTGCCATCTAGAGCAATTTGGTTAAAACTTTGTGCTTAAAGACACAACCAAAACAGTAAAGACTGCCCCGTTTCTTACTGAGTAACACATACCACTAGAGAGTATCAAGCTACTAGTCATAGGATTTCTAAGGAAATCAAGGTAAAGAACATAAAGGAATAACTCCTAGGATTGGAGGGGTGTGGCCACAACACAAATTTGGTCGTACTTCACATCACTGAATAACAACCTCCTTCTATCAGTCCATAATTTCCCTTCCTGTGATTACTAATTTCCTGGTAACTACTACAGGTATTTTAATTCAGCTCTTATCACATGAACAATATGAGCTTTGGGTGTATATCAAATTTTGAGAATTACTTAATCTTCAAGATGGCTCCAGCAGCCATTTTGAATTTTGACATTCCTTTATATCACGGTCATTTGGGTGTTCAATGTCTTATTAAGAGACAACATGAGTCTTTTTTTTTTCTTAAAATTACACCTTATACAATATTTTTATCAAAGCTTGTCAAAACTTGCTTTTCTATTTTGTGAACAGAGAACTGATTAGATCAATGTTGTGGGAGAGTGAAATCTGAAAACTGACATGAATTCTTTGAATGCAGATAAGAATAATATAAAACATGGAAATAGCTTTTGCAAAGATGTTGGTTTATTGTTATTTGATGAAGAACAATACAAAGATGATTTCATCCCCTTCAATGGATTTAATATAATTTGTTAAAAATTATTACATAGACATTGCAAACATTTTGGTATGACCTTGTGTAGTATGTAGACATGAAGGCTCTGACTATTAGCTGCCACCAATTTCTCTCCATATTGATCCTGGTATAAAGATTTACCGAAGAATGAAGAGTTCCAAGTCATTTCTATATTGTATGCCCGTTAATTGTAATATTAATTTGAAATTTGAATGTTGTATCTGAGGATAAGCACATTCTGTTTATATATGTTTTGTACCCTTTCTGGGATTCTTGCTCTCCTGGGGTGGATAAACCCTGCACATAGTGTACAATAAGGAAAAACATTCTCCCCCAAGATTTTTGTTTTTTGTTCTCCCTTTCAGAAATCTTTTATTAACCTTTGTAGGAAACTGATCATTTTAGCAAAGTCTTTAGTTAATTCACCCAAAAATACATCACCATATTTTTAGCTGCAACATAACAAAAACCTACGTCAGCATTTATCTTCGTTCTATCGGCAAAAAACGGAAAACAAACTAAGTTTAACTGTGATGAAAGTTTCCACATATACAATAGATTAAGAAACTTTTCCAAATGTTTGACAAAATCAGAGAAAACATTTTGCATGGTTTTGTGAAAATTGCTGGAATACTAAATACGTAAATCAGATGCCAAAATTGTCAATAGAAATTAACAATATAATCCAATTTCGACGTCTGTTTTGTCAAACATTTGTATGATATCATATTTATAATGATTCAGAAATTAAATTTGCAAATAAAATATTTATAAAATAAATGTTACAATTTTTCATTCAAATATAGGTATTCTTTTTTATTAAAAATCTATATATATATATTTTTATTCATACACATTTTATGTACAAGAACTTAAACACAAATTGCATATTTGAATGACTCAGTTTCACATTACATGCGAGATACCTACCCAGCTACAAAACACACAACACACTTATATCAACAGTATTACTTATAACACTACATTCACTGCATACTTGGTTAGACCGAGAATATCAGAGAGTTTCTGACTTACACTTAAAGTACAAACTTCTTTATACATGTGTATTAAGGATTCATCAATAAAACATTTAAATGTTCAACAGATTTTGATATTGAGTCTACATAAATGACATATATTCACAAATTTTAACATGAATTCAAAAATTTTAACATGAATTCACAAAAATTTTAACAGGTTGATATTCAAAGCCATTTTTTAAAGAATAGAAATATTTACAGATTGATTTCTAATTTTATTTTCACAATTACTTCAGTACTTCGCATGTAGTTTCAGACCATAAATCACTTTTATAATTCTAATATAGTTTTATTAAGAATTAGTGATATGTGTGACTCAGATAACTGAAAGTGGCAATATTATTTTCATTTAGAAAAAAAAAACATTCTTTTCAAAATTTAAATTGTTTTTCAAATTGTAAACATTGGGTTTTTTTTTCAACCTCAAAATTTGAGAGAGTAGAACAGATTCATGAGGGGACTTGAATAAAACATTGCAAATGATTCAATATGGATGGAGCATAATGATTACATTCATAAGGCATTTCAGAAACATATACCTAAGTACATTATATGGTGGTCACATTTAAGCATCAGAGTGCCAATCATGCGATGAAAATTCTCTATTTCTGGAAAATCTAAAGCTTAGGTATGAAAAAACATTGATAAAAAATTGTGAAATTGAATGCAGCTGTTTATAGGAATTGAGCAAACCTAGCTAGGACAGATAAAGACTGAGATCAACGACAAAAAGGGACATTACTCTAGGGGATTTACATGGAATGCAATGTTATATGGAAAATAAGATGCAAATGCTGCTACATTCTAATTTAGCCTATTTGACAAACTGTTCAATCTGTGAAGCTTTTTCTCCTCGTTGGAAAGGTAGGCTTATCATTAGCATTGCTAAAGTATGATTTTTTTTTCATTGTTGTGAAAGCTGTATTATATTTGGCTCATCAATCTAATCAAAATCAAAACACCTATATTAAATCATACTTTGAATAAGAAAATTTACAGATATTTATGAAAAATCTCTAATATTCAACTTAGAACCAAAATACCAACCGACCTCTCAGAGGGCTGACGATAATATTCTGACATTACCGATATTTCATGGTCATATGTCGTATAAGTTATATTTATAAAAATTTGTGAAATGTTAAGATAACCTATACTTAATACACCATCCTGTAACTATAATTCTAAGGTAAATTTTTCTTTCTTCACATCCCCCCCCCACCCTTCCCACCTCATCAATTACTAAATAAACAGTATTAGCCTCACTCCTAGTTCATACACTGTGAACAAAACTGACTAGGCGATATGTTGAGCAATTCAAATTGTCTAATTCATTTCTCTTTATACATAATAATTTTTTTTCCTATTTCGATTAGAAAAAAAAAATTCACAATTGCATGTTAACAATTTACAAAATAATACACATTTGAATGTATGATACTTGAATGTGTGCGTAATACATGACTCTACATCATAAATTGTACAACAAAATTAAAATTGCATTGATTACGTTTTTTTCCTCACTCAATATAGCATGCAACAACATCTAAGCACCAACCTGTTTAAATCTATATAAAAAAACATATTCATCTCTCCAGCGATAATTTCATGGTATTGGTCTGTTTAGAAGACACTCTTTACGGATAATTCTCGCTGGTTATATGACGATGACTTTCCTATCGTCATAACTGAACTCTCTTAATTCAAACTATTCCAGCAAACTATCTACCCCATATGGAGACTCCAGGTTTTCAAAGAAAGCCAAACCAGAATAGTTTATTCAAGTAGTAACATATGAAAGATTTTCTTCAACAGTCACCATATATATCAGATTTTGTTTGGAGTGCCCCAATAGCACAGATACTTGATTAGCCAATACTAAATATAGCAGTATCTAATTATTTCAATTTATATAAAGCAAAACCTGACATATATATATATACATAACACCCTTCATTTTAAATTTGTCATCTCGCACACAACATTTTACCCTACGTGGTCCCCTTTTCTTTTTTATAATATTTTTTTTGTATAAGTCCCAAAATTTTGATGAGTCATGACAGAGTTATTAGGTTTTGATGTTTTAGTCAAATCTGCCATATAACCCACCACTATATAACGAATACCTGCCTATAAGGCCACCTTTATGTTACAAACACCTGTCTATAAATGTCACCACTACATAACAAATACCTGTATATAAAGACCACCATTATATAACAAATACCTGTCTATAAAGGTCACCTCTATGTAACAAATACCTGTATATAAAGATCACCTCTATGTAACAAATACCTGTATATAAAGATCACCTCTATATATCAAAAACCAGCCTATAAAGACCACATCATTGTATTTAAAAGGCTATATGCCATCACTTTGTAACCTTTTCATACAGGTTTGTCTATACATGAAAGGGCCTATGTTCGTGATCATAGACAGCGCATATTGTTTGCTATAATTTCATATCAACACTTCATAATATGTTGACTATGAATACAATTAAAATCTCAACCGTATATATATATATATATATATACTATCCCCTAATTTCCCTGAAACAACATCAAACATCCGTCAATCAGCACCACATGGTGTATTGGTTTCTGGCAAGTTCTACTCAGCAATGGCACCGCAACACTAACAGAAACACATCTTTTAGACTGTAATGATCAGTGCAAAATATACCCTTATCTCATTAATTCACATTATCATATTCAAACAATTTGACAAATCAATAAATATGCTTACCATAAAACACAAATAATAACAAAAATTTTTCAACAACAAAATGAGTCTAGAAACAAATCAACAAACTTTGAGAAAATATGGAATATTAGTATCCAACTTTTCTGACAGAGTTAGGTTTTTTTGGTATAAAATAAAATCATCATATCTGTCATGTTTCTGGATGTTAGATGGGTGTATATCCCAGGAAGCCTTGCACTGCAGCATAGAAAAGGTTTTTTCATTTATTACAGTACCAGATTCTCCTATAATTGCCCATTAAATATTAGATACAATTTTTGTCTAACAAACTAACATGATTTTACATGAAGTTTTAAAAACTGTTTAATATTTAATTATTAACAGTTGCTTTGTTTATCATTTATCTCTCTCTCTCTCTATATATATATATATACTTCTCTCTCTCTCTCTCTCTCTCTCATTCCATGTTTCCTTATCTAATAAAGTTGTTTGTTGTTAAAACTTTGTTTTGAATTTTAAAATCAACAATTACGCAATTGTTATTTATTTACATATTTTATCAGTAAACATTTATAAACAATAAACGATAGACCAATACAGGAAAACTATTTAGAGACTAACCCTGATAAAAGACATTATCAGATAATAAACACGAGGGGGTAATATTGTTACAGCAATTCAAAGTCGTTTAACGAAAAATCACAAAATCACAAGATATTGACATCATCAGCAGAGTAAACATCATCAGGATGTATAAGATGGAAGCACGGAGTCCGTTATTTTGCAGATTACGAGTCAAAAGGCAACAAAATTGTCAACAATGATTAGTAGTGCCAAATGGAAGTCCAACACCAATTCTTTCCTCAAATTACTCGCGACCATCTCAGATCAAAATAGCACAGGGAGAGTTTTCTCCCTTGTTTGAAGGAATGAATGGTGTAGAAGATTGTGAAACACAACAATAAAAAAAAATATCTCAAATCTTCTCTCGACCACCATGTTGTCCTATTTTGATACGTAAACTAAAAATGTCATAACAAAAGAGCTAAAACGAGTAATTTCATCATGACGAAAAAAAAACCAAAAAATTAAACCATCACAGCACTTCCTGTTTAAACCTCTGTTGTGGTGTCATTGCAACCTTGTAAGATTCTGAGGTGGTTGGAAGTGTTGGTGATGCCACTGGGCTGTGTCCATTGGGAATGTGAATAGTTCCATGGTCTAGCATGGCACCAGGCAATGACGTACTACACAACAGGTGGTCTGCCGTGAGAGATGGGGTGGAAATATGCTCTATCGCTGAGTTGTGTAGCAGGGAGAGCCCCAGGGGTGGGGACTGACTGGAGGTAGGGGACATATGGGGCAGCTCCATCCCCTGGGGCATCGACAGGTGTTCAGTCATTGGATCTTGGAAACTGGGCATGTCCAGAGACGGCTCGAGTGAGGTGGGTGTGTTTGTTGCTGTAGTGGGATCTGAGGCTGCTGCTGCAGCTCCTACAGGAAAACAATAGATATTGTTTATAATATAATGCTTTCCTCACTAAAACAATAGATATTGTTTATAATATAATGCTTTCCTCACTAAAACAATAGATCTTGTTTATAATATAATGCTTTCCTCACTAAAACAATAGATATTGTTTATAATATAATGCTTTCCTCACTAAAACAATAGATATTGTTTACAATATATCTGTAAAACTACAGTTTGTTTATATCACACAAAACTCTTTTTGTATCAAGTCTTGGTTCAACTAAACCGTTTTGCTCAGTGTAATAGTTGTTGAAAGCCTTCTCATACAAAATTATGTTCAAACATCAAAAATGTCATAAAATTTGCTTTTTTCCAGTAATGTTTTCTTTGATAAACAAAAATAGATAAACTATTTTCACAAACATATATAAGATGTATCTGTTTGTAATACTGAGTAATAATGAAAACAAATGTATTTCCTTCCTGTGGGCAGAAAAGACACAACAAAGGACATCCAACAAAATTACTTGCCTCCTAAAAGCATTTCCTGAAGCAGATTATCAATGTGTGCCATGCCAAACAATTTCGCAAACTGAACCTGTTCAATCATCTGCCAGGTTATACTCTGGAGGGGCGGTAAAAGGAGAAGTATTTCTCCAAAGCGCCCTCTAGTGTCGTACTGTCGGTCATTTACATAATCCTCCAAATTAACGTGGATCTGGTAACGAAAGTTTTTTACTTTCTGGGGATCACTCAAACCCTTTGCATCTACAACAAATAGAGAGAAGCTTTAAGAGGCTTGAAACCTCCATACTACATACAATTTTTGTTACAGTGTATAATAGAAAAGAAAATTCACGATAGTCCTTTCAGAATTTGAGATCCAGACCTTGCTCTGCAACTAAATCAACTATCTATAGTAAGTCTGCCTAGCCATTTGGCAAATCCTGTTGGAGCTCAGACCAAAACTTTTATTCTCACCCTACTCAAAGAGAGTTAATCTTGGTGGTTTCTACTCAAATACTGTCAACATACATTTATGGTACACACAAATTTTAGCATAATATCAATTCTGGACAAATAACCACAATGATGAAATCCCACTTTCTCAATAATTGCTATATTGACAACATACACAAACTGCGATCAGCTCAAGCATATTTTAGCCTTGTAGCTTAAGCGCGAAAAGTGCTAAAATAAGATCACCCTGAAATATATATATTAACAGTAACTTCCCCAGCAAAATGGGTTTTACTCACACTTGGCATTCTTCTCTAGGCCTAACACTTTTATTTATCTAAGAAGTTTAATGTCTGCTTTTCAAAACCCTAGCACCAGATGAGTGAATGTAGCCCAGTACTGATTCTGTTAACCTAACCATTTTTCTTACCTGGATCAAAAAAGACGATAGCTTTCAAGCAAGCAAACTCTGAGTCATCAATTTGTACCTCCCGAAGTGGCCCAGTTAGTTCATCGAGGATTCTGGAGGCTACACGACCCATGTCTGCATCTTGACAATGGCGGGGAATAATGGCATCGTTACCAAGCAACAGCATGTCATTTGATGACATGGATCGCCGAGCACAACCAAGAACTAAATGTTCCCCAGCATGTGCGCGAAGAAGAGCAACCTGGCAAGATGAACAGTATGATATCATTGTCATTATCATACAAGATGAAACAAAAGTAACAGACTGACAAATACTATTTTAGCATTTATCTGGAGTCAGAAACATAGTGGTGCATCTTTATACAGCTGGGTAGATTGATACATGTTTTTACTAAATAAGGAGAATATTTCTTTATTTAATATGGAAATTAATGGAAACATTTCGTGACACCTTGGGTGGATTATTTCTATCCTACACTCCGACACATCATAGAATCCTACTGTAAACACTTGATGTATTCCTACCTGGTCATCTAATGGAAGTTCACAAAAGGAAGGAATATATTTAGCCCACTCCACTAGTACAAGGAGCTGTTGTTTCATAGATTCTGCTACATCATCTGTTGTTGCCACATTTCTCTGAGACGAGTCTAGCAGGACAGCAGGGGAGGTAATCTACAAAACAATAGGAAAAGTTTCTTGTTGGAAATCAAATTAACAATAAACAATTTTGTCTTAACAAAAGTCGCCTCAAATATCTATGACCTTCATCATATTTCTAAATATTCGTTAATGAAATCTTGGCAAGATTTACAGGATGGTATGGCTGTCAGTAATTTTGTATTATCAGAGAGCGCCGAGGTTATTCTTTTAAGAGAGGTCTTTACAGAATGGTAATATAAGGTTATCCTAACAGAGAGGCTATGTATGAGTGGTCTCTGTGGAGAAGGATTAGATTTACAACATACATACCTGTCTCGACAGTATTTCTGCATTTAACAATGTGCTGACTGACAAGGTTGTGTTCTGTCCTACATCTTCATAACTGGTTCGCCTCACACTTATCCTATCTCGCTCATTCTGTACAGCTTCAAATTAAAAAAAAAACAAAACTCAAAAGTCAACAATGATTTCTAATGATATTTCATAGAGCTTATCAGAGTATCAGACACAACATAATACATATATGTGTATACAGAGGTAGATATTCTATTACCACACAGGTTATTGGTCTGATAAATCACAGAGGTAGATATATAGTTAATAAAATATTCAAATATAAATCTTAAAGATATTGTTGTCATCATGTGGTTGAATCTTCAAAATTCTTACCTTCTTTCTTCATTCCGGCACGGAAACATTTACGTAGCCGACAGTAGCGGCATTGGTTACGTTTGTCTTTGTCCACCACACAGTTCCGACTAAAGCGGCATGTGTAAACGTGGTTTTTCCTGACACTGCGTCTGAAGAATCCCTTACAGCCATCACAGCTGGAGGCTCCATAATGTTTACCTGTCGCGCGATCGCCACAAATCGCACAGTACTGGCTCATGCCATGGGTGGGCGAGGATGGGTTGGAGGTTACTGGCATAGGCCCCAGGGCACCCATGCTCATCTCCGGGGAGTCTACAACATACAACGGAAGTATCATTTCATTTGTGTCTTCGTAATTAGTTAAATAAAAAATTCTACATCTTCATTATCTGAAGAATTAACCTGTTTCCAAACATGGATGGTTTGTCTCGACTTGAAAAAGGCTAAACTGAAAAAAGATTCAAATGCTCAATATTTACTACAATGGTTCAAAATACACAAGATGTAACATATTTCTGTTCGAAATATTTGTCATTGCACTTTAATTGTATTCCTTTTGCAAAAATAAAAAAACTGAAAGCGAAGACAGTATTCACTTCTCAAAAGATCTGTTGACCAATCCCTCTGGAAGTGATCTGGACTTAGTAGATATATAAAGTGTTTTGTTAGCTGTCAACATGACAAGGCTTTGCGGTGTTTATTGATGTAAATAGGTACATGAGGACTAAAGATATAACCTGCCTTATACAGAAATCTTAACATCATCTCACCAACAGCATCAATAATCACTTGAAAACTCCACAGATGTTCCTGTTGTTTGTTATTGATATAAAATATGTTTCTCACGATGACTTCTGAAGCATTCACATGACTATGATTGGAAACAATTTGTTGGAGGAGCTGTATCATGGCTTTGTTTTAAGTCGCAGTGTCACTGTTTGCCTTATTCTAGACAAACGATAACTTGTATGAACAATGAGGATCTTCAGATAACGTATCATACTACCAACCCTCCACACGCCATACTAGTACTTACAGGTCTCAAGAAGTTTATAGTCACCATAATCCTCAACCTTACCAGTGCTATTATCTCCTTTAACATATTAATACAATATTACAAAACTGCTGTACATACAGTACAATCATGGCACTACATCCTGGAGTGGATTATCTGTGTTAGATATAAGGAGTGCATCATCAAGTACGTCTTATATACAATTATTTTACAAATAAATAAATTTATGTTAGGATTTTAAAAAAAAAATTTTTTTTTGCTATTTTTCATTCATGCAAATACTTTTCGAATGAAATTGACTGCGAGAACCATATGTAATGTCAAGACTTTTTAGAAAAAAAAATGTTAATTTCATCGCCGCAAAAATTTGAATCATCGAAAAGAAATTTTTGCAGTAATGGATACAGTAATACAGTACATATCACTCAAGATTTTAGGTTTCCCATGATGTGGTTCCCAAGAAACATTCGAAAATATGGAAAGAGTGGCCCAGCTGAACAGATTACATTCAGAGATAACTAATATTTTGGTATACGTTCCGAATATTTTAGATCTCTATGCAATTGTAAAACGATGTTATAAGGATTGACTGAGGTGATGTAATAGTTGATTTCAGAAAATCAACCATACAAATATAATTTTAGTGCAAAATTCAAATTTACAACATCACAATTATGACAGGCATAACGAGCTTGCGTTTCTTTTGTTGAACCATCCTCCAATGAAATGAGACTAAATCGTGTAAATCTTTGTAATTGAGGAATAAATAGGGTCCTCGTTGATTAAATATCTTAATATATGATTCACGATGTACATATATATTATTATATTGTCTATCTTCACACAGTGCGACTAAATCAATGAATGTTTTAAGTTTCTTGCAATATTGTTATAACTCTATTCACAAGATGTCTAAAAATTTTTTGTCTTCACCACATAAAAAAGCTTTCTCGGTAACAATGTAACAAAACATAAACATAATTAATCATATTGCACAAAAACAATTAAAAAAACTATAGATACAAATCATGTATTGTTAATAGTCTTACCTGGATCATAGAAGTATTCCCTGTGACCATGAGACTGAAGATACGAATACAACATGGCAGCCACAAACGAAAGCCGTCACTAAATAACTATCAGTTTTAACTTCGTATTGTTTTTTTTTTATATCTATATTTCGTTAATAACCCAGTGAAAATTTTTTTTATAAATTTTTTTCCGAAATTAATAAAAGTAAATCATTCTATGATATCTGTTGCCTAGAAAATGCTTAGCTAAGGTGAATGTTGTCTTTCCTCGCTCACAGAAATGATGGTAACCATGAGAGTACCCGAGCCATCAATTTATAACATGGAAGACTTAAGCTGACATCCATATATGGTATGATGAGATAAAGAGGTGCGAGGGCTAGCACTTTACAGACAGTTCCACTTAAGACAAGTCTATACACCTCTGATAGCCAGATAGATAGAACATCGCCAACCAGAACTGTTATCAATGATTAAAAATTCCTCCCCTGGAGGAGGAGAGCCCCTCCCCTTTCTGAAATACACAGGTGTAGCCCAGCCCCTCCCCTTTACTGATCGGCTACCTGTAGTATCCCTTATCTTGACTGGGGGTCTTCTTAGCGGTTGTTTTGTATTAAGTATTCTACAAGGTAAGTCTTGGTTAATCACTGTTTATCTCCCCTTATCAGTCAACTCACACCATGTGATGTAGAAGAGCTGTAAGGAAAAGGACATTCCAGGGTCCTCTCATTTCTGCCTAGATATCCTCAATAGCCGAATCTTAAGTGGCCTTCTATGTGACAACTTGTTTACTCATGTAATTCTAAATGTATACAATTTGTATCACTTAAGCCCAAAATTTCTATTGCCTTTGATTTCCATCCCAAAACAATATTTATTTCGAAAAAAAAAAAATCATTTGTTTAAACTTCCTCAAAAATATCAAATATCTAACAAAAAAAACATTTCCAAGTTAATATATACAGAGAAATTAATCAAACAAGAATGTTTTTTTTATAATAAAGATGAACTATTTAATTTTGACTGTTTTTCCTGATCAATGTTTGTAATGAATATCTACTAACCTATATCTTACGTAATACTAAAACCCGCTGCTTCCAATAGCAGGTAAATATTCATTTGATACAATATTTCTTTTTTAGCACACCTCCCAATCTAGATTTTGACTTTTCTTTCAAACACTTTGTATTTTCCTCAGTCGCCTTCCAGGCTTAAAAATTTAGGTCCTTACCATCACTGATGACTCCTCAGAGGACAAAACAGCTGTACGATGCAGTTTAATTCATTTTTAGGTGCTACTGTATCTTACTGTATCAATAGGTGCTACTCACTTGTGACTTGTGTACAATCTCTGTGAGTATCTAAAATATTCCGGATTTTTTTTTTATCAAGTATGAATCATAGTTTTTCAACTTTTCTGGAAATTCCATTTTACATGATCCGCACCCGAAATGATTATTTCAGAAAAGTTGTTTGTTTGTTTTATAAAATGACCACTCAATGGAGCCGAGTGTCAGGCACATTTCCACACAGACCAAGGCCATTTCCAATGTCGATTAAGATAAGACGGTCCAAATCTGTGAATGATTTTTGTCCAACCCCATCCCCAGACATTTTTCAACGACCCACACATCTCTAAGGATTGAAGGAGAGGTCACCCTGTGACTGTTCACACCCTTTAGTATCGAATATATATGGATCACATGTATTCAAACAGAGCAGCAGGCACATACACCCTTTACATTTGATAGCCTCAAATTTTCTGGCTAATATTTAGTTTTAAATATGCATATTAAAATTCACTAACCCTTAAGGCTAACAGTATTTTATTTGGTGAAATTTCTGTGTTAATTGGTATCAGAAAATATCTGATACATACAAATATTCCTAATTGATCAACTCTTTAAAATGAGTTTATCAATCTTCATTACTTTATTTTAAATCAAATTTCAAATGATTTTGCTCATCTACTTAACAATTTCTTAAATAAAGCAAATCAAAAGAAATATTGTTAATTCTAAAAAAGTTTTGACAGATTTGTGAAATGAGGATTTTATATCGAGAAACTTCACAGAGAGTATAAGATTTTAAAATTATACGCAATGGATGCATGGAAATCTTACTTTGATTTCTCAAATATTTTAGAGAACAGAAGAAAGCTGAATTCTGAAGGACAGTCACCACAATATGTGCAGTCATCCATGTCATTTGTACAGGTAATAATTAAATTAAACATACATACATACATATAATTTCATCCCAAGCGTGTGATAGATCTATGATGATGATTTGGTATCAGTACAAAGCTTTAGGCAAAATATACTCCCATTGTAAATGGCAAAATGACCACTAGGGGTGGGACGTTTATCTAAATATTGAATAAAAAAAAAACATGAGTGACATATTGTGACCTGTAAGATGATAATAAGCTATATTATTCATCTCTTTACAAAATTTCAATACTTATAATTTGTGGTTACAATAAACACCAATTGTAGCGTATTTGTTGGCTTACATAACCCCAGGTAAAGATCAGAAGGTGAATGGTACAATGCTCCCTATCTACAGTGGTTTGTGTTTCTTGGAAAGTTGAGAAATAAACCAGTCTTTATTGACATAGTTGTGTCCTTGGGTAAGATACTTTATCTAAAATGCTCTGAAAAGCCTGCAACAGGCCTCCCTTATCGTGTTCAGTGAGAAAGCGACCAGCCTCACCAATGACAATAAACCCGACAAAGAAATATTGATATTGCAAAAGCATTAAATACTACAGAACAGTGGATATTTACTACAGTTCAGGAGGGACTATATTTGTCCAGGAGGGACTACTTGACATTAGATGAATAGGTACACAGCTTTTACAAGGCTTTAACCATGTCCTGCAGACCGTCAGAACTACAGGACCCCTGTTAGGTGGGTAATCCTATTGTTCTGTTTATTTTGGATGTCAACTGTAATCTATCTGTATATTTAATCCACAGTTTGTTTGTAATGGGCAGAAGATGACCACTCCACTCTGCTGGACATTCCAACACCAGGTGAACGTTGGGACTTAAAAATTATCTTCGCACTCATTCCTCACCAGGTGTTCAACAGGGGATAGGAGAACTGGTACCAGTGGGGATGGTAACTTAGTTCAATTCTCTTAACACCTCTCCTTACATTCTTCGTATTTTCTCTCTTTCTCTTTCTCTCTCTGTCTTTCTCTGTCTGTCTCTCTGTCCCTCTTTTTCTCTCTCTCTGTCTGTCTCTCTGTGTCTCTGTCT